CGACTGACTGATTATTTAAATTACTAATAAAAATCGTTGTCAAGACAAGTTGATTTATCCTGGCGTATAGTTGTATGTATATCCGCCGCGATTCGGAACAAGTCTATCAAAGTACTAAGTGACTCGTGAATACGGGCCTTCCGACAAATGTAGAGCTTTGCAAATCCGGACGGAAGGGACCACCTACATTTAAAGAGGAATAACTCTTGCATACATGTTTTTTGGATATAACGTAAATCATTTTCTCCGTTACTTCCACATTTATCTCCGTTTATACGTCCTATTGGTAGCGGCGTGTTATATAGCCTATAAGCCTTCCTCGATAAATGTTCTAACCGACACAAATATGATTTTTCAATTTCCACCAGTAGTACCTGAGATTAGCGCGTTCAAGCGAACAAACTAACAAATAAACTTTTTTAGCTTTATATATTAGTAAGAAAAAATATGTATGTACGAATAGGGAAATCCCACTTCCCCCATGGCATGAGGCGAACACATATCCGTGTCCGATTCACTGATCGATAGTTTTACTGGTAGGTAGACTTCTGTGCCCTAACCGAACGTAACAGACTATTGTTTCTGGGATTCAAATCCAGGACCTCTCGCTCTTAACGCAATGCTAGACAACACGTTTACCAATTTAGCTAAAGTGGTTGTTAAGTACGTACAAATAAATGTAACAAAAATAAACTGTACTAGAGTACATATTAGGTATGTAATTTTAATGAAATTTAAAATGCTCGACAAATTTGTACATTTTCACATGTTAATTTAAACAGTTGAACATATGAAACTAACAGTGTTAAATAAAGCATCTTGTATTTTTCGCCAGTCCTTGATTGAGAAGAGCATAGATACCTACTGTCTCTAGTTTAGGCAAGTAGTACACATTGACGGGAGAACTCCCTGTCACCACGGTTGCTGCAAAGCATCCAAAACGTCATGCCGTAGAAAATAATTTTCAAACAAGTTTAACTAATGTATATCGCATTTTAAACCGTTTTAGCGTTTTATTTAAAAGAGCATAGATAACAAATTTATTAACATCCAAATCGTATCATAGTAATCCCACAACGATAGGTAATTTGGTATAGGTAAACATTATTGTTCAAATTTTCTTTACAACGCACATGCGTCCCTAAGACATTAATGAATATAAGCACGCGTAGAAAATCCCACACACATAAATCAATTGAATGAACGATTCAAAGTTCTCGACAACAATCGACAGGTGTCAAGTCTGAGGTAAAGACCATAACTCGGCGTCTGTTAATGAAAATTAAATAAAAATCTACTTACAAAACAGCAATAATCGTCTAAACACACTAGCAGCGAGAACTTAACACGTTAAAACACTTTTAATGGCACTGCATCGCTTCGCGCTAAATAATATTGCAGCGGCGTGCACCTCCACCAAGAGTCGGGAGGAGACTGATGTCAAGTGATCCTGGATCCTACGGGTACAGCGGGCGACGATTGATCTGCGATATATCCTGCGACTAGCTGTGTCAGCGGCTTCGTTCGCGTATAGTTATTTTAGGCATCCGAATTTTTCAACCAAAGTTTTATAGAACAATGGCCAAGTCGTACCTGACAGCGACCAAAGGTGTTATATATCAATAGATCCGTTATTTTTGTTTTAGGAAATATTAATAATAACTCGATTTTTCTACTCTCTGTTTATTCAAGACTTATCGTTAGAGTCCGGATATTAAATTTACCGTAAGACTAGCTACGTCAGCGACTTCGTCCACGTAGATTAGTTATTGTGGCCATCAAAATTTGTTTTTACAAACCTCCTCCTCGCCTTTATAAATTGTAATAATTTAGATTATATACTGTCGCGGACACTTTTTTAGATCATTTCAAGAAGAAACATTCTTTCATATATAAGTATTTTTGGGTATCTTCAAGCGCTTTCGCAGCGTACGCAAAGAAAACCCACAAGTATTAACAATTTTCCCGTTTTTTTGTCACATTTCAAGCTGTTTTTTCGCTCCTATTGGTCGCAGCTTATTTTATAGCCTTTTTTTACTGATGGTGTGAATGCCTAATGCACGCCCACGTCGGGCAAGTGTGTCGTGGGGAGTGTGGTAAATCGTATAGCCGACCAGAACCACTAAACACCACCAGCCCTCTACGGTGCTTTAAGGGAGCCCTGGGAACACAGCTTATTTTATAGCCTCTAACCAACACAAAAATATTGTTCCAATTTCAGTAGTCCCTGAGATTAGGGCTTTCAAACAAACAAACAGACTCTTCAGCTTTATATATTAGTATAGAGTATAGATACGCGTCCTCGATGGAACACTCGACGCACTTTTGAAACGGACATGCGTCAATTAAACAATCATTTGTTGCGAAATAACGATATGTCAGGATACAGTTGGCCACAAGTAACAATATGGGACAAAAATACCCCATAGCTGAATCATAATATGAGGCTGCGAGAGGCAGAGTGGCCTAATAACAAAAAGACATGATTTTCAATAAAAATGCGCAATTAACTTAGGCGGAAATGAATTTGTACTATTATTTGTGTAACAATTATGTTAACAATTTTCGGTAAATCTGTTCTTGTGCATTTTTCGACTATAAAAACATAAATAAGCCATGAAATTGCAGTTAGGCTACTCTGCATCTAGCGGTCTAACATGTTTGTGACAGAGGAGTACAAGCATGACGGGAGATGAAATACCTAATAACATCGTTTGATGGAATCGTTGTTCTAATGCCAGCAATGTAAGGTAAATAATTAACGGGACGTGTGTGCGATCCCGATTAGGCCCGAAATGTTTCTAATTCTCAATTTATTAATAATTTCTCAATTTATGATTTTTCTAAAACATGTTGGATTTCGTCTGGATATCTGGGTATTAAATGGGCGATACGAATACGGAGAATTCCGTCCTGCTCACGAACTACCTACATAGATGAACCACGTACATACATGAAAAAGCCGTTAAGTTTAATGGATTTTGGGTTTCAATATATGAATTTTTAATATCGAGAGCTAAATAGGTCTATAGCGCTATCTAGTTCATCATAAAACACGATACACTATCGACTTCTTTGGTTTTTGACATTTACAAATCTACCTGCCTATAAATAAAAATTGATTACTGAAATATAATCATTTTAAGAAACATAATTTTACCCAACCCCTTTTTAAAATGATACATATTAGTAGTAGTTATAAGTGTTGTAGCGACGGAACTTTTCGTAGCAAATTTGGTGCTACGAAAATTTGGTTACGGTCGTAGCAAACGTTTACTTTGTTACCTATAACTACAATTTTACATTCAACTTCATTTTCTATACAAAATACCTTAATTCTTACTTAAGAAACACTTATAACAGAATCAAAATATAAAACATATTATCTATCTATACTAATATACAAAGCTGAAGAGTTTGTTTGTTTGAACGCGCTAATCTCAGGAACTACGAGTTCAAATTAAAAAATATATTTTTGTGTTGGTGAGAGCAATTATCGAGAGAGGCTATAAAACATATAGCCGTGACTAATAGAAGCAAAGATGCAACGCTACGAAAACGTTTCAAGATAACCAAAAAAATAAGTATGAAAGAATAATTCCTGTTTTCAACAGTATATGTCTATCTTGTAAGATTAACTTTCAAGAACGACGGGACGCGGGCGAAGCTTAAATTTATAGAGTTGAACAGGGGGTTTGCAAAAACAAAAATGGATACCCAAAATAACCATTCTATGCGTACGAAGTCGCTGACTCAGCTAGTTCAAGAATAAAAATATTGCACGTCACACACGTAATCTCTCACTTAATATCAATAAACTCTTGAGCACTTAAAATAGATGATACAACGTGTACAAAAAGTTGAGCACTCTTTGTGTAAAAGTCTAACGTTTCCAAGTTTTAATTTGTAATATCAATGTAATAGGAATCTCGGCTTTAAGTAAGGCATTAAAAAATAAGGCAGTATTTGGTTTCTGTAAAAGGTCCTCTTGCTCTTAATAATGATAACCAAGTATTGAGTTTCGGAGTCGGCTTATAATAATTGATTAGGTCCTGTAATGTCATATTTTTATATGCACACATATCCTAGGCACATGACGTTAAAACTATGTAAGTAATACAATAGTAAAGTCGCATCGGATGTAACAATTCTATGAATTTGAGGTCGATTTTATGTGCTATATTAATTGGTCCGGGGATAATGTTGCAGTCTATTTATTATTTAGATCGAGGCTGTTATTAATATCCGTACAATTAAGGATGTGTGTTTGGTTTGATACCTCATTTAATTATGTATAACGTATAAGATCTAAACATCACATTCTTATTATTAATGTATTGCAACTATTGACATTTGAGGTTAACCAAGCGTTATTTAATTATATTTCAAAATTAGGAAAAATGTTTATAAATATAATTCAGAAGTATTGAATAAAAAGAATAAAATAAAGTACTAATCTTGTTTTTGCTGGTTCTCTTTATTTCTTCTTTGACGTTCTAACATCCGTAGATTTATAACATAACTTTATTTCGTATATTTATGTATTTTTAAATTATTATTAGACAAATAATAAGTTGAAATCCATAAAATATCATATAATTATATCGTAATATTTTTTTATAGATAAGGCTTTTGAGTTTCAATGACTCTTTTTTATTAACAGCAACATTATTTCAATTCATTATTGTATGTGCAGTCTGTGACACGCTCGGCAGGCTGTGGCACAACACAATAATATTGATAATAAATAAAACATCGCAAAAATCTTTATTATAAATACGATTAAATGTCCAATTATTTACGTTTATAAAACCTGAATTATCACCCGAGGTTTAGTTCCCCTCGTGGTAACTATAAAGTAATGATATTATATTTAAGTTTATAATAAGTCTATTGGGGATAAACTACAAAATTTATTTCAGTCTAAATCTCAAAAATATAATATTATGTAACGTTATAATCATATATTAATCATCGTTGTAAAAATAAGTATAATCAGAATGGCTCTAGAAATGTGTAGAATTTGCTTACAAACCAATGCAAATTCTGCTTTAAAAAATTTATTTGGAAAACTGAGGAATGGCTCTGTAATAAAAAATAAGATAATGGAAATAACAAACGTACAAGTAAGACATTATATTTTATGTTTATTTATAACTGATGTATAAGTTTTATAATTATTTAATATTTATTACAGATAGACCCAACCGATGAATACTCAAAAATAATTTGCATTAAGTGCATAAAGAGATTAAAAGCCTGCCTAAATTTTATTAAATTATGTCAAGAATCAGACCTTAAACTTAGACAACTTAAATCTTCAAAGGGAGTTAGCGAGCAGTTTAGTGAAAATAGGGATAAAGAAATTGAAAAAACTAATGATACTATTGATATTAACAAAAACACTGATACTTCCAATATAAGTGAAGGTTTGAATATTGCTGATCAAAGTTCCAACAAATCATCGCAGCATCAATGTTCTATATGTGGAAAAATTATGTCCTCCAGGTAAGTATAATTGCCAAGTATTTATCCCAAGAAAGTATAAAGAATTTAAAACGAAAGTTTTCTTACAGATATCGTCTCAAAACTCACCTTGTTACACATACTAAAGAACGACCATATTCTTGTAATCAATGTGAAAAGAGGTTTTCACTGGCAGAAACACTTAATGTACACAGAAGGATACATACGGTAAATGTATAGAGAGATCATTCTAGTTTTAATTCTAAATAAAAAAAATAGAATTGCTGATTCTTTATTATTACTATAATTTTTTTGTAATTCTTTTCTTAGGGAGAAAAACCATTTCAGTGTTCATCTTGTAATGAAGTATTTGCACATTCATCTGGCTTGATAGCTCATAAACGTAAGCATACTGGCCAGCTTCCATACCAGTGTCATCTTTGCCCTAAAAGGTTCAGAACTGCTGGACATTTGCAATATCATATATGGTAAAGCAAATTCTTTGTAAATGAGGCAACACTTAATTGCAAGGCCATTATTTAAATTAATGCTTTATATTTCAGTAAACACACTGGCAAAACCAACTTTAATTGTGATAAATGTGGACACGGCTTTATAACTCGTCAGGATCTAAAGCAACACATTTTAACGCATGTTGGTGATAAACCACATGTGTGCTGTATCTGTGGCTTAAGGCTCAGTCGTACATCCAATCTTAAACGACACTTGAAACTCACTCATGGTGAAGATTTAAATCCATTAAAAAGCTGAAGAGAGTACATTCTTTAGAGCTTAGAAACGCAATATTATGTATTCTCTTAGTAAAGTTTCGCCGAATAAACAAATACCAATAAGTAAGCAAATATAAAATGGCATTTTTATTTTGTATGTCTAGAGTTCCACTAATATTGTTTAACATAGTAATTAATCTGTTCAATGTTTGTTAATTTGTTTTCGAGAAATTGAATTTTATTGGTTATCGTTGACAAGATGGTTATTGGTTAACGACTTATAAGCCGGTCAATGGCCATGAATCCAAGTCGCCTAAATGTTTTTTTTTAAATAATATTTCATGGCCTGGTAGCGAATTAAGAGGGTCAAGCATTATAAATAAAATACTTTTTACATATTTATATTATTTATTTCAAAAATCAGGCAAAACTAAAGAGCGTCCCTAACATTTAATAAAACATTGATAAAAAAAACTAACGTATAAAAATGTCCTAAATTAATGTATGAAATCTGACAAAAATACTTGATTCTACTCTTCGTACATTCTGGCACATTCATTTTAAAAAGTATCGTTACGGAATTCGAATCAAAAACATATGTAACGTATTTTTCTATTGTCATTCGTGTGCTGATTCAAAGGTGTCTTTGTGATTTTTTAATTTGTATAATAACCATCTAACGAATTATATTAAGCTGCTTTTAAAAGTTTAAGAAGAAAAACACGTGACAGTGATATACGTGGAGAAACAATTATTGGATCCTAAAACAATAATATAGGTTTCCAAGATGACGGCTAAGGATATCTACTATTCTGAAAAATATTACGACGAAGAACATGAATACAGGTATTAATATTATTAAAAATGAACCTTAATTTGCTATTAGTAACTTGTAATTATTTTATTCTCAATGCAGTTTTACTAACCTAAACCTAAATAATAATTTAAACGTTTTTCTTATTCAAAATAAATACATAGGATTAATAAAAAAAAACTAACAAAACCTTCAACCAAAAAAAGAATCAATCGTTATGAATGAAACATTATATTGCTTGTAAATGCCGAAGATTAAAAATTATACATATAAATGAAAATTTTCAAATTTACTTTCCCCAGACATGTTGTACTACCCAGAGAAATGGTGAAGTTGGTGCCTAAAAACCACTTAATGTCTGAGGAAGAGTGGAGGAGCATTGGTGTACAACAAAGTCATGGATGGGTGCACTATATGACACATCAACCAGGTGATTCTATCTATATATTGTTTGCAGGATACTGAAATTCAAAGAACTACATAGCGTTTAGATTTCGTTTTTATTAACTGTGATGAATATTGTTTATTCCAGAGTAGCCTAACTCATTTTACAACTTGACTAATTTATATTTTTATACCATAAATTCATTTAGCCTAAGTTAATAGTGGATTTTTATTTTCCTCTTTTTAGAAAATAATGTTTTTTGTTATCAGGCCACTCTGCCTACATAGTAGCCTTATATATAGAGTTAGAAGATAACTGCTGGCGGAAAAATATTAAACTATCCAAACCTTTGTTTTCAGAACCTCATATTCTACTGTTCCGAAGGAGAAAGCCACAAGAACATAAATGAGGATTGTTATAATGCTAAGTTTTACTTTTAATTGTACAGTTTAATCATGAAATCTAGACTTAATAATGATAACCTATGGCTTGCATGATGATATGATGGGTCATTACCAATTGATTGACATTAAATATGTTTGTAATTATTCATTAAAATATTGAAAATCATAGCAACAAAATTTGTTGAATTAAAAAGTGAAATAATGGTAGTCAGGTGTTTGTTTACATTTTAGTGAAACACTGTTGTTTATATATAACTGACTAGAAGATAACATATAAAATCTCTAATAATTAAATGTTAATTTTCTTAACAGTATTAACATGCAAGTGTGATTCATGTTTCGTGATGTTAGTTATTAAATCATCTAAGAACTTGCAAATTCATCATCATCAAATATCAAAATTTTTAGGAAAGGAAAGTAATAGATCAAAGAAATAAGTGACCAAACTTGAGAAGCATTTGTATTTTACAGGAGTTTTACACATTTTAATAAAAAATAATTAAGTTGAAAACACGAAGTATATTAGTTTTTTTAATTAAATTAAATAAATTTTTCATAGTGGTGAAACTTTTTATTTTTGTCAAAAAACATTTCATTAATCTGGAGTCTATTACTTTCTTCGTAATTGAGATTAATAAATATTTTGGTGCTATGTTTATGATTATTTTATTTTTTTTATTCAGATCCTCCATCTATACTAATATTATAAATGTGAATGTAAATAAATAAAACACTTTAACGGTTTAAAACCGATATATTATTAAACTTATTTGAAAATATTTTTAACTTGGCCCGACTTTGGATGCTTTCAGCAGCCGTGGTCAGGGGGGGAGACTTTTAAACTGTTAAAGTGTTTTATTTAAATGTGTCTAAACTATAACAATTTAATTATACTCTTTTCTGTCTGTATGGCTTTAACTCTGAAACTACTGAACTGATTTAAATGAAATTTGGTACACAGATAACTAAGAACCTAAAAAAGGACATAGCATACTATAAAAATATTATTTAATGCCAAAAAAGGGTTGAAAAAGAGGATGAAAGTTTGTATGGAAATTCGTGGTTTTTTAATCTAGAACAATGAAACATTCTTCTTTGGCTTTTTGGGAATAGGAGTGGGCGTGGTAGTGTAGGAAGAAGAGAGTGGGAGTTAGAGTAGGAGTGATGTGAGGTGAGAGTGTTACGGCAAAGTAGCACTTACCAGAGATTGCCTTAAACCTGCCCTTACATAAATTAATAAACAGCCTAAATAATTAAAAAATTCACCCCAAGTCACTTTTCCACGCGGACGAAGTCGCGAGCACGGCTAGTTTCCAATAATATTAAGTATTAAGTTCTAGTATTCCTAGGACCTACTATGTGGGAGGGTCGAAATGGTCAGAAATGTGTGGGCTGATCAACAAGCCCTATGGTGTACCCAAGTCACAATTATTTTTGTAAATATTTGATATAATATGAAGTTAGAGATGTAAATAAAAGGAATGTTTATAGTTATACATTTTTATTTTCTCTTTTTCTTTGCAGTTGGAGATAAGGAAGACATTTTTGTATCAGGTTGAGAGAACTCTAAAGCTTCTACTTTTATGTCCTCAGTAGACACAGTATCTAATAAATCCAAACCCTGCAATTGTTCTTGCTCCAAGCTATGTAACATTTGAAATCCAGGTTCCAAAGATGGTGTGAAAGCACTATCTAAAGCTGCCGGAAAATGCAGTTCTGGAACTTCTTCCAATTTCAACTGTGGTGCAATGTCCCCAATTGCTAGTGCTTCACACTGAGATTTTAATAGTTCACACTTCTTCTTAATTTTGTGGTGATATTTTATAACACGAGTTTCATAAAAGTCATACAGGTTACCTACATTTAAATCGGCTAATACTTTGGAAATTATATCTGGAAATCCCGATTTTATACCGCTTGCTTCTCTATCTGCAACTGTTCTCATCAATTTACACATATTTGTCATATAAATATCTAACACATCTGTGATAGCATTGAGTGCTGAGTTAGTACATGTAGCAATTCCAATATGTCCTATAGCCATAGCTGCACATTGCTTCAAAGCTCTTTTGTGACTTTCTGGAGTGAAAGGCAAAACTACTGCACCTTTGCCAAGTGAAAAATCACAATAGTCTTTAGGTAAGAAGTTTATGGGATGTGTAGCAATATGCTCTGGTTTTATATGCGGTTCTGGCGGTGGATTCGGCAGACTTAAGGCATCAAGCCTTGCACCTTCAAATACTGCGTTTTCTGTTTGCTCCAATATAGCAGTCAGCTGCCTAGCATAAGCGTGCAGTTGTATTGTATGTGTGATAAGATTGGGTTTCGGCAATTCTATGGGTGAAGATTTAACGGTGATGGGTATTTCTGGGATATTTTGCATTCCCAGTTCGATAATAGGATTGAAATTAACCGTTTGCAGGACCGTTTCATCAGCTTCGTCGTCTTCAAATTCACCCCAAAGTTTTCGTGTACTTGTCATCGTAAGGTGTACAACTTTATATTGACTGCCAATTTATAAAGAGCAGCTATATATATAAAATATATTATAAATACAATATCTTCTAACTGTAATTTGTATTTATAGTTTAAACTAATAAATAATTAATAAAACTTTTGTTTTGGTTAAGCACTTTTGTTTGGTTTGGCCTCGTAAATACGTATTCGTAAGTCGATGGTAAACAATTATAGGTTATGGCTAGCTGGGCTAGATTATAATATCACAGACTATAATACCGATTATACACTGTATAATATTGAAAGTTGCTATTTTTTTAAGATTTGTTGTAAAATTTAATACAGCAACTAAAAAAAACTACTTCATCAATTCCTATGAGATTGGATGAGGAATACATTAAAACACATATAAATATTTGTATATTTAAAACTAGCTATATTAAGCAATAAAAAACGAAATCCAATGAATAAGAACCGAATAGATTATACCTAGGTACCGTTATTATTTGCATAATACAAGAATACGTGGACGTTGAAGAGAGGTGGAATACACAAATTACTGGCTTCTCGTATACAGTAGCTATTAAAAATATTTAAACTTTTAGTATTTTATAATAACAAAAAAATAATGGTTCTTAAGTTATATCATTTTCCCCTGAGCTCGCCATCGCGTGCAGCTTACATGTCAGTAAAAGCTGTTGGCATTCCTGCCGACATAATAATTGTGGATTTATTAAAAAAAGAGCAGCTTAGCGAAAGTTTTGTTAAAATTAACCCACAACACTGTATACCTACAATTGATGACGATGGTTTTGTATTATGGGAAAGCAAAGCTATTGCCTGCTATTTGGCAGAGAAACATGGAAGAGATGATCTTTATCCAAAAGACTTGAAACGCCGTGCGGTCGTTAACCAACGTCTTTACTACGATAGCTCTATGTTGTATCCACGAATTAGAGCTATAAATGTTAGTAATCAGTTTCATTTATCCCTTTGTACATCCCTTAAAAGCTTTTATTGCAATTTTTCCACCATACCTTACTCTAGTGATTTAGAAGCAAACCAAAGAAACCACCAATCAAGGTGGTATTACATATTAGTAAAAACCACTTGCATATGTATAGGCACTATATCTCTACATATAATATATTTATCGTTTATATGTTTCAGTATCCAATTTTATTTCAAGGTGTCAAGGAAATTAAGAAGGAGTTGGCAGATGATTTGAATGTGCAGCTTGGATTTTTGAATCACTACTTGGGTGAGAGTAAATGGGTTGCTGGAGATGAAATGACAGTTGCTGATATTGCTATTGCTGCTTCTATATCGACAGTTATGGTAAATAATACTTTATTGATAAAAGAGAGATTATGACCAGACCTAGCACAGTAACTCATATTCTAGATATTAAACATTTCTTGGTATCAATATGTAAAAAAAAAACAACTTTAATGGGTTTTAAGAGATCTTATTAAAATTATGTTTCCCATAAATCTTATCAACATTCCATTTATTAAAAGATTGTCTACTATATATATCTATAATTTTCTTAATTTTATTATTATTGAATGAAAAACTACCATAATTCTGTCCTCAGGCTGTTGGATGGGATTTTTCTGCATTTCCCAATATTCAAAAATGGTTTAGCAACTGTGAGACAATTCCTGGTTTCCAAGATAATATGGAAGGTGCCAAGAAATTTGGAGACGCCGTGAGAAAAAACTTGGAATAATAATGCCATTAATATGACATTTTAAGCGACTCATATTATTTATATATAAATATATTTATTTATAGTCTTTGTAAAATTAAAATATTTTCTCAATAAATATACTTACAATCTTTTTTTAAACTTGGATATGGTGGTTTCTAATTGTTCGAAAAACCTGTATAATATATCCTTAAAAAAATTTTAGGCTATAAATATCAAAATAAATGTGCTAAGTCATAAAAAATAAGCATCAATAAAATAATAAAAAAAAAAAAAAACCAAGGGGGGGGGGGGCCAAAAAAAAAACACCCGGGCCCAAAAAAAAAGCCCAAAAAAAAAAAAACAACAAAAAACAAAAAACCCCGGGGGGGCGCCCCCCCCCAAAAAACCCCCCCAAAAAAAAGGGGGGGGGGGTTTTTTTGGGGAAAAATCCCCCCCCCTTATTCTCCCCCCGACCCCGGCCCCCGCAAAGCACCGAAACTCGGGCCGGTAACATTTTCAAAAGTTTACAAACCTAAACCAATTTTTATTTAAATGTGACTACTCCTAAACTATAGACAGTATTGAATCATATAAAATAAAATGAACCAAGATTGGACACTAGTGCTAAGAATGTAGATGTAATTTCGATATTATAAACGTATAAAGGTATCTTATCAAGGTCGTAGATATGAACTCTTAGAGTGCAGTAAAAAATATAAGTTTAACAGTTTTTCAGGAATATCTTATAAAGCGATATCTTGTTGGAAGTTCAAGGAATAAAAATGGGTTTGAAGTTGTATCATTACTCTATAAGTGGCCCTTCAAGGTCAGCCTACATGGCTATTAAAACCATGGGAATACCGGTTGAAGTTATCATTATAGATTTAATGAAAAAGGAGCAGCTTCAAGAGAGTTTTGTGAAGATAAACCCTCAGCACTGTGTGCCGACTGTTGACGATGATGGTTTTGTGCTTTGGGAAAGCAAGGCTATAGCTTGTTATTTAGCAGAGAAGCATGGAAGAGAAGACTTGTATCCAAAAGAGATCAAGCATCGTGCTATTGTAAATCAAAGGCTATATTTCGATAGCGCTACATTGTTACCACATATACGAGCTATCAATGTAAGTAATTCATAAATTTGTCAAGGGAACAAGATGTAAATAGAAACGAGATGTAAATTCAAGAAAATACAAGATGTAAATTCGATAGAAACTTCATATCCTACTCCTCATTTATTTAGATTTGAGAAAATGTATGCAATACCATATATCAAATGTAAAATTATTTTGGTTATTATTTTCCATATGAAATCTAAAAATTACCTTCTTGTCACCTACATGTTACTTAAAGTTTAGTAATAATTAAAATTTAAACAAAGTGCATAGGCAGACAATGTAATATATATCCCATAATTATAATCCTATTTTTTTCAGCACCCAATTTTGTTTGAAGGTGTAAAGGAGATACGGAAGCCACTAAAGGACAATTTGAATGTGACACTAGGCTTCCTGAATCAATTCTTAAGTGAAAGTAAATGGGTTGCTGGTGAAACAATGACATTAGCAGATATTGCCATATCTTCATCAATAGCTACAGTTTCAGTTAGTATAAATTAGAATTTAATTATTTTAACAATATCATGGTAGTGGTGTTGCTAAGTTATTAGTCTTGATTAATTACAGGCTCTTGATTGGGATTTTTCTGAGTTTCCCAACATTCAAAGATGGTTCAAGCAGTGCGAGGCGATTGCAGGATTTGAGGAAAATATAAAAGGTGCAACATTGTATGGACAAGCAGTTAAGAAAAATTTAGAAAAATAAATCATTTATATATAATATTTTCATCTTATAAATAAACCTTATAACATTATCTATAAAATTTAAAGACTAATTGTTTTTCATTTTTAACTCTTCTCATAATAATAAGTTCTGACTTATAGCCTTTTCGCATCATTAAATCTACAACTTCTTCAGGAATGTTCTCTTCTATGAGTAGGAGGTAGAAGATGCCTTGATCTGTTAATATCTTTGGTAGCATTTCTAAAAGTTTATCTATTATTTCTCTCCCTTTGACACCACCCGCCCAGCTAGCTTCTATTCCGTAGCTATTACATTCCAGTGACTCGGTCACTACATATGGTGGATTAAAGATAACAACATCAAATTGATTGTCAATGAAACATGATGCTAGGTTCATATTGACACTTTCCAGATCGACTTTATTGTAATTTGATGTACTCTTAGACATAACACATGCTTTAAAATTTATGTCGGTGCTGAAGTATACACAGTTAGGTAATGCCATTCCTAATGCAGTTATAACAATTCCGCTACCTGACCCAATTTCTAAACAATATAGTGGATTCTGTGATTGCAGAAATTTAAGATCTTTCTCTAAGGCATCTATTAGGAGGAAGCTGTCTTCAGCTGGCTCGTAAACATGTTCAAAATCATCCTTGCTTATATGGTTTTGATGCGGAGTTTCCATTTTAATTTATACTCCCCTGGTTTGTTACAACACCGCTTGTACTTTGCTCTGGCTCTGTCTTCTCAGGTTGTGAGTATGCAGCCCTTTTTTTGTGTATCATATGCCTTATTTCATTTAATCTGTCCTGTAATAAAATTGATAGTATAAAATGCTAGTGATAGTAATTAATAATTACTATTTTAATAAAATATACCTGTGATGCCTGCAATACATTTAATACTACAGTAACTTTGTGTTTGCATGCAATAAGCTTCTTTACATAGGGATCTAAGTCTGGATGGTTATTTAAAGCTTCTTTTACTCTTTGCAACTCTTCATTCAGTGAGTCAATCTGTTGTTTCAATTCTAACTGAGCAATTCTGAAAGAATATTTGAGTTATCTTTAATTTAACTAAAAGTAAAAAATATTATGATAATATTATCTGTTATGTTCTGAATAACTGCACACCTTGTTGCTCGTACTCTGTCATCTAGCTGATCGACTGTGGGCTTTAAAAGCCCAAGAAGGCCTTCAGCTAGGGTGTCCCTAGTTGGATTATCGCACAGGTTACCAGTGTTCTCATCAGCTGATGTAGTAGTGCTTTCCGTGTCATCCATTTCAATAATTCATTTACACATACCTAATACTTTTACAGACGACGATAATAAACAATCGGGACTTAATACCAAAATATAATTTTTACACAAGTTTTTGTTTATAAATCCCACTCGTCTTTGTAAAATAGTACATTATCTCCGCAATGTAGAAACAGGTTCAATTATTATCAAATGTGTTTTTTTTGGTTTCCTAAAATCCAGAGATAAAAGAGTCAAGTAATAAAGTGTTGAGTGGTGTTGTTTTTTTTTAATAATTTTATATGGCCTAGTAAGAAAACATTTAAGCTAAGTGGTATTGAGTTTTGTGTGTTCATAGAGTATAGAGTGATCGAAAAAAGAGATTTGAAGAAATGTTTTATTAAATCTTTTCTACTAAATACTGTCTATAGTTTACGCGAATAGTACATATTTAAATAAAAGAGAACGTCGGGCCGAAGTTAAAAATCATTTTCAAATAAGTTTAACCAATATATCGCGTTTTAAACTGTTAAAGTGTTCTTTTCTACTAAGCTAACCCAAAACCTAACAGTAAATTACTGTGTTAGTAAAACATATTATTTAAGAACATCTTTTACAGCAAAGGCGTTTAGAAGATAACTACAAATTAAAATAAAAAATCAATAAATAAATTTTATCTTTAAAATCCTTTTATTTCAAAGATTTATTATAAAAACAGTATTAAATCAAAGTACCTAACAAGAACCCTAAAACATATAGTTAGTTCAATCATTCTACGTGTATAAAACCTTTGTTGTTCGTATTTATGCTCAAATATTCTACTTCTAGTGTCTTATCTGCGATCGTTAGGTTAGTTATAATTATAATATAAATAAATTAAAAAAAATATGGTAGTTAATTTACACATAACCTCTAGATGTATAATTTTTTTAGGGGAAAAGGGGGGGTGGCCCCCTGTCTTTTTTTTCTTTTTTTTTAAATTTAATTAAACTTTGAACATTATTGAAAGATTACCACAGATTACCAATTATTTTATAAAAGTCGTCACCCGATATTATTCCGCTAAAGTCTGCTTCTAAACTTTATATATAATATAAATAAGCATAAAAAAGCATAGTTTAACAACTATTGTTTATTTTTAATACTTAATCTAAATATTAAACAAATATAAAATTAAAAATCATTGTTTAATTCGACACTCTACAGGCATCTGTTTCTGACTTTGTAAATCTAAGTTGAGCAACTACATATATTTATGTGGAAAAATATTTCAGTCACGATAACTGTAAATCACTATAAAGATACAACATTGATATAACAATAGGAGCAATCTAATTGTGATTATAATCATAAGTACTTTTCTTACTTTGACGTACAAAATCTGTTTTTTCTCGTACAACTCTCAAAACTTATTTAAGGTGTACCTACTTTTAAATAAAAAACCCTTTGAAGATTTAAGACGCGATATGTATTAGTTAAACTTTAATAATTATTTTAACTACAGGCCGACGTTTTGGATGCTTTGCATCAGCCGTGGTCACGTGGAGACTTAAGATGGAGGGTCTCTAATGTCAAAGTAAAAACTGCTGCGCTGTATCGTCATAGTTGGTATTTGGCAAAACTTGCCGAGTCATTGCAGAATTGCAAAGCATCCGAAACGTCGGGCCGTAGTTCAAATAATTTCCAAATAAGTTCAACTAATATAAATTTCATTTAAAACCGGTAAAGTGTTTTATTTAAGTGTACTACTCGCGTAAACAACAGAGAGTATTTAAAGTGTACTTGACAGTGAACGCATCTTCTCTTTGACGTGTGTATCCATGTCTGCATAATCGTTTAATATTTCTTCTATCATGTCAGAAAATATTGTTGGCCACTGAAGTTCTAAAATACGCAAGCGTTGAGCAGCTCCGCAGGCTAACTCTATTGCGTGTGTAAGCTGGCTGCGACCGCGAATCCGCCAGCTCATATCCTCCTGTATCATACAATAAAAAAATGTATTTTTTTAACTTAAGTTTTAATTTGAACTTCTGATAAGTTGAAATTAAAATTTAAAAAGTCGGTATATGGGATTTTGAGGTTGCTTTCAGGATAAATAAAATCTTAATGAGAAAAATAACATATCATAAATTTTCTTTCTTCAATTTGGAAAAGAAACACAGCAAGAATAGGCACTGCGGTATTTTTAAATTATTATTTTTCGTTCGCAATTTTAGTAAAATCTATTTATATGGTTATTTTAAGATTTGTTTGCAGTCTGGCAATTACTAAAAACGTCACAACGGTCAACATCTCCGACGTAGAAATGAATTACTGCAAAACATTTAAAAAACGATTTTAGATTGCAGAAAAATTACAAATTTAAATAATTAGTTCCGTACAATTGCTCTAACGAATAGAATCGATGTAAAAAAGCCATCAACTAGTAATAAGCACTTTTTTTAAATGTATGCAACATGTATGAAAAATATTAAAGGTTTGAAATACTAACAATGATACAATACGGTGATTTTCTAACATCGCTATCTATACTAATTTACAAAGCTGAAGAGTTTGTTTGTTTGAACGCGCTAATCTTCAAGGAACTACTAGTTCGAATTGAACAATTGTTATTGTTTCGGTTAGAACATTTATCGAGGGCCCATATGCTATAAAAGATTGTGCTGCGACTAATAGGAGCGAAAAAACAGAGGAAAATGCTGTAAAAACGGGGAAAATGATTCTTCTTTAAATTATCAAAAAAATGTCCGCAACAGTAAGTATCTCTTAAGCTGAACGCGCCAGAACGGGTCACGAGCGTCCGGACGTGGCGGATGACGTAGTTTAGGACAGTTTGGGATGCCTAAAATAACAAATCTACGCGGACGAAGCCGCTGACTCAGCTAGTATGTTTACCAACTTGCAAGAACGACAGGACGCGGACGACGTCGTCGTGTTACGTGAGTAACAGCGTGAATTAATAGAGTTGAATAGGAGATTTGCAAAAACAAATTTTTATGCCCGGATAACTATTATGGCAGACGAAGTCGCTGACAGACCTAGTTAGCAATATATTATTTACTTGAGAAATGTTTCCTTTCTTATACTGCAATGCTTCTTTTGCAATAACATCACGTAGTGCCGGGTCAGCAGCTCGAAGCCAGGTTTTAGCACTGATAGAACTATTTCCACTTCTTCCAAGCCGTGATAGTAAAGGTTGAAGAGGATCGTCAGGTAAAGCTCTTAGTACTATATCGCTGAGGCCACTGAATGTCCTATTTGCAGATTGTATTTCTTCGTTGGATACCTATAACCATATAAAATGAGGCTAGAGGCAGAGTGGCCTAATAATAAAAACATATTTTCAATAAGGAAGGAAATAAAACTCTAGTCATAAAATTACAGTTAGGCTACTCTGCTTCTAACGGCTTCAAATATACTTCACCTAAAGATTTCGAATCTAGTTTGTTTAATTACATACCGTTTCATTATTTATTTCTTTCAAGCCCCAGTGTCCAAGTCTATAAACAGCGTATTCCCGCCAAGTCTTCATACATATTGGATTACCCTCGGGAAATATCGTTAAGCTACTTAGTCCTCTCAAATCAGCTAAGGAATGCAACTGTCCCAAGTACTGGAGGCCAGTCGCTCGTACCGATATATGGGATACATTTGGAAACCTGTTAATTATACAAAATTAAAAAAAATATATATATATATAAGTAATGCTCGTGATGGTAAAACGTCGAAAGCAATTTCTTAAGCATTAAGCATTACTCGAAAACCTAAGTAGAATGAGCATTTTTTTCTTTTTTAACAAGAAGTTTAACTATTGGAAGATACATATTATAATATTTCGTTACGATATATACAAAAGGTGAGTAATAAAACTTTACGCAAGGTTAACAATTTTTAGCAAATTAAAAAAATTAATTATAAATTATGAGGGTATTAATCCTCATTATTTCAAATATAATATTTGCTTATAGTTTCATTTAAACTTAGTAATATCTTACTTGGTTTTTAGTTCAGTTAAGGATTGGGCAACAGCGTTGAAATGTACATAGTGGAACGCAGCTTTAGTTACTTTTTGAGCCTTATCCCAGTCCCAATCACGAGCTAAACGACGGACAGCACCTGCTCCCCAAGCGCTAACAACATCATCGTTTACTTCGACGAGGTAATCAACACCTTGTTCCCTGTCTTTCGTTGTAGGTAAAAGTTTAGGTACGGTTTCTGCAGGCTTGGGGAAGATTACATTTTTGCCCGATTTTACCTTTGCAGTAGCGGCACGCTGTGATGCCGAGGCTCTTTCATTCCTACGAGAAATCGTTGCGCTCCTAATGTTTCTATTTGATTTCGTGTTAAGCGAACCTTGTCTTTTCAGCCGATGGTCACTCACAGTTGATGCTACAGAACCTGCTTGCGTTACACTCGATATGTTACTTGTATTTTCAGTGCTGTCGACTTTGCTATTCCTTATTTTACGACTCTCTGGATCGCAGACAGATTTGGATCGCATCGAGTTGAAATTCTCACGTCTTTTCAAAACTGTAGGGGTTCGGCGAAACCTTCGTTTAGTTGTTTCTTCGTCAGTATCACTTGATGAAGACGGAAGAGAACTGAATGACGAATCGACGATTGGTTCAATGCTGGAAACACTTTCCCACCTTTTAAGGAGAGGCTCGTTACTATCTGCTAGTTTAACGTTTTCTAAAGACGAAATAATCGGTAATAATATTGGTGGAAGTCTAAGGTCACTGCTTGTAGACGTAGAATAGGATGCATCTGTATCTTGCGAAGCACTACGGTCTGAGAAATTTACTCGCCTTTCTGAAGGCTTTCGTGCGGTATTACTTCTTTGAAATTTATGAGCTTGAGATTTTTCGTCATTTTGAGGAGTTTTCGGTTTAGGTGAATCAATACTGGCTTTACACTCGTCAGCTGTCTGAGTGCACGCTATTATATCAGGGATTACTGCAGTTTCTACGGTTTGTGTAATTTCGTTATTTATGTCACAATCCTTAGCTGGATCTGCCAACTTTGTTGGACTACGTGGGACCAAGAAACACTTGTTTTCCGTCCTGTAAATAAAATATTAAAGGCAACCTAAAGAATGTTATCTAAGTTATGAAAGGTTATCCAAGCAAATAAGTTGGAGACGTACCTAAGAAGTTCCCAATTGGTTCTGGCATTATGTATAACCTGATCACGCCGAGCAGCTTGCTGGGCAGATCCACTTAAAGCACAATAAGCTGCGTGTGCAGCTTCTTTATTGCTGCGCCAAGCCATAGCTGCACTTCGAACCTGCCATTATGTCAATTAGTTATTTCGTAAGAATACTTTATATGTAAAAGTAGATAGAGTATTTTTATATTACTTGGTCCGTAACAGTCATGCTAGAAAGGGTTGTTAAATTTGGAAGATACGACACCAGGAACGGCGTACAATCACCGCCCAATGCCACTGGATTTCCATCAAGTGAAACTTCAATCAATGTCGTTGCTTCGGCGAGCGTCGAGACGTCTTCTACGCTAAAATCAAAAGGAACATTGATAGGACATAGACAAATTAGCGGTAGCATCATAATTAATTAGATCTTACATTACCTTTGCAAGTCGTTGTTACTTAAATATAGCTTCTGCAATTTTGGTGTAAAGTGAAAACTATGCAGTTTCTTCAATCGATTTCTCTTAAAATTTAGTTCCCTCAGTGAAACTAAACCCTGAAGATCGTTTTGGCTAATAAACTTAATTTGATTCCCTGCCAAATTGAGAACTTTCAATTCACATAGATTTGATAGGCCGCCAACCTTTGCGATTCTATTTCCGTGTAAATCTAGTACTTCTAACTTAATAAGAGTAGACAGCCCTTCGATTCTCTTGATTCTAGAAAATATGAGTAAAATTACAGCTCATTTTATTATAATTTATATATAAACGTTAAGTGAGGGATTTACCGATTCTTGCCCATCAGAAGTACTCTCAAACTGAACAGCTTTTCTAAAGAAGTGATTTTGTCAATTTGATTGTCATAAACATCTAAAAACACTAGTTTGCTGAGATCGAGAGGCGTCAAACCTATCAGGCTGTTTATTAAATTGTGTTGCAGTGATAATAGTCTTAAGCCGGGCTCGCCTACAATATGTGGTATGGAAGATAATCCTCTTCTGTAATAAGAAAAAGTATGTCAAACTAACCAATGATATCCTTATTAGATGAGTACTTATTGCGTTCATATCTTACCTATCTAAACTTATTCTATCAGGTAAACGATCTTTTTCCTGTGGAGTTCTAGAAAGTTGCACTCTCCCTTCACCCACAGCTTGCAAGGTAATCTCTTCTCTGGCATCTTCTTTATTGATATAACTACAGCTATTGAATGAATTAACAAAATTTGAATTTAATAATAACATCGTGTAATTTAACAATAATGAATATCTAAATGTTACCAGGAGTATATCATAAAAGATTACATAACAAGTAAGTAACATTCAAGTTTGTGTGAAAGATAATTTCAGTCAAACACAAGCAACTACATTTTATTCGTAAAGATTACCTTGAAAGAGTGGTATTAGCTCGTTGCAAGGATGCGCGGGGATCGGCTATAGCTGGCTTAATTTGTAAGAACCTCCCATCACCGTCACCAGGATGATCAATTTTTTGACCGCTTGCATCGACGGAATGAGCTGATCTTCCTCGCGATCTAAAAGCAATTTTTCTTACCTACGGGAATGATTAAATGTAGTTTTCAGCCTTACGTAAACATGAAGGTTCTATGTCAATTTAAAACTTACATTTCCACGACCATACGTGATTGGCATTAGATAAATTTGTTATAAGCATATATAAATATATCCAAATGTCTTATATTTATTCGATTATGTAATTGGCCCCATTTAAAGCAGCTTTCTTGAATATAAATTCGTACAAAAGGCAGTTTCGTCTCATTTTATAAATTCTTCGATTGGTTGCTTGGATACGACAATTACAAGTGTTACTTAGAGATGGGAACCTATTTCGGGTATAATCTGCAGCTAAGCGTAATATTTGTAGGTAGTTAAATATTGTAATGTATTTGTGATAAAGTATTTGTAATACGTTTCAAAGAAAATATTATTTTAAAGTGAGGTAATACTGTTGTTGACAAAAAAAAAACAAGACAAATTGCAACAACATTTTTCCACGAATGTATAAAAAATTATCATAGTTATAACTTATTAATACGGCCGATGTAACTTGGCAGTCCTGATCTAAGCGCGAAACGCTGTGCAGAAACGTTCTTTAGGATGTTAACGGTGGTAAGAGCGAGGGGCGCGGGGTGAAGATCTATGCTAGTGATTGTCTCAATGTCAACACAATCAACCGCTTATTCTAGCAAATTTTGTAATCGATTTATATTTAAATCGTATGAGATATTGTACTAAATGGATTGATGAACACAGTGAATGGTGTTGTTAATAAACAATACCATGATTACCTTTAAAGGAAAATAAAATCATTATAATTTTTTTTCATTATTGAACTACCTGATCTAGTTAAATATGAGTTATTATTTATATAATTACTATTAATACCTTCTTTAGGGCTTTTTATAAAATTATATTTTTACGATCCAATTTTTTCTATTTCAATAGGAATCGATTAAACGACACTCTCAAGGATCGCGTATGGACATCTCTATTTGGTTCTTTCGTAAAGCTTCGTACATATTCGGTAATGTTCGGTAAAGAGTAGTGCTTTTCCGATCTCGGTCACTCCTTGGTGTTTATTTCGTTATCCCTGTCTTGAGCGCAGTCCGTTAGAAAAGTGATTGTTTATTGTTTAATTTAAATATTATTATTTCTCTTTTGTAATATTTTTGTTTTGTCTCTGTATTTTAGTGAAAATATAATTAGCCCTTATTCTCTTTGAATCAATTATTGGTATGTTACATTTGTTTGCTATAGGTATAATTTTTTATTTACCCCAGTAACGAAAATGAATGGCAGTATTAGTTTTCTTTACGAGTGTACATGCGCCAAAGTTAGTCTAACCTCAGTTCAGAGCTGCCAAATTACGTCGGCCGTATTATAGAGACCTTTAATGTAAAAGTAAGATGAATGCAGTTTAAAATAATATTGCAATAAGTACTTTCATACTATATTGAAACTTAATGAGGATTCTTGAGGACTTTTTTACTACTGGTAGACATTGAAAATTCACCAATAAAAAAGTTTTTTTAGCTTCTCTACCTTTTTGAAACTAAATAGCACTTGATTATTTTTTCGTTGGTCTCTGGATTTTTTTTCGATGTCAACAATGAAAGCTGTCCGTTTTGACACATTGACATTGAGATTCAATTTTAAAACCTTTTCTTTTCAAAACAAAAACAAATGCAGTTCACAATACCATCAAAGAGTGAAAGTTTAATGGGCTTATAAGGGATATTTTAGCGACTAAACGTTATATCTAGAAGTTTGTGTATGTATAAACTCTTACAGAAAGCGTTTGCGAATCGAATAATTCGTACATTGGTCTCTGCGACATCGTCTTTTGGTTTAAAGATGGTACGATTCTTTCCAAATCCCTACGAGGATTACCAGCCGGGTTCTACGCTAATAAAACAAGATACTGTTATTAAGAATATAGAGGAACATGTAGCCGTAATAACAAAGAGACTGCAGCCCTCCCAGAGGAGTGTTGACGGCGGTCTTTATGTTGGAGTCACAGGGGTATCTTATATGTTTTATTGCCTCGCAAAAAATCCTATACTATCAGACAAGAAGTCATATTTTATAGAGAAAAGTCTCGAGTATCTACAACCCGCTTTAGAGTGTTCAGCGGGAGACAAAACTTCGTTCCTACTCGGCGACGCGGGCACATATGCTTTAGCCACTGTTATTAGGAAGGAAGCCGGCAATGACCTCTTTCAAGAGTCCCTTAAGCAATATAAGTCTCTATATAGTTTATATCTGAGCCCAAAATTTCTAAAGTGTGGCGGTGACGAGTTTTTCGTTGGCCGCGCAGGCTATTTAGCTGGTTCGTTATGGATTAGTCGCGAATTAAAAACTCCAATTTTTACAAATGAAGAGCTATATAAAATATGCGATATAATGTTTCAGTCAGGTAAAGATTATTCTAAGAGTCATAAAAGTCCCTGTCCACTAATGTATCATTATTATAACACTGAATATCTTGGAGCGGCGCATGGCATCAGCTTTATATTGCAGATGCTGTTAACTGTACCTGGTTATGTAGACTATAACAAGGCTGCCGCTCAAGACATAAAATCAACAGTTGATTTTATAGCTTCATTACAGACTCCAGAAGGTAACTGGCCATGTTGCATGGAAGAAATAGGAATGTCCGATCATAAATTGGTACATTGGTGTCACGGTGCACCAGGAACAGTATACCTAATGGCCAAGGCTTTCCTTATGTATAAGGATCAAAAATATCTCAATGCATGTAAAAAGGCAGCTGAAGTAGTTTGGCAGAAAGGGCTCCTACGTAAAGGCCCTGGTATATGTCATGGTGTGGCCGGCAATGGGATGGTATTCCTGCTGCTTTACAGATTAACTGGTGATGACAAGTATTTGCATAGAGCAAAGTCGTTTGCTGATTTCATGAATACAGATGAGTTTTTAAGAGATGCCCGCTTGCCAGATAATCCAGAGAGTTTGTATGAGGGAACAGCAGGCACAGTTTGCTATTTATCTGACATCCTAATTCCAGATAAAGCGGAATTTCCCTTCCAAGATGTATTTTCCACATACACCTTTTAACATAATTTATTCTAGATTATTTACTTCGGCTTATTTGTCCCCATAGTAAACGAACTGCTGACAGTAATTGTCATGACATGCAATTTTACTGTCGAAATTAACTTGGTAATTTTACAATAAACTCCTCCAGTACTCTACCTGTTTTATTGCCATACAGTCATGGTAGTCATGAATTTAGGAACAAATATATTAAACTTTATTTCAATCCTTGATTTTTCTATAATAATTAAAATTTTTAAATATAAAAGTATTGGCAATGTCTTGGTATTGCACTGTTATGATTCAACATACAACAGTGCTATTCTTTCAAAGATGTTTACAGAACGTAGTTTTCGAGTGGCGAGTTTTAACCTATGTAAGACTAGTTTGATAAAGAAGTCCAGCATACATTCCAAAGTAGCAGTACTAATTGATACAAATTGTGAAAATTGGGAGCAAAGCTTTGATATGTTCGACGAGCCATTCACGAACTCTTATTGGATTTTTAAGAGTACAAATCTATCTCTAACCACTGATATATTATCACATTATCCGATAGAGTTTAATTCCGATCTAAATATATTATCCAGTGAAGATAATGAGTATAAAATCTATGAGTTCTACAATACAGGATTCTATAAAAATGGTAGCTTTATACGAAACGAAATAGGATATGTGAATAGTTTGGGACAGTTGTTTATGTCGGCGAGGCGTAGTAAGCTGTTAACTGATGTTAATTTGAAATTACTTGTCGTTTATCCTGATGCTATTAATGGCACGACGTTTCAAAGCTTTTTGAACGTTGAAAAGAAATCTCAAATTGATTCTTTACACAAATTAAAGTTTTACATGCTGAAGTTATATCTACGCGATATGTACAAATTCAAGTAAGTGAGTAAGTGGCTTCTAATGTAAATTAACTGTCCTGTTGGTTAGTGCACTCTGCACTGCAGATTAATAGTTCTCGGGTTCGAGCTCTATTTGAATTGTTATTTGGATTTGTTTGGTTGGGGTTTTGAAGAAACTTTATGTTAAATCGAGTGTATGGAAGCTCTTCAAACTTCTCTTATGCCTGTTTTGGTGCGAATGCTGGAGTATGACTGAATTAAGTATAGGCTACATAAATTACATAATACACTAGAGCTAAGCTGTTCAGAAAGAACAGCTTTAAAAACTGAAGCATTATATGACTCACAAATTTATGCATATTGGTTAAAATTGGCAGACATTTTGGTTGTGGCATCGTTGCCTTTTTTAGTCTATTTTATAACTAGCTGTTATCCACGATGTCGCACGCGTCCGGTCGTTCGATTCTCGTTTTTTTCCACATTTCCGCTTTAATTCTTATTGGTCGCAACAAAAAGGCGCAACTCGAACCAATAGTTGTTGAGATTGGCGCTTTTACACAAAAAAGCTCTTCAGCTATATGTTAGTATAAATTGTCATCGCAGACTACTAAAATAACTATTTGTCTCACAGGTATAAATTGCAGCGCACATCATCTTGGGGGTACTTGCGTAACTGCAGTTTCGACGGTCTGGTTGGGGCGTTACAGAGAAAAGAATCGGACGTAGGCGGGACGTCCGTGTTCTTTAGACCGGATAGACTTGAAGTTATCGACTACGTCGCAGAGACTTGGGGAAGCAGGTGAATTAAAAATATATTTTATACTAGCAAACTTTGCCATATAAAGTGTTTTGACCAAAAACGAATTTTTCAATTCCCACCAATAGTTCCCGAGATTAGCGCGTTAAAACAAACAAACTCTTTATCTTTACGATATTGGTATAGATTTCGACAACATTTTGGTAACTATAAAAACGGTACTTGTAAGTTAATCTTAAAAGATAGACATATACTTTAACAAACATTTCTTTACATTATTTCAAGAAGAAACATTCTTTCATACATATTCTTTGGGTATATTGAACCACTCAATAAAGAATAATTTTCCTCGTTTTAACATTTCCCGCCGTTTCTTTGCTTTTCTTTGTCGGAGTGTGATGTTATAAAGCGTGGCTTTGGGCATTAAGAAATGAAACGTGTTTAAATTTATGCCTTTTTCATCTGTGGACGCAGGATCGTGACCTGGGCGGAATTTCGACAAACACATCTTCAACATCCTAATTTTTAATACGAAGTATAGATTTTGAGAAATAATTTGGACCCATTGGGAATCGAACATCCATTAGATTAATAAGCACGTCTTGTAACACTTGCGTTAACTATAGACAGTGCTTTTGTTTTTAGAATATGTTTTATTTTTCGCCACCCTAAGCACCCAGGTGGTACCTACGGAATCTACAGTAGACCGCTCGTCAACACTGTATGGTATTGTACAATCGCCCTACTGGTTATAATAGGACTCGTTCTTGGTTTCCTACTTAAGCTTGGAATCTTAAAGAGCCCAGGCGACGAAGAAGACACCACCCCATCTCGTACGGTCTTATTCCTGTTCAGCGCTTTAGGACAACAAGGTATTAATATCTACAATTATATTATTCACTGCAACTAAATGGTGATGGCAGTCCCGGGGTTAGAATCCTGTGGGCGACGATAGATTTAGGTCTTCGGACGTCTAAGCAACTACTGCTTGTCTTTTAGTAAAATCGACCAAATGTGACACTTTTAACGGTTAAGAACACGAAATATATAAGCAGCAGTCGTGAGCACGTAACAAAAAGTGCAAAGCATCTGAAACGTCGGGTCGTATGAATATAAATCAAATATTTGTTTAATTGTTTAATTTCGCTTTTTAAACCGTTAAGTTGTTTTTATGTAATTGGAAAGAACAGACAAGCGTGAGGTTCAGTTGGTAGTTGAAAATTGAAATATGCTAGCCATAGCTGAACAAGATGTGCTGTTAGCCTATTTTGTCTTTGGATATTTGGGAAAAACGTGTATTTAAATGTGTACTTCTCGCGTGTACCTACAATACTTGATATCAACCCTTAAAACTGAAACTGAGTTCGCCCAAAATGGGCGGAATGGGGGGATATCACTATCATGTTTATAGAATTTTGCTTAATGTGTTTCTCGTGTGTGAAAATTTTTAACCCCTTGTAATTTCAGGAATGTCCATAAACAGACGATCTGTCATCGTGAAAATCATAATTTTCAGCACTTATATATTCACATTGACTGTATATCAATATTATAACGCGATGCTAGTATCGACACTGCTTCGAGAGTCACCTAAAACAATTCGTACATTAAACGATCTACTGCAAAGCAATATAAAGATCGGTGTAGAAGATGTCATTTATAACAAAGATTATTTTAAGGTGCGTTCATAATTGGGCCTCCTGTAAATAAATTTAACGTTTAAGCATGCGGCCAAGAAATTTGTATAATATTTTTAAAAAAAAAAACTTCGCCCCGCCGTTACCGATGCTTCGCAGCAGCCGCGTAGAGTAGCGCTATTTAGGGCTCGGTTATAATCATTTTTAAAATAGCTTTTAAACCCTCAAGTTATGTGTTCTTCCCCCAAAAACAAAACCCCGGGAAAAAAACCCCCCCCCCCCCCCCCCCCCCCCCCCCGAAAAAAAAAAAAGGGGGGCAAAAAAATTTTTTTTTGCAAACCCCCTCCTACCTTAAAATTTTGGTCATGGACATTATTTAGATCGTTTAAAGAGGAATAATTCCTTCATACATATTTTTTTAGCGCACGCACAAGGCCTCTCGGCATCCTCGCAAACCCTCAAAGACGAATAATTTTCCTCGCTTTCTCCGGATTTCCTTCATTTCACTCCTATTGGTCGTAGCATAATTTTTAATAGCCTAAAGCCTTCCTCATAATATATCTAATAATAGAAATGTTGTAACACAAAGATATTTTTTAAACCAGCAGTTTCTGATATTAGCTCGTTGAAGCAAACAAACAGACAGTTCAGCTTTATAATATTAGTATAGATAACGTAAAAACAAAATTACTATTATTATATTTATTAATTATTATGTAGTTAATATAATTGGTTTTTAAAATAATATTATCTTGTACTCTTATGCGATATATATTCTAATTGATGTAATAAAATTTGGAATAATTCCAGCGTACTACCGACCCAATCGCAAAAGCCCTGTATAATCGCAGAGTGGTCACAGCGACAGAGAACAATTTTTATCCCCCCCTAGAAGGCATGAGACTAGTGAAAAGGGGAGGCTTTGCGTTTCACGTAGACACTATTATCGCATATCCCATGATGAGAGATTTTTTTACTGAAGCTGAAATATGCGAGGTACAAGAGGTGTACATGATACCGCCACAAAAGATGGGAGCTATTTTACAAAAGGGGTCGCCGTATAGAGAACATGTATCTTATGGGTAAAGCATTTTTATTATCTTTATAAAGCAAAATCCTATAGGGGGTTTTCATTCGTTTCTGTCAATTGAAACCGTATTGTCCTAAAGATAAAGTTGGAAATATTTTTTTGTTTAATTAATATTTCAAATCACGCGATTAGTACCTCTAGATTTTCAAATGTGATGTCACGAAACTTAGGACCCCACCCCTTGTCACACTTTATCGACCCTCCCCCCTTTACGTGTGACGTACTTTATGGATGACCCCTTAGTGTCCAGAAGAATTTCAACCTCATGTCAGTAAATTAACTATTAAATTCTTTAATTCCAGAATCCGCAAAATGTTCGAAACAGGCATTATGAGCCGATTAAAATCAATGTGGGACGAACCGAAACCGCCATGCATCCGAACGCCAAACACGAAAGCTTTCTCTGTGAATATTCGAGAATTTTCGACAGCCATTATTATTTTATTGGTGGGAATGGTATTCTCTGTGACGATATTACTAGTTGAAGTCGTCACTTTCAGGTTGCAACCAGGGCCGGCGTTACTAGGGGTAACAGTGGGGCGTCGGCCCAGAGTCCCAATTTTGAAGAGGCCCCGAACCTTCGTCCCCTAAACTGTCACATTGCATTTTGCTCACTTCGTATTACTTGATGGTAGATGGAATTAACCTAGCCATATAACATCTTGATTATATGCTCTGTCAAATTGTGGCTTTGGATATTCGGAAATGCACAGACTGTAACATGTTTTATCTGTGGACGGTGGTACGTGACCCAGACGATAATACTACCTTCGTGATTATTATATCTTAGGGATATTGAGTCGAAGTCTATTAAGCAGCATAATAGCAATAGTTAGCATCGTGTAGAAGACACTAGTAATTTAATAAAAATCACATAGTATACGCTACATACCCCACGTAGGTGACGTTTAAAATGTAGATAAAAAGAAATACACAATAAAATACCATAAGCTTTGTCTCATTTCATTTATTCAACATAATGCAATTTATACAAATTAAGAATTATAATCTTAACATGTTATAATTCAATAGACAATACAAATATTCCCATGAGGTACACAATTCGACCAGGAATTGTCTCCGAACTGTTCAAATCTATTGGAATCCGTTAAGGTCATACGGTTTACACAACTGCAATGTTGCCAGGTATAAAAACTCAGTACTCCCATAACTAAAACTTTCGATAAAAATAATTGTTACACCTTTTGTACTAGGTTTTAGCTCTGGAAGTATTGTAAGTTAAGTACGCGTAGATGTCCAATACTAGAATTTGATTTCCGATAACTATTGTACTGGCAACCCTAATAATAAAAGTGGTAAAAACACTCGCAGCAATTTCTCGTATGTAAGAATAAAATATCGATACATTTCGAAAAACGAATGGTGTAAATTTTTCTTATACATACTTATAAAACGTGACCACCATTTGGCCTCCAAACCGTATGACTCGTGGTGGGATGTTGACGAAGGGCGGAGGCTCTTCACCGTTCCTCGAGAACGATGGTCTCCTGTGGATATAACTTCAGCGCTTTCAACGTGCTGCTGTGAGATTCCGTTGTTAGCTAGAAGTATTTAAACGAGTGTTTAGTTTACTATAGTACCATTGACAATAGTTAATGAATAACAATGCAGATAAAAAAAAATATTTTTTTATATTATTTTGAATTTGGTTCAAACTTTATCAACTATTTTTAATAACTTATTCAAAAAGGGCAACAGAACAGATATAGCAGCTTTTAGGGCCAGTTAATGCTGTAATCTTAAAACATATATAGGTTTTTCTTATAGCCAAATACAGGAAACATGTATAACTTACGTCTCTTCTAGGCCAGCTAGATATCACTTTGTAGTTTTCTTGAGGGTAACCTTTCGACGCTAAGAAATCTAACAATGCCTATAAAATAAAAATAAAAATGATTGAAAACAATACTTTTAGTGTTTATTTATATTCTATATCAATTAGGGGGGATGCCTATTTCAAACCAGGGCTGGATTTAGAAGTCTGAACATCTTGGGGAAAAGTTTAAAACTGTCAAAGTTACTTTGTATTGTAAAAAAATCATAGTTTAATTGTAATAAATAGGTTCTTAATAATCATAAAAAATTACACATAAATAGTAAATTGTTTAGGCGATTAGATAAAAACTAATCTGTAATATGGGGCCTTTCTTATGTGGTTTGTATGATATGTCGTTTGGTCAAGCCAATTCAAGACAAAGAAAAAATACTCTGTTCAACAGAACAAACGGCAAAAAAAATCGTGATCATTACTCATGGGAAACTAAAGATAGAGGGCTTCCCCCTTTTATTTCAAAAATAAAAAAAAATAATTAAAAACTGGCAACATTTACATACCGCAAGCGTGTCAGTCGCGTGGAAGCGTCTCTCGAGGCACTCGTTGTGCGGTGGGGGGAGACGTACCCGTATACGCGACACCTCTGCCGCGTCCGCAGCCGGCTCAGCGGGTACGCGAGATGCCGCGCCCACTCGAAGCGCCTTAATAAAGACATACCGTATTAAAAAATTGTGGTGTTTAGATCTGAAAATGATTTTTTTTATATAAAGAACGAAATACCCCACCCATATTACATCTAAGCAAGGATGCGCTATCGATCTCTTTTGTCTATGGATATTCGGATATTGGATGTTCAGTTCATTTCAAATATGTAAAATGCAATATCGAAGGAAAAGTAATTCGACGGGCTCGTTGGTCTATGGGTATCAATATATGTTTAATAATCTGTAGGTCGTGGGTGCAATCCCCACAGGATCCAACTTGATTCGAATCGGTTTATAATTTGTCTGGACGTTGCCTTTAAATCTAGATATTAAGTCGGTGGTTGGGAATATCGAAGAATTATGAGAATTTGATTAATTCGTCGAGGAATCTAAGAGCTTTAACATCTCTTGATGGTGCCGTCCGCTCGTGAGGGCGAAACGTCGAGAATGATATGCTGTGCGATGGCCGTGAAAGCCTTAGACAATTTATTTTGAAAAACCGCCTACTGGTTTTTCTAAATATGAATATGCATTACGATAAAAATACAATTTATTGCATTTTCCTCTCTCATTCTCGTTGGCTTTTAATCATTTATTTTGTTTTCCTTTTCATTATACAAAGGTTGTCTGGAAGAAATCGCCATAGGCGATAAGGCCGCCTTTGCACTAACTCATTTATGTAAATATTTATTTTAGTTATACTATATTTGTATTGTATCTGTTTGTGCAATTAAGTGTTTTATTATTATTATTATTATGAATATGGAAATATTGATGAATTGTTGAATGCCTAGAATGAAATATAGGAATTATTTGAATACCTCCTTCTTGGCTTCCTCCATTAACCGTTCCGATTCTGCCCTTTCAATCTCTTGATTCCTTTCAAACTCTTGCTGTTTCTTTATTTCTTCTTTTGCTCTGAGGATAATAAACAAAATATTCGATAAAGTATATATAAATTGGGAAGAGTAAAAGATTGGGGACACCGATAGCAGACCAATTAGTCCCACACTTAACTATTTCACCCATCCTTCCTTCGCAATGGACATTAGGTTATCCAACTCTCACTGTGTTAAAATCTTCCTTTTCTTTGTAGAATTTATTCCATCCCCAGTTTCCTTACTTTAAATGTTAGTTATTATTATGTTTAATATTAAGCAATTTATTATACCTAAAGACTTTTAATTGGTTTTTAGGTTGGACATGTTGGATATGTAATATTGGTAATTTTTTTAAACATTGTAGTAGTTTGTACCTGTCAGCCTCCAAACTCCGCTGGTAAGCTTCATCTTGCTCCCACTTCACCCTCTGTCTCGCTAGTCTCTCTCGCTCTACCTTGGCGTCTTCTTCCCTTTGTACCGCGAAACGTTCTACCGCTTCCATGAGCCCGCCCACCAGTTCTGACACTCCTACGTTACCTATAAAACAATACTAGATATAATATAAGTAACAACATTTAACAACGCTTAAAAGTTTAAAACACGTAATATATTAGTTATTTGGCGTTTTGAACTAAAGTGTTATCATTTATTTATTCTTAAAAGCTTATTAACTAAATACTTATACATACAAGTTACATACAATATTATAAAGCTAAAGAGTTTGTTTGAACGCGCTAATCTCAGAAACTACTGGTTTGAAATGAAAAAAACTTTTTTGTATGTTAGAACATTTATCTATAGAAATATTGATTCCTGTTAATTTATATAAAAAAAAATATCTGCGACAAACGCGTTTTTATCTTTTAGATTACTTCGCGAGAACGATGGGACGCCGACGACGTCGTGGGTAACAGCTAGTTTAAAAATATTACAACAAACATACCATTGATAACAGAGTAAATTTCCGTATTCGAGCGCAGGCGCATTATTATGAGCAGAGCTGGCAATCGGTCGATGGGGATCCTGCGTATTGTTCTACTGGCTACCAGGTCCAACGCATTCGTCACCGATGTTAACAAACTAAAAAAAAAGTACATACTATCTTAAACTATTAACGTCCCATAAGACTCAGGTCTGTCCTCTTTTAGGGGAGAAAGTGAGCTTTGACATGTTCTAGAACAGGTTGGTGGGCTTTGACAACTACCACCATTAAATTAGAGCCTCATGGGTGATCACAACTATCTCCATACCCTAGACAGGTATTAGATGTTTAAAATGCTATTTAGATTAAAAAAGATTGGTCAGGAGCAGCACGGATCCTTGTTGATGGCGGTTAAAGCAACACCCATGTCGTTATTTTTTTCCTGTCTAATTTAAATCCTCGACCAACCCTAGATACAAATCATGGATTTCAAATACAACATCACTTGCATTTCTTTTTTTAATTACCTACTTTGTATGTATTATACAAACAGAATGAGGGTAGATATCAACAATGCTAACAGATTCATGTTGTCCGGGTAAGTGAGGTCCCAGCCGTAGACTATAAAGTTGGCAGCAAGTGTTTGCAGAACCGTTTCGCAGCCAAGAAGTTGAGCACAGAACACATTCGACAACACTGACTGCTCGTGGTGCAGATAAACCGCTAGGAGTTTCCTCTGAAAATTAAAAAAAGTTTTTGATATTTTGCCGTTCAAAGGTGAAGTTTGAATAGCGAGGTAAAATGTTCTTTTCCTTAGAAAAAAAAGTGCTTTTTTAAACTTACGTAAAATAACAATATTATTTAAAACACACTTAACGATTTAAAACGCATTACTTATTTTATTCTTTACTATCCGATGTTTCTGAAGCTTTGAAACTGTGTTTTATTTAAAAAGGATACATAGGCCTGAAGTAAAAAAATATTGAAATAAAATACTTAACGGTTTACAGCACGTTAACTTATTTTTAACGAAACTAAACTTATGAAACTTCGCGGTTCGTGTTTTAATAAACAATAGACAATACTTAACAAAATAGGTTGCAATTATTTTAGGGCAAAGTTTGTCGGGTAGTTTAAATTTTTTTTTATTTTTACCTCTTTAGCAGGCGTGAGACACGACTCCTTGATTGCGTCTTGCAGGGTCCCTTCGAAAAAGTTTGGCGAGTTCGGCCCGTAGCGCGCGCGGAACCGCTGCGCAAACTCAATGCAGCCCAGGGCCTCGTCTTCCACGTGTTCAGACACTAGGGTACAAACAGCCCAAGATTAACATGTATATTAAAAAAAAAAAACAAGTTTTTTTCCCCATCGTAGGGCTGTTACAGTATCTGGTCTTTCTTACAGACCAAAATTTTTTATCTAACGTACACTTACCAATAATGGTACTCAGAACCTTGTGTAGTTTACTAGTACAAAAACATTTAATGCTAATAAGAGACCATCTAAGACAGGGAAACAAAGCCAGAAAGAAAAAAAATATTATTTTTGATTGCCGTCCTATCTTGTTTGGACCACGTTGTCCAAAAAGTTGATGGCATTATCTAGAGACGTTTTACATAGGAAGTTCATGAGATTGTTGCGCAACTTTGGCATATTAAGGTCTAGTTTTTTTGCATATGTAATATAAATATTCTCATTTTTCTTCTTTTATTTATCAAATTTAAACAAGCCGTACCCGACTCTGCAGAAACTAAAACATCCCACCGCACTTCAGTTAACTTCTTGTCTGACGTTATTTAATTTTAGACGTATTAAAAACAAATAATTATATATAGCCTGACGCTAATTAAGACGAGGGTTCCACTTGCAGGAAGAATGCCCACACCTGGGACACTCATCTGTCGTGATTGTCGAATTGGATGGCGTCATACTAGGAGACAAGTTTGGTTTTGATCTAGTCTTCCGGGACTTTGATCGAACGGTCACAGATATAGGTCCCTGCTGATATTGCGTTATGGCCTTCATTATTTTGCTAATCAATTGTTTCGCTTTAGTCTTAGCTTTGCGTTCGGTATTTCTGCGTGGCTTTCCGTTAACTCGTCGTTTACTTCGTACTACAGTGCTAGGACCGGCTTCATTCACATTGGTACTAATACCATCACCTCTGTTGGTTACACTGGCTGGATCATCATCTACAATCCTGCTAGGCTCATCTACCTTTTCTTCCGAAAATGGATTACCAGCAGGCGACTCATTGTTTTCAATATTGTTTATATCATTCATAATAAAAAATATACTAAAATCTTGTAAACTGATTAGAAATTGAAGTGGTGAATGACACAATTGTCACTTTTCAAATGCATTTGAATTGTTATTTTTCTTTTAACCAGCTTGTGTAATAGAACTATTGAACTGTATATAGTTTTGCAACCGTCATTATCATAATTAAATAGTAAAAATTCTCATAACCCTGTGATGTTTAAAATTTAATAAGTACTCACTTAAAGGTTGCAATCTTTCAGAGGGTACGTCTACAAACATGTCTTCTTCAGCTGGAAATGAATCACCATCTTCGACCTCCTCCACCGAACCGTTATCACTGTCTGAACTATCTACTATTATCTGTGAATTAATAGCATTAGTTATATGTTTGTTTCTTTTGTATATAAAGATAAGTTCATCATGAATCAGACATTGTGCATTGCCTGACCAAAATAGATAAACTTTATGCTTTCCAATGATCCTTTTGCAGGAATTTTGTGGAAAAGAATAACTTAATAAACAAAATTTATATTATTGTAGTATTTATAACTGTACTTAGATGTTACACAGCAGAATGAGAAGCTTTATTATTAATTTTTAGTACTATATACAAGAAGACTTAATTACCCTCTTGTACTCTCGCTGCTTGGGGGCCCGACGTACTGTCAGTTCGTGCTGAGGCAGATTCAGGCCAATCATAGCCAGAACTGTGTCATCCAAACCCGTGACATTTGGCCATCCGGTCCAAACCTATATAACATGCAAGAATATCTCAGAATTCCTTATATATTTTTCACAATCTTTTCTAAAACAGACTAATACGATTACAGCATATTTATTACAAAATGTTGTTGGTTATGCATGCATTTTTAACAGCTTAGTCTTGTTTATATTACTTTTGAAAATTTTTGTCTAAAATTTTATTAGTTGTTTATAGTCGCCTGGCATAAACTACTAATTAAAAAAAAATACATGCCGCTGTTCTTCAGCATTATTCAGCATTACTTCATACTAGAAAAAATGACTTGTTTCAAATGAACTTTGAATTGTAAAAAGTACTTTATTAGCATAGAAGTAAAAACTAATTCATATGACTATGATATCTGTAAACTCACTTGATGCCTAACAGGTATATCGGTAAGAGAGAAGAGATCATTTTTGACTTCTTGCACCGTCTTGGTGCCCAGGTACTTTAGTGTATACTCCCGGTCCTCATGTTTTATGTGCAGGGCGTATGTGGTTGTCAGTCTTTCTGCCACCCTGGTAAATGCCAAGTTAAATAGATTTACATCAAATCTGTAGGTGCCATTTTACATTTAAATATTACCTTTATTTAAAATATCAAACAGTGTTGTATGTGAAAATGTATCTAATGTCTGTCTTTGTGGCGGAAATTGTCGGACATTTTAAATGTTCTTTTACCGACGTTAACGGGGGACATTACTCTAATGAGAGTGACTGGTGAAATATCTATTGTTAAGTCCACACATTTATAATAGTGATTTAGTAAGTTTTTTAACATAAGCCATACAATTCTAGTGTCACAAACTCTTTTGAAGCGAATAAATCAATTTTAATAAAAAGTTGTATATACATTTGTTATGCCCACGCACTCAAAACTTACTAAGTAACCTGTGAATAACTTTTTTCTACCAAAATATTCTATAGAAATTATTTATATAACAAAACAATGTTTATTGATTCACTATAGGCTATCCATTTTATTGCTATGCGCAAATTCAGGATTGCAAACAAGCTTGTACAATTTTTTCATACATATAACAGAATAAAAAAAAATGGGGGCTGATATCCTGCCTTCTATCGCTGTCCTCTAAAGAAAACAATAATACTACTGAAAAGGTTTTATCTAGATTATTCAAATGCTTACTCATCGTCAGCTAAGACACCTTCAGCTGCTTTCACTCTAAGTACAGCATTACGAGCAAGACCCAAACTAGAAAGTAATGCTGTTGATGTTGCTTTTGAACCGCCAAGACCAGATATTTGTTGCTGACACACAGGAATACCAAAAACCATTTCTAATCTTTTCTTTAGGTCACCTGTTAAAACAAAATAATCCAATGTAACGACAAAATGAAAAATTTTATGAAACACTTTAATTTCATTTTGAAGGGGAGGGTAGTTTACAATCTAAATGTTTAAAATATTAATTTACATATGAAATATCATAACATCTAAAGACTGCAATAGACCATTTGGGGGATACCCACTGAATTAAAGAGTAATAAAAACGATTGTCATAAAGTGTACTGTATTGCAATACAGAACCTTGTAAAACCAACATGTGCAAAATTATTAGAATGTTCAGATAAATAAATAATCCGTTTGTGATAGACAAAGTGACTGCCAAACAGTTAAACGTATTGCATTAGGTGCGAGAGGTCATGGGTTCAAACCCCAGGGAAACAAACAATTGTTTCAATCAGGCAGGGCACAGAAGTCGCATCCACTACTTGCCTGTTAAAGAACGGATCTGATCTGACAGACTCAGAAAAGTGTTCGCCCAATGCTCCACGTGGGGGAAACACGATTTCACTTTTATCACAAAGTACCAAACTTACAATTAAAGGAATACAAAAAAAGTACAAGTTTACATATTACTAGATTGTGATGAAAAGAACATTATAAACAAATTCTAAGTGTCTGGAAAAATAATTTGATGTTATTGGAGATTGATATGTATGAATGTGTATTATTAATTTTGAGATAAGTTGGTTTGTGGTCTAAGGACAACTTCACATATGGGAAGATGCGGGCACAGTGTGATGGAGTATATTCTATTAAAACGCCAGATTAGTAAGATTTTGTAAATTACTTACTGACTGTAGACGAACCAGACATAATGAACTCTTTTATCTTATTATTACAGTTAACTTGCAGTTCCACTATGTCAGAGGAGCTGTTTCTCAGTGATGATGTTGATGCTTGGTTACTATCTTCTCTATCTAAAAATTATAATGAGAAGCATTATTTTATTTCCTAAACAAAAGTAATCCTTAAGTAAAGTATTATACAAGTTGAGCAAGAAGTTAAACAGACACGGGAGTGTTTCTGTCCCACAGAATACATGTGATTGGATTTTACAGGTAAGCTAAAGGAGAATTTCTTCAACCGTTTAATAACTGACTTACCAGGTGGATGATTTTTTGGTGTTATCACAGATATGTCATCATCAATCATTTCTACATCTTGTGTACTGTTAGACTGTGATGTTGAGTTCCCATCCTGAGGTAACACTCTGTTTATTGCTGACTAAAAAACGTTTATGAAATTAACAATCAGACTATCTACAAGCATACTAAGACAAAGAACAAAGTCTGACAGGTTTTAAAAGAATTAATATATCTTTGCAAAGAGAATTGTCACATATTACATTTGTAATATTGTACTATATACCCTCTTTTACATACCAGTAAATCCCAATTAGTTTCTTCTAAATGAAATAAAGCTTCATCAACATCTTCTACATTGGTAATGGTCTGAAAGTTTTAGACGCGTAATTAATCATTTAAAACTATAACTAAAATATATTAAATAGTAGAAACTGTAAAGAAATTTGAATCAGATACACGGATATTGAAAATAAGGCGTAAATAAAAAGCAACACAAAGGATTCAATACATTGTTTTATTATTGATGTCTACCGCAGTTAAACTAGCATTTGACATTATGATTCATCAAGTGAACACGTAAGAAAGCTTTGTAGTTTTAAAGATTTAATTATTGCTTTTTCTGAATGAAAATACAAAGAGTAAGACCAATTTATCGTTCAGTGTTTTTGTTCATCACATAACCTGCACATTTGGTACAAAGGTCCGTCTTTAAGATTATAATATTCGTGTGAAACCATAGCACAATATTCTACCTGAAAATTTGCAAGAATTTCTTCTCTATTTTCAGCCATCTCGATTATTTTACACTCGAAATCACTACTTTTCCAATAATTATGACATTTACGTATACAGACAAGTCACCCTCCGCAAACTAACTATCGACAACAGAACAATATACATAACTGTATATTGTTGCCATTAAAAAAAAGACCATAGACAAAAATAAATTTAAGAATAATAATAATAAATAATTCTTGAATAATAAAATTTAATATTGAATACATTCATTATTGAATATTTTAAGTTGCTTAAAACAAGATATTTTAACGTGTAAGCTTTTTTATTTTCTAACCGGCTTATGTAGTTCACTAACGGCTGATGATATCGTTCTGTCGACGTTCTCATGAACCACAGTAGGTAAACCAAAGTTTAAATTTAGTTGAGTTTGCGCGTTACTTCTATGCGTACGCGCATATAACTCCTATAGCGAAATCAATATCGTAAACGACAATGAATTTTGAAACTCGTGTGTAGTATAGTGTTTTTCATATTATTATTATTAATGCATTTTTAAACTGATAGAACAGTTACGAAGTAAAAAAAAGTGGTTACACTTGTAATATCATTAGGTTAGTAGTTATTTTATTGATATGTATTTATTGTAAAATGTTTTTTTTTTGAAAATTATATGATTCAGTTATAAAATATTATTTTATAATATTTTATTTTTGGCAATTTTAAATAAAAATTACAGTGAAATTTAAAAGTTACGCCTCGTATAAATTTGTACTCCCGTTTAAAGACATTTTTCTAAGACATGTATTTTATTCATAAAGATCATATTACAGGAAATATGGCTTCCTGGACCCTTCGCGTTCTAGGCATGCTGTTTTTGCTAGCAGTAACGAACGGCCTAACTATGGATGAAGGTAATGCCAAAAAGTTATTATGAATACCTAGTAATTTTGTATTTCGCGGTGGTTAGGTTTGGACAAAACTCATCTAATGTGCATTGATTCTGTCCGTTTCTCGCTTCAGAAATCTTCATACATAGACGCCTTTTAGGACCTAGTAGATTTCTTTTTAAGATCAAATTTATTCTTTTATAAGACTTTATATTAGTAATCCTCTGTGGCTCAGTTCTTACATGCGTTAACTGGCTTTGACGGCAATAGGTCGCGAGTGCAAATCCCCGCAAATATGGTGAGTGCGCATGTCTAATTTTTTTTTTTTAAGATAGAAGAGAAAAAAATTAGAGAAAATGAGAAGCACCAAATTAATACTAATTAAAATACTTATATAAACTTTCAAAATAAAAACACATACGTCCAAAAAAGATTACGTGTTTATTAACTTAAACTAAACGATAAATACAATTAAATTCATAGATGGAAATGCTTATAGCCTTATAAAAGAGAGGCGAGATATTCCTACAACATCAGACATGTTGACAATTAATTTCTCTAAGAAAATTAATTTATACACAATCCTCTCAGGTTACATTAAAAATAATTCGTAGGATAATTAATAATTCTGCATATCATATATGCTCTACCATCTATGTGCTCTTAAGTATTTGCTAGAAAATTAAAAAAGAAGTACCTTGGCCCCAGGCTATCTATCCCTTAAAGAGTTGTATACGTAAAATCCGTGTTTTAATAATGTCGCAGATGTCACTGGGTCATGGGTTTTGAAACCATATCGAGTTATGCTTGCTCAATAATCTCGAACGTACTTTGCGACAATGACACATGACACGTTATTCAATTCGTGTGAATCAACCCTTTTAAAGATTTTTTAACGCCATTTTCCTTGTACCATATCTTGGGAGATTTGCTTTATTTTAAAACTAAAGTACTAGTGAAAGGTTGTACCTATCCCATCGTTTTATTTTTTACAGACACGATATTGACTTCTGTGCCGTGATGGTTAAAAGTGTTTGAATCCCATCGGGTTTCAATCTATTGAAAATGTGTACAATAATAATGTTTTGTATCCTAAATCTTGATCTGTTTCTTTAAAATTCACTAGACGCGCTAGAAAGCTTCTTACGTCTATGTAACAGTTTATTATTATTTTCAAATAATTCGTTAAAAGCCTGTTTCAAAGCCCAGTCGCCTGACGTACGATTATTGAATGGTCCAATGCACTGTATGTCTAGAAATCAATGGGTCGTGGGTTCGATGACTATTGGGTCCAATGTTTCTGATCTATACTATATTTATATAATATAAAAATAATCTATACTATATCTATACTATATTATACTAATACACGAAGCTGAAGTGCTGAAGAACTACTAGTACTGGTTACAGGCAATAAAACATTGATGCCCAAAATAACTACAATTATCTATCTATTATTATATTATGTAAATATTAAACTTTGTCAAGAAATTTGGATAATTAAATCAAAAACACACAGATAAGACGTGTGAAGTTTAATCGCGTTTTGATTTCAGTTTGTGGATTATTGAATATCCTAAGGACTTATTGGATAAGTCGACGGCGCATTTTGTTGATATGTTATATTGCCGGGGTCCTATGTGTACCTATTGTTAAATGAACCTAATGCTTGTATTTCTCCTGTTATCATAGAGAAAAGCCTATTTGAGTTACAAAACCCGACTGACTGTGCGCTTGTCTACTTTTACAAGTGCGACATAGTCGCCTACGCTCCTAAGAAACCGGCCTTAAACATATGTTTGTTAAATCATATGATTTAAGTATGATTGATTTTATCAAGTGTAAAAAACAACATACGGAAAAGTAATAACGTTCATATTATTAATTCAGAAGAATCGATCCTATCATTATGATTAGTGACAACTAAAGATAACAACAGATCCCACAGATAACATAAAAAAAGTATATAAAGTATGATAATCAAAACGCGAGTAGTTTACGCGAGTGTAGCCATTTAAATAAAACCTCTCTAGCAGTTTGAAACGACAAATCTATTAGTTAACTTAAATAGTTACGTAGGGTATTAAACAGTTAAATGTGATTTAATAAAAAAAGAAGAAAAAGCAAATTGTAAATATAAGATATTTTTCAAAATTGCTGTAATTAATCTTATTTGCTTTTTTCGAAGCGAAGTGTAGCAGTAAGTAAACTACAGCTCATATATGTGATTTTTTTTAAAGAAATACCCAAATAAGCTCCTCAATGCATATGTGACTACTTCCTATTTCCTTTGCTTAAGCTGACTATAACGATGTCTCTGGAGTGGACTTAGGCTACAATGCCGTATAACTCAATACTACCACAGATAACTGAACTTTTAGTGATGGAAAATTAAAAGTCCCTGGTGGAAATTATAAACTATACATATTATTGCTCCTACTAAAATTGTAACAATAATGCTAACAACGAGTCGTGGGTTCAATCCCCACAGGGTCCAACATTTTCCGAAAAATCTCCGGAAATCTGGATATTACATGGCAATAATATAGAAATTCCTTGTCACGAACCCATAGATAAAAAAGCCGTACAGTTAAATCGCGCATCAGTTTTAGTCTGCGGATTTTCGAATGACCAAAGCCAATACAGTGTACAGCACATCTCGTTTAGATATTATATGGCATTGTTATATTATGTTATATGGGTTATTTTCCCTTCCTTCAAGTAAATGCCATGCTTATTCGTCCTTCTCTAACATAAAAATAGTATTTACGCGCTTATATACGCATAGGTAAATTTACAACATAATTTTTCTTGGTTAAATGATAGTTTATCGCATCTGGAATTTTAAACGCTGTGGTTGCAAATAAACTCGGCTTAAGCAAACGCAGACGCTTATGAAATTTCGCCTTTTCTTCGCAACTCGAAGTTTCTCGTTATATTTTTTTTGCTTACTGTTTTATTTTCATCTTCCTCGCAATTTTACAACAAAGGATTTATTAATTCAATTTTTTGTATAATCTGTAATTGGTACGACCCATTGCATTTCTTTGTGTTATGTCTGTGGGCGTTTCATTATACACTCTTATTGTGGCTTAGACTGTTACATATAAAATTACCAAACAATTACAGCCTTATATACCCAGGGCTATCTGCTTCAGTGATCAGAAATATTGCTTTTCGCCAAAGTGCTTTTCGGAGAAAACTTAAGTAGCAATATAAAATTTATTTTTGTACGATCGGCACTTTTTATCCTGCTGTTACATTTGAATGAAACTAGGTAAAAAAACCAAATTAGTTTTTAGAGAGTTGACATAAAAGGTTTTGTATGTATCTGAGATGTGTAGTCGATTTCTAAAATTGAGCTCAGTTTTTTAATGACCTATATTAGCGTGCCAAATGATTTAAACTCGCACACTTTCTTAACCTTTGAAAACTATAACGCAGCTGTAAGTGAAAAAAGATGTTAAATATTATCGTCCTTATATACTGTCTGTAGCTTACACGACTAGTACACATTTAAATAAAACACTTTAACGGATTAAAACGCAATATATATTAGTTAAACTTATTTGGAAATTATTTTAACTACAGCCCGACGTTTACCCGTGACCACGGCTGCTGCCCAGCATCCGAAACGTCCAATACTTTCCAAATTAGTTTTACGAATATATATCGTGTTGTAAACCGTTAAAGTGTTTTATTTAAAATATCGTTCTTTTTTAAAATATAGAGTCTAGTGCGCGGCCAGCCTTTCAGCTTCAATTTTGCGTCCTAATTTTTACTGAAACTGTCATATGTACTTAATTATTTCGATCTCACTTCAAAGATTCTCTAAAAAATCATAGAAGTCAAAGTGGAACTTTGCAATATAATGTTCCTATTTACCCGCTGTGCAGTTGCGGTGACATCATAATCTTGAATTATTAGCGTTACCACCCACTCTCAGTCCAGTACTGACTCCAAACGGAATTTATGCAAATATCCTGCATCGGAAACTGTTCTGCCTGGACGAATAATTTATTGGTTCGTAATGTTTGCATTATTTGTACAGTGTAGAGGTTGCAAATTTATTTTGGAACCGTTATAAAACTATTAACTGAGTAAATCGCATTTCGTCTAAAGTGTTTTTAAATGTTGTCTAGTGTCCTGTAAACACGACAAACATAGTTTTTCTTAGGTTGTAATCTTACTATCTTATTACTCAACATAAACATAGGTTTTGTCTGTAGTAATATAATTTTAACCGATTTAATAAATTAAATTATATAATGCCATCATGTGCAATAAGTAAATGAGTAGTTGAAAACTAAGAACTTTAACTGTTTAAAATGCGGAATATATACGTTAATTTATTTAACTACGGCCTGACGATTAGGAAACCTTATAGCAGCAAGGAGGGGTGAAAGCGTGACTTTATAACTGTTTTATCTTGTCTTATCGCTATTGAAAGTTTTATAGAAGATCCCGCTTACAAAAATACAGTATTAAATTAAATACTTTACCACTCAGAAAGTTTCTATCTGTAAACGGATGAAAATATTAAGAACTTAACGTTGGGTGATGTCATAAAAGTGATTAGAGCATTTTATCAAATTATGCCAATTATGGCATCTAAACAAAGATCTTTTGTTCGAGTATATGGTACGGAATATCCTCAAAAATTAGATTGTGGCACTCTAAATACTGTATTCTTAAGCTTATCTTCTGATTTGATTAAAAAATAAAAAGGAACGGTACCTTTTTATTTTTTAATTCAGTTGTACCCTGAAGAAAGAACATATTTAATTTGCTGCACAATTTCAAATACAAAGTATAAGACATCACACAGATGATATAAAAATACTTTTCAACATTATATTATGAACTAGACTTAGTTTTATATTGATTTCTGTTGAATCTCAACCTTTCCGTTGTAAGGACGTTCGCGTAAAAATATCTAAATTTTAATGTTTTCTCGAACTCAGCATAATTATTGCGAATATGAAAAACTAAAGATCTCAAAGGATGTAGTGATTCTTTATTTGTAATCATTTGATCAAATTATTTCTATTACTAATAAATTACTTTTTTTTCTACAAATGTATTTGACCGCGCGCTGTCCGCCCTCTATTGTCGAAAACGGTTCTTCGTATAAACATTTTTTTGAACAAAATGTTGAAAAAACTACAATATTGATAATAAATACAACCAGCAAAGACCCATAGGAAATGAGACATTTATAAAAAAAGCGCAAAAAAAGATTTTTGTGAACTCTGATCCTAAAAATAGTTGCGTACACTCTACAATATGTAGGTTTTGAGACAACTTTTAGGGTGTCAATATACAAGTATTTACACACTTACAGCTGAGTATAACGAATTCTGAAATTCTTACCAAATTTTTTACCTTATCTAACCTTACCGTTTAAGGATGTTCGTATAAAAATATGAAAAATTTAGATTTTCTCGAACTCAAACGAAATAATTGCGATAAAACTAAAGATCCCAAAAGATATAGGTATTATTTATTTGTAATCATTTGATATTAATTTAATTACTAATGAATTAGTTTTTCTACGACAATACATTCGTAGTGTGGTCACATGTGTATATATTTGTGGCACGTAAATTCAATCAAATATGTTTTGAACATTTGGTCACCTACTTTGCATCATCTAACAGCTGTAGAAAAAATAGGCCAATTTAAACCATTGTAACTTGCTTTTAGATGGCGACGAGATTCGAATCTGTATATCTATATAAGGGCCTGAGTGAAGCCCACGGGTTTATGATAATCAATCCCACATGTTTGCGTTTTGTTGCTTACCGTGATAGGCCTGTTTGGTTACAATAACCGGACAGTAAAAACACGGTGACTAGGATTGGAGTTGTTTCAAGCCGGTTTAATATTACAAAGCTTTCCAATAATATTTTTTCGGTAAAGGATATCACAGTGCAATACTCTCTGTAGTTTACGCGAGTACCTACTATTATTTTAAATAAAACACTTTAACGGCTTAAAACGCCATATATTTACGACGTTTAACGTCGGGCCGGAGTAAAATAAATTTCAAATAAATTTAACTAATGTTTTTATATAATAATTCTTCGTTTTAACTGTAAACCGTTATTTAAAGTGTTTTATTTAGATATCACACTTATTTTTATTTCATTTTGGGATTTCATTGTCTTTAATATGCAATCAATTTAAAATGTAATATAACAATGGCGGGATAATAAATGTCAGTTTTGTAAATGACAATTGTCATTCGAATGTGTTGAACGTTGTATCAAACATGGCGGCTGTAGGTAAAATGTTAACTTAATAAAAAAAATTGTTGTAAAATTTACGTGTAATAATATATTTTGCACGGAAATGCTGTTTTTTTCGTTTATAATGAACATGATTTATCCTTGATCTAGACATTGAATGAAATCCTTCGATGTGACGTGTTGGGGACGTAACGGTGGTGGAAGGTAAAAAGTCTACCTTATATGGTCTTCCTGTGATGCTAACCGGCTAATCGCTGTTACAGCTACTAACAACTCGCTGATAAACGGTATATACTTGAACTGATACATAATCGTATAAGTGGAATCTTTGCGGAGACAAGGTGCAATTTCTAGCTGTGTAATAAAAAAAGTTTAAATAAACAACTTTAACGGTTAAAAACGCGATATATATTAGTTAAACTTATTCGAAAATGATTTTTAACTATGACCCGATGTTTGCAGCAGCCGATGGTCACGGGGAGACTTTTGGAGAGAATAATTTTCAAATAAGTTGAACTAATATATATCGCATTTTAAACTGTTAAATGTGTACTACTCGCGTAAACCACAGAGAGTATTTAATAAAAAAGTTTTCACATCGCAATATTTTGTAAGAATTATTTTTTTAAAATCTGTATTAATATAAAGTTTGCTAACGCGAATAAAGTTTACGCGAGTAGTATAAAGATAGACAAACAGAACACTAAACGGTTTAAATCGCGAAATATTAACTTTTAAATAAATAAAAAAGTATATAAGTTAACGAATATAGTTTTTGTTTAAAACTGTTAAAGCTTACATAGTAAAATTAAATTAAAATTGACCTAGTCGTTACAGATGTCTTAACATAATATGTAGATGCCCTCCCAATAAAATACCATCTCAGTGACTTAGTATACCGCCTATTGCCTATCATTCGCGAGAGTTTCCTAGGTTTGAATCACGTGGAAAAGTATTTTGCTCGGGCTGAGCACAAAAGTTTGATTAACTTGTCTGCCTCCCGCAATATATAGAAGACGATGGATTTTTATTTATTTATTTCAACGAACAGACCTTAACTTCAAGTACAAAAACAGGAGGAGGAAATGGCGTAACTTCAAACCCCCTCGAAATTAAATTGGGCAAGTTTAAAAGGTTTTGAACTCATTCGCTGCATGCCCAAAACGTTTGGGTATAACGTATAAGTTGGACGAAAACATGGCTGAAACATTTGCAACACATGTCTATTAGAGTGAAAATAAAGGAATCGCACGCCAGTTCCGTACAGAAACAAAACAAAAACGTGTGGCGTGTGTCATCTGTTTTAAGAATAACCTCCGGGCTCAGTCAACTACGACTTGGTAGAAGGTATAGCCCGGTTAAATATTAGAATATTTCACTTATAGTGTAAGTTATGTTCATGCGTTCTGTATGTTGAAAAATTAATGACGCAACCAAACGTTTTTGATGAGCAAATTTGATAAGAGCGAATGAGTATTACAATTTTCTGTCTGTAGTTTACGCGAGTAGTGCTCATAAAAAAACACTTAAACGATTTAAAACGAGATATATATTAGTTAAACTTGTTTGGAAATTTTATTATTTGTTATTGTATTTTAACTACGGCCGGACGATTCGGATGCTTCGCCGTGACCACGCCATCTGCAAAGCATCCGAAACGTAGTTAAAATAATTTATTTAAAAATTATTTTTACTACGTTTTACAAATATATCGCGTTTTGAACCGTTAAAGTGTTTTATTTTTTACCAAAATTAGGTCACTATAAATTAACAACAAAAAGTAGAACTTAATGTCAAACAATACTGAAGTACGTCGCGCCACCTGGTGGTACTTATTTTCAGTTCAAAAGACTAGTAATTTCTACTACTTATATAAAACTAACTGTGCCTCATGGCTTCGTCCGCGCCCCTTTAAAGAGAAATCGTTCTTTCCATCTTATTCGTTTGGTATCTTGAACTGTCTTGAAGGACATGCAACGAAAGTTATCTGAGATGAATAATCTCTCCCCGTTTTTTCCACATTTTCCACTGTGTCTTCGCCCCCATTGGTCGCAGTGTGATGTTTTATAGCCTACAAACTACCTCGACAAATGATCTTTTTAACAAAAAAAATAACTTTTCAATTCGAACCTGTAGTTCCTGAGATTAGCGCGTTCAAATAAACAACACAAGCAAACGAAAAAACTTCAGATTGTTGACACTAGTATAGTAATGATGAATGCCCTATTGTGCTTAAATATAAAACGACATACAACACCCCAAAAAGGATAACACTATCGCAAACTATACATTAATGTATAAACGTATGTACAGTATTAACTTTTTATAATGTCAAATTTTCTATCACATACATTCTTTTAGAACTTTGCTTGTCGCTCTTTTTTCTTTCTGGAATGCCCTAACTCTTATAGTTAAAAAGTAAAAACGAATATATAATATATCATATTTTTTATTAAACAAAAATTAAATAAACACGCGATAATAATATATACGATAATATACACGAAATATGCAATATAAATTTATTTAAAAATGAATTTGCTGCAAAGCATCCGAAACGTCGGGCAGAAGTTAAAAATCATTTTTGAATTAGTTTAACGAATATATCGCGTTTTAAACCGCTAAAGTGGTTTTATTTCAAAAAAATAAATAGTAAATAGGTATCTTTCTTAGTTTGGCAATATTTATCGTAAAACATCGAAAGCAGTTCAGTGGGTCAAAGTTCTGTTATCGGTCATTCACGAATTCTAAGCGATGTCTTATCTTTTGAACTATGACATGAACTGATTAAGATTTCGTTTAGTAAATACTTTTTTAGGAGATCTCTTTCGTTCGTTATTTAAACTTTTTTACGAATATCACACGGTATGTTACTAAGCTATATTTTTTACCCAATGTATCTGACATGTGATAGGACAATAATCGAAAGGCATAGGTTTGGTGTTATTAACAACGTCATTACAATTAAAAATTGCTATTTGGCAGCAATGATAAATACGTATATAAAAAAAAACATTAAAATTTCAATAAAACACCAACGGTTTAAAACGCAAAATATACGTATTAGTTACACTTATTTAATTATTTTCGACGATTCGAAAAGTACATTTCAAATAAGTAAGTAATAAACCTTTAAATAAAACACTTTAACGTTTAAAACGGCGATATATTAGTTAAACTTTATTTGAAAATATTTTTAATTCGGCCCGACGTTTCGGATCTTGGGGGGGGGGGGGGGGGGGGGAAAGGTTAAAAAAATATGGTCAGGGGGGGGGAGGGGGGAAAAAGGGAAAAGTTTAAACTAAAATATGGGGTTTTAAACCGTTAAAGTGTTTATATTTAAATGTACTACTCGCGTAAACTATAGACAGTATTTAAGTTTAGCACCTTCAACCGTTTTGTTTAGGTACTATTATTGTAAACTACAGACAGTATTTAGATATTAAAATCTCTACTAATAAACTAAGTTTTAAAACCTCAAATACATAAGTACTAATTTTATTACGACCCGACGTTTCGGATGTTTTTCTTGCCGCTAGGTATGACAGTTACAAAGCAATATATATAACGTTTAAACCCGTTAAATTTGTATAAAACTACGGACGATAGTGGTAATTAAATGTTTTATGGATGTTTTAGATGCTACGAATGATGCCATTGCTGCTGCTTCGGCTGATGAAGGAAGAGAAGTGGCCATTCTTCTAACTGGACCACATGAGAAGAGTTCGAGAAGAGAGGAATTGTTGCATGGAAAAACAACAGAAGAAAGCGCTTTTTCACTCTTCTATAATAGCAAGAGTAATAAAGGTAATCTTTTTTAGAAATATGTTTATCTACCAATATACTTTATAAAACTCGACTACCTTTGCCCACGATTTTATCGGCGTGGAATGTATATATCAAACTCTTCAGTTTAATAAATTCCGAACGAAAGTTTTATAGCTTAAAGCCTTCCTCCATAAATGGTCTATACAAATAATTGTTCAATTTGAACTAGTAGTTCTCGAGCTTAGCACATTCAAACAAACAAATTCTTCAGCTTAATAATATTAGTATACACAGTATTAGCTTCGACTAGTAAATAAAACAATATAGCAGTTAACAAAATTTCTATAAGGCTTAGAATTTATTTTAGGCTAGGTCACGTCTTTACTATTCTTTAGGGAATAAGATAATTTGGCGAATAACGTAGGTTTGACATACCTTTATAAAGACCTTCGTGCCTTTTTAGTATGTGTTGAAAAGCAATAAAAGTTATTCAATTTCTTTAGGGAAGGTAAAATACAGTTGTGAATACTAGTGTTTGGTTCTTTTTGCTTAATCTAGCAACATCAATCTTTGTATATTCGTTTTTAAGTTCCATTTATTGAAGTCGTAAAACGTGGGCCTTTGTAATCTAGTAATCTGGCATTTTAACCAAGTATGATATATGACCTGGTACCTACTTAGGTATCTTTAAAGCCAGTACTCCTAAAAGCTCGACAACTTCCACAGAAGCGACATAGTGGGTCTAAGTAGCCTTTGTTTTATTTTACAATTAGATAGGCCACCATGAATATCTAATTAATAGACCCTTGGCTCTAAGGGTGGCTCACAGTGGTTTGAGGTTTGGTTGACGGCTCGTACTCATACAGGCGTAATGGTGCAACTACGTAATGATAGCAGTGTATAGCTAATATTCAGTGGGTCGTTGGTTCGAAAATTTTTCTAATCAATTTAAAATTTTTGTGAAATTAGTGTGACAATCTGGAAATCTGGGTATTAAATGGATGAGAGTAACATGGATCGAGTCGCGTGCAACCGTCCAAAAGTGATAAAGCCGTCAAGTTTAATTTCATTTCGACTTCAATCTGGATTTCCGATTATCCAAAGCCACAATAGGTCGACAGTGCATTTACTTATTATCAAGTCAACCCTGTGATAGTCTATCCACCTCTATTATATAAAAATAAACTAAACGCAGCCTGCTATGAAGGCAAAACTAATGCCAAAAATGTTGTGTGCACATTTTAATTTTCTGCTATAGTTACGTCACTAAACCGATCTATGGCACGTTAAATATCGCATGATGTATGACGGATAGAAACTGCGAACCTCAGCGATGATGGAATGTTATATATTGTGTAAATGACAGCCTTTGATGTAACGTGGCTAAAAATATTTAAAAAAAAATATCATTTCGGTAAAAGCAAGTTCTAAAGTTTATATAAAACTTAATGGATTTCTTTGCCCCGATCTATTTTTAGTGTAACGGGGTCTGGTGAAGATTTATTTACTTAAAAAATGTTTCAATGCTTCTTTTATGTTACTTTTACTATATCTGTTTATTTATTCACCAACATAATACCACCACCATACCACCACCAACCATATACATGAGACATAAAATATATAAGTAAGATCAATTAAAGTATGCTTTATACAAATTAAAAGCAAGAAAGAAAGAAGACAGTGATTGTCGAGCATTATAAAAAGCATTTCGTATAAAATAAAAATATGAATATTACTTTCAGTATCCTTGGAGAGTCTACACGGCGGACATCTTAAGTCTGTATCATGGGGTCTGGGGTCACACCCACGGGAGACCTTGCTGCTAATTGTAACACACGAAAAGGTCAAACTATATGTTGGATGTCAACCCTTACATTGGCACCCTATGTCTGGGAGACACGACATTTTAGCCTTGCTGGCGAATAAGAAATTTAAATTGGTAAGAATTAATCTTTATTTGATATAAAACGTTGAACACTAACTACTTTTTACCCTGAACATAAATGTAGGTTTTATAGATAGAAACAGTAAGAAATATTGAAAATGTCGAATTATAGAGTCGTATTTACGACCGACGGTGTATGCAATAATTAAAAAAAATATAGTCATATACGTTTGAAATAAAACTCAAACAACATTATTAAAAAAAAAAACAATGCTGGTGATATAGAAAGAATGACAGATAAAGAAATAATTTAAATTGAGTTTATCTGTATGTACAGCTAGACTCCTAAAAGAGAGTCTTTCCATGGTATTTCACTAGAACAGGATGCATGTTTTACAGAAATAGGATGACAGAGAAAAAACTTATTATTATTTATCCACTATCAAAAATAGAAACATGAAACCAAAATTGCAATAACTCAAAAACACATGTCGCCAAGATTTACTTCTCACGGACAAATTCGGAAAAATCTCCTTTATACTAATACACACATCTAGACTAACATTAAATTCATTTTAGTATCACGAAGAGAATGCCCAAGTCGAGATTCACGGAAGCGCAAAGGCAGCTGTCTCTTCTCTCAAATGCGATGAAGATTTCAGCCCACCTACCCTCGTGACAGTAGACTCAGACGTGGAGGAAGTCAAAGACTTTATAGCCAGGGAAGAAAGACTCAAACGGGAAGAGATGCAGGGTGACGATTACAGAACAAATTATATAGATCCTAATATTCTACCGACTCTACAGCCGACTACTCCACCAAGAGGGGATATACCTAATATGGATATAGAGTCGTGTGATGGTAAGAATTTGGTTAATATAATATTATTATATGTTTACATACTAATCCAGTAATTTTTTTATGATAGAGTAAGACAGATAAGCACGGGGTTCAGGGTGAAATACTATCGATACATGCACCTCTGGCGCAATAATTTCCGCCTTAGCACCTGCGTGAGATGCATTTATCAATAAGTTGAAAGAATTCGTCGATGAGGTCTAGGACTCGGTAGCTCAATTGGTGCGAATAACGCACGGAACACTGACAATGCCGGTTCAAGTCCTGCCCGAGTCGGATTTGCCCAACAAGCACTAACGTTTACATTTTCAAAAATTTCACATAATTCCAGACGAAGTAATACGTCAACTGAAACTACTGCGGGAGACTGTGGAACTTTTGAGGCGAGAGTTAGGCGACCAGAAGGGTACCATTGAGAACCTTCGCAACCAGCTCCGTATATGCTGCAGTCGTGCGCCAGCGCCGCCAGTCGAGAGATGTACCGGATCCTCCTGTTACCCTGGTTATATTAATTACTAATACGAATATTTTACAAGTTCCACCCATTTGCAGAACCACCTCATTCAATTAACATGTTAGTTAAATCCAATCAATTACTAATAGCATTCTTTAAAAAAATTGTTTTACCTGTCGATTATATTTAAGAATGTCTTATCAAGCAAATTTGGGGTTTAAATTTTTTGCTTCCTAAATTATATAATGTAATTTAGCTCTTTACTCAAATATTTTATAGACCTCATAAAAATTTGTTATTACTTTCACTATTACTATCATAAATACTGTCCTTAGTTTTCGCGAGTAGTACACATTTAAATAAAACACTTTAACGTTTTAAAACGCGATATATATTATTTAAACTTTTTTTTTTAACTACAGCCCGACATTTCAGTTGCTTTGCATTAGCAGACCATCAGACCAGTAACGTCAACTAATATATATCGCGTTTTAAAGAGTTAAAGTGTTTTATTTAAATTACTATCATATTATCGTATATAAGACTTCTCGTCTATCCCATATATTATTACTTTTTATTGTATGATTGTATGTACTAACCTTTTTCAACATTTGTACTACCTATGTTTAAGGTAAATCAAGCAACTAGTGTGGGTTTTGAATTAAATTAATTTCGCAATAAACCGCGTTTTATTTGTGCCCTTCTGTGTCTAAGAAGTCAGACAGAGTTTCGAGTCGCCCACGTGGGTCTTGTTTGCGGTTGCTTGATTGGCCTTGACAGTACCTTTATTGGTTGCTTCAATATTTCAAATTAATTAACTCCGGGGCTTCTAGAAAGTCTGTTAACATGATTTTATTTTAAGGGCCTATACACACTGAGCGGTTTGTCATCCGGCAAACCGCGGCGGTTTTTAGAGTGCGTTATCTTTATATATATTTTTTATAGTGGCCGATAGTATTGGTGCACCCTTATATTGTTATGACTATTTTTTTTACGGTTTAAACGTAAAATATAATATACAATTTTGAATACGCACAATAGTTAGTCAAAAATTGACAGTCATAATTCATGTTTAAAACTGTTCATAGTGTTTAATTAAAATAAAATACTTTAACGGTTTAAAACGCGATAACAATCCGTTTTACAACTACTCAAATAATTCAGAGACACATTTGAAACATTTATTTATTGCAGAAACCATCAAATGATATAAATAAAAAATTGAATTAATCTAAACACACAAAAAAATATAAGTGACCAGACTTTAAAACTAGTATGTTGTGTGCCTTTATTACAATGTGATCGTAGACTCGCCAGAATTCGACCTGGGATCTTTCATACTTATCTAAGGAATGGTGACAGGGTTTGTATATTGACTTGCAAATCAACCGTAATGCCCACACTTGTTTTAAGTGTCAACTTTAGGTTTCCTAACGAAGTTCATAACTGGGTACTGAAATTGAGTATCAACGTCCATTCAAATTCTTTATCAGGAGTCCAATGTCGGAATGTAGCAAGTGGAATCGAATGCGGACCCTGTCCTTCAGGAACGGAAGGAGATGGCCGGAGATGCAGGCCTATACCTTGCAGCCGACGGCCTTGCTCGCAAAGTAAGAAATATTGTTAAATAAAATAATCTTGACACGTTAATACGATAACTTTATAAGCTAAGTATTGTTTGTAGTTTATGTGAGTAGTACACATTTAAATAAAACCGTAAATATCGCATGTTGGTAAAAAAGGACACTGTAAGTCATTTCCTCCAAATACCAACATCGATGAAGAGATGGCGCTAGCGCAGCAATTTAGACTTTGACTTTGACACCTTCCATCTTTAGACCCCCGTGACTTTGGCTGCTGCAAAGCATCTGAAACGTTTAGTCGTGGTTTAAAATAAATTACAAATAAGTTAACATGTCGCGTTATAAGTCGTTAAAAGTAAAAAAATATATTTTAGGTGCTTTTTAAATACGATTCGACACGACGTTTCTAATTATTTCGAGCAGAGGTATAGACAGGCTTTAACTTGAAAAAAAATATATATACGTATTTCGTGCATTGTCGAGTAAACTACAGATTATAACTTAATATTTCTTAAAACTTATATTAAATTGATTAATGACTAATCTACACAACAATAATAAATCAATTCGAACCGGTAGTTTCCGAGATAGGCCTATCAAACAAACTTTTCCGCTTTATAATGTTAGTATAAATAGGTTATCAAGTTGTAATAACTTATTCAATATTACAATTTCACTCTTTCAATTCAGCGGAGTATTGCGTTGATTCGGAGCAAGGATTCCGCTGCGAGAGGTGCCCTGGCAGGCAGACAAGTGATGGACAGACCTGTCGGACGCCATGCAGTTCCAACCCCTGCTTCGGAGGACGTAAGACAACCTTTTAGTACATCAAGAATCTAATAGACAAAATTTTTAAGGCTCATGTGTGATGTGCTAAAATTTATTTAAAAGAGTCAGTTTTTGACTGAAACCAACAGCATATTCAGATAAGAATAAGAAAAAAAGCAAGTAATAAGAAATACCATTAAGAAGTGTTACACATTTATAAAACTCTTAACTAAGGAGGGTAGGTGTGGTGGACCAGCGTCATCTGAACTTGATTGCTCTGTATCGATCAACTGGCACGTTATTGTTGTTGTTGTTATGGCTCTTGTTCAGTTAAGTTACTATTATTTTCCATTTTATTATTGGTTAGTCGGCGACTCATTTTTACATTTAAGAAGAACAATTCTGTAAAAGAAGATAATAATTGCGTTATATCTTTGGGGGGTCTGCAGGTTTACCAGTAAAAAGCAAGAATGTAACTTACCTTAGAATGACATCGTGTTGTATTAAGATTAACCCAAAAAACAAATAGCGTAGTAATAATTTGATATCTATTTGTAAACACATATGAGGTAAATCAAAGCTGTTTTTTTTTTCTCGAGAAGAAAGAGCCGAAAGGAACTTTAATAACTTCTGACTAAGTAGCTCATCTGTCTAAGGATAGCTGTCAGTTTACTTCACTGTTTCTACTATCAATTTCTTTACTTGGCAAAGTCTAATTAATAGTGTCGACCGATTTTTAATAAAAGTATGGATGATATAAGCATACGATATAAGAAATTAAACTGTCTAAATATTTGTCTCATGTAACTTGTTTTTAGGTGCTGAAGTTTCAGTTAAGTTGTAAATCGTTTTAGGTGTCCAATGTCAAGATATGCCTGATGGTGGCTTCCGCTGCGGTAACTGTCCACCTGGATTTACTGGAAATGGGGAGCAGTGTACCAGGATCACTTGTAGGCAGATATCGTGCCATCAAGGTAATAATAATATAGAATATTAATTAATATAGATTTGACAAGCTTGACGCATGTAACTCTACTAGAATTTTTGTTAACATTCGGAAAAGGTGATTTAAATATTTTAACTAGTTATTGTTCTTTAAATTAAATAACTTTTGCCGCCAATTCTTAGCTTCTTCTCGGTTGTTCAAATATAACATTTTGAACAGGCGTGGAATGTCAAGAGACACCTTCGGGTCCGCGATGTGGTTCCTGCCCGGGTGGATATTTGGGAGACGGTCAGAGGTGCCAACATATCTGCGATTCACGGAGGCCATGCGGGGACAGGCGTTGTACACCAACTGCTTCCAGCCCCTTCTATGAGTGTGAGGGCTGCCAGAAAGGGTACGAATGGAACGGTAGGTTTCAAACGTTTCATTTGAGATTTTATTTCGTACTATTATTGTCAATAATATTTACCATTATACATATTTCGTTTATGTATTTTTGCGTTTCCATGGCAACCCAGTTGGTGGAACTGGTTTTCGTGGACTTGTTGGTTTAATGGCAACAATATATTGCTAATAATCCACGGGTGGTGGATGCGATCCTCACCGGTTCTAACATGTTTCCAATCAAATTATAACTATTATAAAACAGTTTGGACTTCGTTTGGAAAATCAGGATATTTAATGAAACTTCATCCAAACCATTGTCCACATTTGCAAAACTGGTGAGGTTACGTGTTTCGGCAGTAACCGACGGTCTGGTCTCTTCTGTCATAAGATAAAAACAACAAAAAACTCTATCAGGTGGTAGGTTTATTTAATTTTCTTAATCTTAACTAAATTAATGAATAACAATATGGTATATGGTGACTGTATGCTAATAATTTAACATAGATGGGCAAGGATGTCTTCACATCTGTGACACACGGCGTCCTTGTGGAGATAGAAAATGCTCCCCCTCAACAACTGTACCCTTCTATGAATGCGAGAGTTGCCCCCCGGGATACGAGTGGACTGGTAATGTTTAATAAATATGTGTATAAGGGCTTGGACATATGACTAACATTCATCTAATTAGGGGGACGGTGTCAGCACATCTGCGATACGCGGCGGCCTTGTGGTGAACGACGTTGTGTTCCCAGCCTTTCTAACAATTTCTTTGATTGCGAAGGATGTCCTCAAGGGTTTGAATGGAATGGTAAGGTTTTGATACCCATTATGTGATCTTTGCATTTGTTTTTTAAATTCCAATTACTTACCTGCAACTTTAACTGTTTGAACAATTTCGTTATTGAAGCGTAATTCGATAAATGTTTTTCTAATTTTATCAAAAAATTTAAAATCTAAATTGTATTTCAACTATTTTTTTACCAATTCAAACATCACTAAGTATAATTTCTAACCGTTAAGTAATGTCGGTTATTGTAGCTTTATTCGTTGCAACGCAAAATGCAATAAAGCCTAAATCTTAAATCTATCGTTACTAAACTGAAGATCAGCATGTACCTACATACAGATGGTCGTATGATAAAATATAATAATATTTCTATGTATCTGTCACTATTTTACACACAGACTTTTTATACATTAACAACTAAATTAAGTTTTAATCGCGTTTATTTTTCAGTGTGTAGATTTCCGACAACCTTCCATCAGTGAACGCCATGCTTGTACATATCTTTCCTAATCATAAAAATAACTCACTATGACTAAATCTAACTAAGTTATATATAAGTATTTCTTCTACTAATATGTACTTAGGGGAAAGGTGTCAACACTTATGTGACTTGCGACGGCCGTGTGGGGAGAGGAGATGTATCCCCAAAACGAGTAATCCCTTTTACGATTGCGAAGGCTGTCCTAATGGATATGAGTGGAATGGTAAGACTGTCAACGCCACCATTTTCTGAAAACAGTACTGGTTTGAAAGAAAAAAAAAAGAATCAATTTGTATATAAGCTTTTTAACCGTAAGTGTAGAGCGATTCTAAATTTAAACAGGTTTATTTCTCTATAGTTTACGCGAGTAGTATACATTTAAATAAAACACTTTAACGGTTTAAAACACGATATATATAGTTAAACTTATTAGGAAATTATTTTTAACTTCGGAGCCGTGGTCACGGTTGCTGCAAAGCATCCGAAACGTCAAAGCAAAGCAATCGCAGCATATATCGCGTTTTAAACCGTTAAAGCGTTTTTTTGAAAGTTCTCGTTGATTATTTTTAGTAAATCCAATTTTATTGTAACACTGTAAATGCTTTAGACTTTCAAAAAATGCCAAAACCAATATGGTTCACGTTTCAACCTGTTTATTATTGTTCTATTCGTTGCTGCCAAACCGCGTAAACGAGATATAGAATATTTGAAATTTAAAGTATTACACGATAAAAGTGCTTCTGAGATTTTTTCGTATCAGGCTTTGTAATATATATGCAAAGATAAATCCCGTGGCTAATCTAGCGACAAAATCGCAATTTTAATTTTGTAGGGTCGTTTGTTCGTTATAGGTCCTTTATATTTTAGGGTTATTCAATGCTATGGAATGAGTTATTGTCCAATTATGTTAGATACAAGCTTTGCCTTGTGACTTTGTGAACTTAAACAATATTTATTTAAAGAGAAACAAATATGAATCCAAACTTTAGCTAAGTCAACCAAACATTCGTTAATATTTCGCAGATATCATATAATCTTTTTAAATATTACTGTGAGTTTCCGAACATCCAAAGCGAATATTAGCTTCATCCGTTTTTGAAGACAAGGAGACAGAAAAATTATTTCTTTTATTTTGCCCTTCCATTGACATCACCCAAACTATTATATATATCTATATATATAATTTCTATTGTTTTATTTTATTGATCACTTTTCAGGTTACGCTTGTGTAGACATGGATGAATGTGATCTAATTCGTCCCTGTGACGAAATGGTATCTTGTAGCAACGTGGATGGAGGCTTCATATGCGGACCCTGTCCTCCTGGATTTGAGGGCAGTTCCGGCTGGAGAGGCTCAGGAGACGAGAGGAGACGAGAACACTGCGTGGATATAGATGAATGTGCTGATGGCAGAGAACCATGTTCCAGAGGACGATTGTGTGTCAATACTCCGGTAAAATCTTTACCTATTTTTATTAATTTTAGTCACCATGTCTGCTGGAAAGCATCAGAAACGTCGGGCCGTAGTTAAAATAATTTCCAATTAAATTTAACTAATATACATCGCGTTTTAAACTGTTTTAGTTAAAGTGTTTTATTTAAATGTGTACTTCTCGCGTAAACTACAGACGGTATTTATATTAAAGAATCAAATCCCGTTTCCCCTACTAGCAAAGTGCGGACACATTTTATGTACAGACATCGATTGTATGCCCCGTCCAACTGTAACTATGTTGACGTAAACGAAATGTGTTTTGCTTATCCGGGTTTACGTAATGATGTGCAGTGATTAAACACTAAGCCACGTAGCCAACATTTACATCATCACTTAGATTCCACGATAAAAATATTTTGAGTATTCTCTTTCATAGTCTTTGTAATTTTCGACATCAAAATTTATTTTTGCCTCATCAAGTTTGTAAATTGTACTTCATTTAAACAAGAATCATTATTTTCTACATATTTTTTGGGTATCTTGAACCGTTTTTGAAACCCTCAAGATGAATAGTTTTGCCCGTTATCTTTTACCCTTTTCCATTGTGTCTTCGCTTTTAATAGCCGTAGCGTAATCTTTATTAGCCCCAGCCAGTCCTCGATAAATTATCGTTATTGGCGTTAATAAAACAAACTTCACCTTTTTAATATTCGTATAGATTAAAGCGTTACCTAATAAATCTTATGAACGAACCCTAAAAGCTCCTTTTTCAACAAGATTCTTATTTGTTTTTCACATTTCCACATATTTTCCAGGGCTCATTCACCTGTGTGCCGTGCGGAGGTAACTTCTACGTGAACACATCCAGACCCTGTATCGACGTTGGTGATTTAGTGCAGCGCTGTGACCCAGCACGTTGCCGTCGTTTCAATGCGGTTTGCGGATATGGACAAAACTGTGTTTGTGCGGTAAGACTTAAAGCTTCCATCTTCAGAAATTATACTATGATTGATATTGGATTAATTTGTGGACCTTTTTTTACACTCTCTATCGATCCAAATGTGTCGTCCAAATAATGTAATATTAATCACAACACACATAATTCAAAACTCACTCTTTTCATATTCTCAAAAACAATTAACGTAGCCAATATGTAACTAAAAACACTATGAGTCATGGCATAACCAAAGAACAAAGTTTAACAATTGGTGGTAATTACTACTTGGGGAAATTATTATGATTAATCAGTAATGCTCTTTTAGACTGGTTGGGCTGGAAATGGTACAGTTTGTGGTCCCGACCGCGATATAGACGGATATCCGGATCACCAATTGCTCTGCGACGATATACACTGTAAAGCTGACAACTGTCCAGATGTATCTAATTCTGGACAAGAAGATGCTGATAAAGATGGTATTGGGGACTCTTGCGACCCAGATGCAGATGGTGATGGAATTCCAAATATACCAGTAAGTTTGCATTCAACCCATCATTAATTCCTTCTTCCTACAATGGTTTCAGTAATGTAAAATGTTATTATTTATCTCAATTTCATTAAGATAACTTCATGATTTCTCATATCTTTCATTTTCCATTGATACATACAATATGATAACAGAAAGAAACATTGTACCTATACATATACATGAATTCTATCCTTGTTTATCCAGGATAATTGCCCATTAATACCAAATCCTGATCAATTAGACCGAGATGAGGATCGAAGCGATAAGAGAGGGGATGCTTGTGATAATTGTCCACGAAGGTTCAATCCAGGACAAGAAGATGCGGATCGAGATGGTTTAGGAGATATCTGTGATCCAGACATGGATAATGATGGTAACGTATCTAAGTCTTGAATCCTAAATGTATTATGGAAATATTTGAACGATGGTTTAATATTTAGGAATCCTCAATGAAAATGACAACTGTCCGCGAGTGTTCAACCCTCAGCAGGAAGATATGGACGGGGACTACATTGGGGATTTGTGTGATAATTGTCCTCGTGTTAGGAATACACAACAAGATGACGCTGACAAGGACAATGTTGGCGATGCCTGTGACAGCGATGTTGATAGAGATCAGTAAGTTTAGAATTTATTTAATTTATATTATTGTGTTGGATTTATTAAATTGGTGGATTTATTATAGAATAAAGGGATGATTTGAAAGACACCAAACAAAAAAATATATTTATTGATAAAGCCAATTCAATATCATTTTATACCTATACAGACTAGCACATAAGTATTTAACTTACAAGACAAGCAGAACATACTATTCCTTACCTTACAATACCCGTTGTCATATGACTTATCATGCTTTCTTTTTATCTATAAAATTTTCACGATTAGTTATTGTTTTTATTGTTAAAGTTAAGCTTTGTTTTTGTGTTGAAAAACTGACTCATCTACTAAAATAATTAAAATAAACCCCACAGAGATGGAATTCAAGATGGCCTTGATAACTGTCCAAATCTAGCCAATAGTGACCAACAAGATGTAGATAATGATGGAAAAGGAGACGCTTGCGATGATGATATAGATGGTGACGGAATTCCAAACTTAGAGGATAATTGTCCTCTTGTACACAATCCTGATCAACTTGATAGTAATGGTATGTGAATATTTGAATTATTTAATTATTATGAATAATTAAATTTACAAAGAACGAGTCACCGTAAATGCCTTTGTACACAAAAAGTCTGAGTGTGAATCCCGAGTGGACAAAAAAAAGAGAAGAGAAAGAGAGGAATAAAAGAGTATCAATCCAATTTGACGACAAACGCTTTTTATTTGTCTGTGAATAGGGTAATAAAGCCAAATAGATGGAGAATATATAAATATTCTATCCCCTTATAGAGAATATGGAAATTTATTAAGCTCAGCGTCTTTTATCCTACAGGTGACGGAATTGGAAATGCATGCGATAATGACAACGATGGAGACAAAGTTACCAACGACCTGGATAACTGTCCAAACAACTCTAAAATATTCCGCACAGATTTTAGGTAACGGCACTTTCATATCACAACTAACAGTTTTAAATCTTAGACGACGATACTTTTTCATGTCTTTAATACAAAATTGGGCTGACTATATTAAAAACAATTTTCGTTACAGGAACTATATGACTGTCAGACTGGACCCTGAAGGTACATCGCAGCAGGATCCCAACTGGGAGATAGCTAATGAAGGCGCGGAAATCATTCAAACCCTGAATTCTGATCCTGGTCTCGCGGTCGGCTTCGAAAACTTTGGTGGAGTTGACTTTGAGGGTACACTATTCGTGGATTCACAGATTGACGATGATTATGTTGGATTTATATTTGGGTAAGAAACATGGTAAACAAATTCAGTAACTTGAGTAAATAACTTGCATTATAAAACGTGTTGTCTCTTAAAAATCTTGTCCAATTTGGAAATAATACCATAGATACCAGAACAACAAACGGTTCTACGTGGTGATGTGGAAGAAAAACACCCAAACGTACTGGCAGACGACACCATTCCGCGCTGTGGCTGAACCAGGAATACAACTTAAGTTAGTTAACTCGAAGACTGGTCCCGGAAAGACATTAAGAAACTCACTATGGAATACAGAATCGACTCCAGATCAGGTATACATTCTAAAACATCTATTTAAATATACATTCTGTTTTTAAATTTTTAATATTCGTCAAAAAAATCAACTTCAATTAACTTATAATGCGTTAGTTATCTAAGAAGTTAGTCGACTTGATTAACCATTATCATTCACCATTATTATTTTTGGTCATTTATTCATATACTTTATTTTTCTATTAAATCTTATGGTCTTGTGATTCATGTCACATTGTCACGTTTTTGTGTTACTTTAATATAGTTTATTAATTCTTATAGCTTCTTCCATTATATTTGTGATTTAATTTGTAAGTACGTATTGTTAAATTAAAAAACGATTATGTATTGAAAAAAAAAATACAACATCGCCAAGACTCTAACCGATTGAGCTACCGTCACATATTGGTCACCTAATAAAATGGTCTTTGCTTCAGGTGACACTCCTTTGGAAGGACCCACGCAACGTAGGTTGGCGTGAAAAGACTGCCTACCGCTGGCGTCTACTCCACAGGCCCAAAATAGGTCTTATACGTCTGAAGATCTACGAGAACAACCGGCTAGTAGCTGACTCTGGCAACGTTTACGATTTCACTCTGAAGGGAGGACGACTTGGGGTGTTCTGTTTCTCGCAAGAAATGATTATTTGGTCCAATCTTGTTTATAGGTGTAACGGTAAGATCATCATTATTATAACCTCCTTTAAGGCTAGCATTAGACGATGAGTTAAAACGGTTTAAAACGCGATTTAAAAGTTATACTGTCTATAGTTTACGCGAGTAGTACACAATTAAATAAAACACTTTAACGGTTGAAAACGCGATGTAAAAACGTAATCACGGATTAAACCGTGGTCACGGGGAGACTCGGCTGCTGCAAAGCATCCGGAACGTCGGGCCGAAGTTATAAATCATTTTCAAATAAGTTTAACTTTTAAATCGCGTTTTAAACGGTTAAAGTGGTTTATTTAAACATGTTTCTAGTCAATTTTTATTTTTATTGAAACATCTTGGATATTGTCTTCAAATCTGCATATCTCTTAAATTTAAATGGGTGGTAGAAAGATCGATTCGGGTTTTTACCTTCCATCAAGTGAATCCCTAGCTTGTCTTTCCTTCTCTATCATAAACAAAAACTCTACAATCACGTGACAAACTATCAGTTAAACACAACTGCCACAGTAATATAAAATAAGTTTAATAACACAATATTTTTATTCCAATACTTAAAGGAGAGGTTAAAAAAATAATATGAAAGGAAGTTTACTTCCATTTGTATACCTGAGAATGAATAATTTTGATAGTATATTCTAATGTTACAAGTACAATGTTTGTTTCAGACAAAATACCGTCGAATATTGTGTCAGAATTACCCACGAGGTTGCTGAAGAAGTTAGAAGTAGACCACGACTTCATTTACACATAACATGTTCTGTAATTAGAAAAATGATTTCTTGTGAGCTTAACCACGAACAACTTAGATCTAACTAGCATTAATAACTATTGTATGTACAATTAATATATTGTGTTGTTGAATGAGTGTACGAGTACCTTTATTCTTTGTTACTGACGTAAATAAACTTATTAACTATATTTGTTATTTCTGCTTTGTTAGTAGTATATTAAAATTGCCTTGGAGTTGAACGTGTACCCAGGGTGTGTTAAGTGATTCTTATTAGCTATTGTCTCCGAGGAGGTTGTAGGACAATTTACCACACTCCCCACGTCACTATAGCCCGACGTGGGCGTAAATTTAGCATTAATAAAAATAAAATGAAAAAGGATTAGGACATTTTAAAAACAACATAATAGGTCCTATTATTGATTGCATGGTTAATACCTTACTTTGTTACCTTGACCACGAGGTGCAGGTAGGTTCTAGGTGGGGCAAAATGTTACTTGGATATTTTTGGTTTCGAATCCCAGAATATGGAAGAAAGAAAGAAAAGGAAGTGCTCTTCCAGTCAGCTGTCAATCGCTCCCGGTTATCACTGAAGCTTAGGAGCTTACAGCTGAAGAGTTCGTTTGTTTGTTGAATGGGCTAATCTCCGGAACTACAGGTTCGATTTTTTTCTGTTTGTATTTATGCTACAAAACTGCTGGCTGCAAATAGAAGCGAAGCAACAGAGCGAAATGTGAAAATATCGGGGAATATTACTCATCTCGGAGGATTCACGGTGCGTGCGCTGCGAAAACGGTTCAAGTTTCCCAAAAAAATTCTATAAAGGAATTAATTCCTCCTTAAATAATGTAAAAAAATGTCTAGGACAATATATTTCTTACATTTGAAGATTAACTAACAAAAAAGGTTTTTGTGAGAATCAAATCAAATTCGTCAATATACTTATGGAATATAATATATGTGGAAAATAAAGTTAGCTAGATTAACTAGTGGGGGTGGAAGCTTGTCTACTTAACGTGGACCAGCATGATGACCTTATGGTATCGAAGTCCTTCATCTCATACAGATGATACTTGCTATTAAGCTTATTAAGATTCTGATACGAAGAATAAAACCAAATAAAAATACATGTTGATATTACAAATATAATTATTGTACAATGTACCTACACACATTTGTATAACACAGACATGACTATCGCTTATAGAAACAATTTGTACAGCTAGTAGAAATCCCAATAGGGCAATCGAAATTACTCGGAAATAAGCAAAGATGAAATAGACAATGGGCTCGGAACCGATAAAAAAATAGTTTTAATAATTATACAATAATAATAAAGTTCCTAAATAAGTAATCTCCAAGTTCGGACCTGAAGATTGGATTTGGTGCCTTTAGAAGATGTGGTCTAGGGAGTTAAGTTGAAAGTTCTTCATAAGATTGGGACGAAAATTGTTAACTCGAGATCTATACAAAGACTGTGTTATCTTTTAAAATCGCCATCCGAGCCCCAGTTAAAATTAGTTCGTGCATACACAATATATCCTTAACACATAACGATATCGACAATAAAGTAAACAAATAATTTATTACTAATTAGTATTAGTAATTAGTATAACGTATATATATGAGGCCACTAGCGGCTTAACTGCAATTTTATTGACTTGCGTATTTTCATAGTCTAAAAATGTTAATCTACAAGAACACAGTGACCGAAAATTGTTAACGTAATTGAACCACAAATAATTCATTGCGCAGTTTTATTTTCCTCCTTTTCGAAAATCATTTTTTAGGCCACTCTGCCTCTAGCAGCCTCAATTAAACATTGATCGGTGTTTAAGATGTAAAAACACAGAAAAGTAGATGTTTTCTAAGTATTTATTTACACCAATATTGTAGGTATCGTTACGTAGTTATGGCTAGAGTGAAGAATCAGTCATTCATTTGATAAAATAAACATTCGTCATAGAAATAGAATACTAGAATTTTAGTACTTGTATCGAAATAGTCATATAATTGGGTACTTGCCTGGGTTAAATAAAAATCATGAAACACTAATATATATTATGTTTATAGTTTATTTTGACGAGCTTCTTGGTGTGATGGTAGTATGTGTGGCTAATCAATGGCTCGTGGTCGATTCCCACCGAGTCCAACGTATTTCTAATTTGGGCGGTAGAAATATCGAAATTCCGTCCGGGTCACGAACCACCTTCCACAGATGAAAAAGCCTAATCGCGTTTCGGTTTAGCCTCTGGATTACCGAATATCCAAAACCAAAATAGCTCGATAGCGCATTTGCTTTAGCTTATCCCCCTTTCACATACTATCAAGGAAACCCTAGCCTTTTCTGCCCTCCTCTTTCATATAAAAATGGCTGTGGAATTAAGTTTGTTTTTTATTTAATTAACTCATTTATCATATATTGGAAAGTTGTAGTCTTATGGCCGGCCACCAGCATTACGTAACAATGATTTCAGACGGAAAAAGTGGCGGGTGGTAAATACTCTAGTTACGTCACAATTACAAATCTTGTCATTTTGACAGATCGTGAAAAGAAGCTCATTTGATCTCTGGTAACACTCACAGGTAAGTACTCAATTTGTATGAAACGGCTTAAAATTATTATTTTAATATGTATATTATGATATTTCATTTTATAAATAATCGAGTTTACTAGGTACGTCAATTGATTAATCGATGTTGTCTGATATGACATAATTTTGTTGAGGTGAAATATATACATGACAACTCAACAAACATGTGTTAACTATATGTTGCCCTAGCTACACATAATATGACGTCAGTTGTCTGAAAAACACTTGCACGAGCAGACAGATTTTAATGTCCGCGTCACTGATCGTAGTAACTTGAAAACTATGCTAAGGATTGCTAAGGCAAATCACAGTATAATCGCGCACGTAATTAATTGGAAAACGTGACTGCACTCGAGAAGCAATTTTAATTCAATCTTATTGGTCCGAAAAAGACAACACGACCGGGGAACCAATCGACGCTAGCGCACATGATGTTCACTCGCCCCGCGCCCGCTTCCGTCCCTTCTATACCTTATTTTTTACTTCTGCGCAGGATTCGTTCAACGCTAAAGATCCGTGCCGCTAACTATACTGACATGCATACATTATATTTGTGTAGGTAAGGCAATATTGATTATATTTCATATTAATTGATATATTTCGTTCCTAATAAAACAATATACATTCTTAATAAGGGATTTATATAGATAATAAAAAACCCTTTGCAACAACAATCAGTAGTCAATAGTTATTATAATTTGAATCTATAGTTATAAGTACATAGTAATAAAGTCCGCATAAGTACTTCTTCAATTAATTTATATTATTTCATAGTTTTGCTGATCTATTATATACAAGGTCTAGAAGAGGTATTTCGCACAACATATTTGGTATAAATGAACACATTGTGATGCCGTAACGGTTAAAGAAAATGTAAAAACTAAAATTCTGTAAATATATCAGAAATTTCTTATCGCGATAGGATTATTATTGAAAATTGCACAGGATTTGAAAAATTGATATGTCCGATAGGGTAGATGCTAAGCTTAAAATGTAAGCAAGTTATGCTAGAGAAGTAATTATTAAGGTGATCGCGCATTTGCTAACGGCGCATGCGCAGCGCTTGCGTGTGCGATCACCTTTAGACACCATATAAAATCTATACAGCTATAAATTCTAACATCCAACAAAAGGTTTTTTTATAGTACAGGGCCAGTATCACTGACGTCAGTATTGATTAATTAATAATTACTAGAGACGGACCGAATATTGTTTCAACTGCAATCTCAATGCAGTTTAAACATGGTTATTACACTCAGCTTTATAAGTAAACAAATTATTAACAATGGACAATTATAAATGACAATTGATGTAACTACTTTTTTTGTTAAGTCTATTTCATTTTGCGTTTTCATTGTGTTCACAAATAAATACATTTTATATTTTCCATTAACAAACCAAAATTCTATTGACCCGACAGAAGGCCCATCTCTATTAATTAATTTGACTTCATCTTAATACTTATATAATTTTAAAACTTGATGTAATTTTAATCTCGTTTAAACATTTAATGGATACGACAACAATATTTACATCTCACGTAGTAGGTATTGTCTGGATTTTAACGATATTCTACTCTGTACAATATACTATAAAGAACTGCGGGTATTAAACTCAATTTCATCAAGAAATATTGACATTATTTCTGAAGTTAGCGGCACTCAAATTTCGATGTCGATTCTAAATATATCTCCGCCATAACGGACGGTTAACTTTAATCAATGTTAGTATTTCTCGGTGAAATCGGTCCTATAGTACGAACTAGTACACAGGTATCTAATCTTAATAAATATATTGTTTATGGAACTAATTAGCGTTAAATAGTTAATTTAACTGTTTGATATATTATTCCAATTGATAGTTGAATACTGTCTGTAGTTACGCTTTAAAACGCCGTCTCCTCGTGACCGGCTGCTGAAAAGCATCCGGACCGTCGGGCCGTAGTTAAAATAATTTGTAACAAACTTTCATACATTTCGCTTCTTCTGTTAAGTTAAGTTATTTTCTGTAAAAATTGCTAAAATTCATAACGTGTTCTATTTAAAACTTCATCGTTAATACAATTTGCATATCGAAATAAGGTATTTTCGAGAATTCGTAACTTTATCATTGCATCGAAATATTATCATTTCATTTTAAAATTATAATTCATTCATTAGTGATTTTATTAATATTGATAATTACATTAATAAAAGGTTACATGTAAATATAAATAATTGATACGTTTAACGATTTAAAACGCGAAATGTACCAGTAAAATTACTTACATGTGACCATGGTAGCAAGCAAAGCATCAGAAACGTAGAGCCGTTAAAATGGCAAATTAGTTAATATATCACGTTTTAAACAGTTAAGTGTTTTATTTGAAAAACATTTGATATAATTTCATATAACACATATAAATGAACAATGTTTTTAATTAAAATTTCATAGACATAAGTAACATCGTAGCCAGAGTGTGTTTTTGGTAGAATCCATCCAACTTGCGCTTAGTTTGTCTTCAATTAAAACGGTTCAAAGTAAAGGTTAAAAGACAAACGTAGATTGGTAATCAAAAAATTAATTAAAATAATAATTAATGCTACATTTTGCTCCACATAATTTTCTCACTTCGTTGCATTTCTCCATTCCCATTGTAGTAGGAAATATCGGAAAGCTCTCGTATTAAGTACGAATAAGTACTTCTTGGTTAGGTCAAACGATACTTCTATAGAAACGTAGTGACTTTTTCTTATTGGATATTTACAAATAAATTTTGAAAATATAGCTTATTTTAGGACGCGAGAGGTCTTCGTTTCGAATCCTATTGAAACAATAGATTGTTTCGTTCGGGCAAAATTGAAACGGACAGAGATATATGTTTGCCCCATACCCCACGTCGGTCAACGGGATTTCACTATTTAGTTTATTCAGCACCCGAAACATCAGACAATAGTTAAACGTAAATATTTTAATATATATCGCGTTCTAAACCGTAAAAACTACTTATAACATTTACAATTCGGATTCGCAACTGTGCTTAATTTTAGACAATAATTGTAATGAAAAATTTGTTTCTTAAATTAAAAATTGATTTTAGATTGAAAAATAAACGACACGGGCGGGACTTGAACCGGCATCCACAACGTTCCGAGCTGTTGCTATATCCCAATATACCTACCGTGTAGTTTCTCTCTAAAATAATTTTTAAATTTCTATAAAGCCAAATTTTAAAAAATGGATCATGAATTAAAGATATTTACGATTTGGGCTGGTCTCGAACCGGCATCCGCATCGTTTCGTGCTGTTGCTCTAACCAAATGAGCTACCGAGTATGTAAAAATCGACTATGACGTGTAATAGTCGATTTTTACATGCACGTATCGCGCAATGTAATTTCAACCTCTCCACTTATTATAAAGAGCCAACGTGTGAAAAATATTAAAGTATTAAAATTTGTTTCTTTGTATAAAATCTCTCTGTCTGGTTTAAATGTCATCACAGCATACATTAATTCAGATTATTGAACACGCTTTCAGCTGCGAGCTATCTGCATCTGTCAATACTGTTTGTGTTTTATGCGAATGCTATATGTGTTAAACAGTCATAATCTAGTTTCAGTGACATTGATAAAATCAACAAGTTATATATGTATGTTGAAATTGTTTAAAACACAAAACGGTATAGTAAGTACTTTATTCCTTAACACTTTAAAATGCGATATATTTTAGAAAACTTATTTGAAAAATACGGCCCGACGTTTCGAATTTGCAATGCATTGAACTAATCTTTATCACGTTTACAGGAGAGCCTAGTCCCGGTTGGGAAGTTATGCTCACGAAGGTGGCAAGATTTTTAATTGTGTTGAATTTGAAATGTCCACAGTTATTCAAAATAACCTTAAATACTTATAGTGGCCGATATTGAACATAAAAATTCTTGCATTATAGGCAACGTTTTGAAAATGCGAATGTAAGACTTATACGTCCTATTACGTCTAGTCCCAGTTGTGGGAATAGTTAAAGGGACGCCGTCAATGTGGACAAGATATTCACTTATGTATTCAATTATAAGTTTAATTTAAAATATCTAGGTATCAAAATATCTTTAAAAACGATACTTCCAGTAGCGCAAGTTGAAAATAAGCATTCTTTTATAATAGGCAACCTGAAAAATTCTGCTGATAGAATCGAAAACGTAAAATAACTTCGCAACTATCAGAGATCATTTGGCAAATCGAAAAATAGTGCGTTCAACCAAAACTAGTTTTTATTACCATGCACTGCGGTTCATTTCCGTGTGGTCTTATCTGATTGTATAACTTTAGGGATGTACAAAGCGACGGCAAAATTTATAGCACACTGTAGAATTAGTACGGGTATTTCCAGTGGAAACTGTGTGCTTTATGACTGTTACAAATATATTAGACGTCAAAAATTACAAATGCAATGCCCGACTTCTATTTACTAAGTAGTAAAAATACTTCCTACAATTTTTAACAAAGAAACTTTAAAGTTAAAAAAAGTTAGTAAATTTGTTAAGTACTTGATATTTTATTTTGTCAAATAAATTTTAAGTCACGAGAGTTTACTATGTACATCTTGGCTATGTTATTATTGAAATCCCTAGGCATAGACAATATCTATCCTATCCTAAAATTATTAACACATAGTCTCTGGTCTAGATGGACCCGGTGGCTGCGGCTGCTGCGGCTGTTCAGCAGACCGTTGTCGTGGTAACTGTGAAGAGTCCAGGACTATGGACGGCCGTGGTGGTAGGTTCTCGCTGACCATGTGCGATAAGGATAGGTCGCTTGATGCGTTTGTGTCGCCTGGAAACAATACTTTATTAAATCAAAGAAAAAACGCATGCGCGGGATATAACCGTATATAAACATACTTATAAGTAAAATTAGAAATTAAACCATATTAAGCCTTATTGAATAATTCGAAGTAAAAAAAATCGACAATAGAAGATTTCCAAAAATTTCCAGCAGATTTTCCAAAAATTCCAAATAAAATGTAGGTAGATTAAAAAACCTGTTATCTAGTGTTAAATTAGTTAAACACGACACACTCGCTCCTAATCCTATGTAATAAATCATACTCATGAATTTAAATTCAATTATCATAATTTCCGAAAAGAAACAGTCTTGAGATAAACTTTTAAAACATCGTAATCGACCTATTAAGATTGTGCAAACCAAACATGAGACGAATGATAGAAATATTTTTACTGTCTTAGAAAGAAAATAATGACAACTACAAATAATTAAATAACACATTAAAAGCGTCTGTCTGTAATATTGGCCTGTAAGAAAAATACCTGACGGTTGCCTTGGGACTGGAAGCAGTACTTCTCCGCAGGTGTCATCGCCGAGCAAAGGTTGCAATGGTGATGGTAACTCGCGGCTGTCAATCGCTGACGAACGACGAAGTGAATGCCTGTATTTAGAAGAACAATAATGAATGAAAATTGATATTTTATGGATAACCTGATTAAAGGGCGGCTCCAGACTTGAGCGGAGATAAGAGAGAGAGAGAAGAAAGAGATTAGCGGTACTCCAACAAAGGGGTCTATAATAAAACTTGAAAGAAACACTTTTTGGACATAGCTTGGATGTTCAGCTGGCCACAGTTATACCAAAAATTATCATGCTCTGATCCTTGGCATGACACCTAAAACCTGTCTCGTTCAGCTGAAATACAGCATATTTTGTATGACAGAGGAAGACTGAGAAGGTTGGGGTTTATATAAGGTCTAATATCCCCGCCATATAACATCTAAACAAGCTGTCGACCTATTTTGGCTTTGGATATTCGGAAATCCATAGACTAAAAAAGCGATTAAACTTGACGGCTTTTAATAGATATTCCTAACACCCATCTAATATCCACATTTTCATATAAAAAATCCAAAATGTTTCAGTAAAATTATAAATTAATCAGAAAAATGTGGATCCCGATGGAGATTGAACCATCAATTGCTACCAAATACACCAACGAGAGAAAAGATATAACAGATAAATACTGTCGGTAGTTTACGCGAGTAGTACAGATTTAAATAAAGCACTTTAACGGTTTAAAACGCGATATATTTTAGTAAAACTTCTTTGAAAATTATCTTTATACGTTGAAACCTCGGGGCGTAGATAAAAATATTTTTCAAACAGGTTTAACTAAAATATATCGCGTTTGAACCGTTAGTAATTTATTTAAATATAACAGATAATATAAAAATTAATCGCTACACGTGAAAGTAGAATCTGCTCTGAGCCAATTAATTTTCCCAGACGCAACAATATCCAAGAATCTAAGCCTTAGATCATTTTACGAACCTGGCGTAAAATGATATTAGTAGTGCTTTCTATCGTAGATAAAGTAGGATTTTTTTATAATTATCTTGGACTCATCTTTTATAGATACAATTTCTAGTCTACGCGGTTTTCTAGTACGTAATATATTTGTAAATTTGTGAACACAGCTAGAACGTCGGGTCGTTTTTAAAATGTTTTAAGCAGTTAACTGCGTTATTAATATTACATATCATCTCATGTTCACACATTATCTATACTAATGTATAAAGCTGAAAAATTTTGTTTAAACGCGCTACTCTCAGGAACTACTGGTTCGAATTGAAATATTATTTTTGTGTTGGTTAGAGCATTTATCGAGGAAGTCTATAAAACACGATGTTGCCTCGCTCCTATTAGTCATAGACTAATAGGAGTGAGGCAACAGCGGAAAATGTACAAAAAGTGGGAAAATTCATTTTTGTGGATTTCCGTTGCGGTTCAATATACCCAAAAAATATGCATGAAAGAATGATTCCTCTTTAAATCATCTAAAATATGTCTGTCACACTATGTGTGCATCTTTTAAGATAAACATGTTATTTTGTAATTAAGATGAATGTGAACTTGGACACTACCATGGACACCACCAGTTACCTCTGATGTGGTAGCCGTCTATCATGGACAGAAAGGAGTGCGGAGCTGGTGGTAGTCGGCGGCTGCACCTGTGTGTCTTCACCGCTGGTGTTGACGCATACACTAATGCTAATGCCGCTCACCTCACCCTCACCCCCATTCTCCTCCTCCTCGTATCTGCCCAGGACAGACTCCATTTCTAGGCTACGGTTTAGATAGCTTACAGGTGGCTCAATTTATTAATTGGAGAATAAGCCAGCGGTTTAATCACAATGTTTTATGATACGATGATGATATAGCTTATCAAGTCACAAGTAAATAAAACATTATTTAAGATTGAAAACTATTTACGACACGGGTGGGACTTGGCATCCACAGCGATCCGTGCTGTTGCTCTGATCAATTGAGCTACTGTGTCTTACACGTCATCGTCGTTTTTTTTTTAATTTTTTTGATACATGCCCCTTTCACGCAATGTCACGCATGTATCAATAGGTTGAACAAATTCGGCGAAGACGTGTAGGACACGGTAGCTCAATTGGTTAGAGCAACAACGGATCGCTGTGGATGCCAAGACCCATCCGAATCGTAAATTGTTTTCAATCTAAAAACGATTTTTAATTTATAAAGACACAAATAGATTATTAATGCATGGCGTAAGTCATTCACACTTTAATATTAGCGACTATTTTTATTTACGAGCTAACAAAAAGGTGGAATCTCACTTACCGACGCTGTATTAGGTTCTCCATGATTATGTAATCGTCTTCTTCTGCGCCACGAAGGTGTTCCTTCTCCATGAATAGAGCGAATTCTGGGTTCGACATTTCGCTGGCGTGGCGGCGACGGACGGACGGTGATGTTGGTCGGGCGGGTGATAAGAGACGAGTGGCGATCGGTGTTCTGTTAGGGGAAAGGTGATGAGAATGTCTGCACAGTGTATTTTTTCTAATTTGGCAATAACCACAGCAAATATAGCCGATATCAAATCATAAAGAGTACTAGTTATGGGATTTGGCCCATAACTAGTTCTCTCGTAGACCTCAATATTCAAAATCACTTTTATGACGACTTTTTTTTATATCATTATTTAACTCTTATGTTTGTAACGCCATTCAGCGACCGTGCATTAGTGGGGCTTTTCAATTGTTTCTTTACTCCGACATCAATGTCGAACTAAAGAAATTTTAATCAGTGCATTTTCGAACAAGATGAAATTTTGGTTTTTACTAAGTGAATTTAAGTTAGTTATTAGTTTCACATATAATTTATTGCATCAAAGTGTTTTTATTGTGAATCAATGTAAGCCTTGTGAGAAAATTTACGATTTCATGTAAATTGTGCCTTTGTTTACCAAAAATGCCAAGTAAGAAAAAATACACTATAGTTAAATTAACTAACCATGCTCTTTAACTCGATAGCTCAATTGGTTAGAATGGCAACATTAAGTCGTAAATTTTTACCAATCTAACTAGATTTTTATAGCATATATTTTTAATTACAAAGATATACAGCAATAAAAAATATTAAATCCTGTCTGTAGTTTAAGCTAGTAGAACATATTTAAATAAAACACTTTAAATGTTTAAAACGTCAATATTAGTTAAACCTGTTTACAAATTGTCTATGACCATGTCTGCTGCAAAGCATTCGAAACGTCGGGCCGAAGTTAAAAATCATTTTCAAATAAGTTTAACTAATATATCGCGTTTTAAACCGTTAAAGTGTTTTATTTAAAAATTGTGATTTAGTATCTTTTGTTTTCAACAGCCGTGGTTAACATTATTTGAAAGTGGAGTAAATACAAGTTAAAATTATGTTCAACGTCATTGCGGAATCATATCTTCAACTTGGACAATTAGGCAGCAACAATATAATATCGTGCCACGAGCAAGTGTGTTCCCGGACATAATTAGTCACTCCAAACGATCGTTAAGTTGAGCCTGACCGCGTCATTAAAGTTGGACGGGACTGGGAAGAGAAATATTATAAAAGACGGTAAGTAATGCGAGTAGTAAACGTAAATAAAAACTTACCAGTTTACAACGCGAAATATATTAGTTGACTAAATTTTATTTAATTGAACTATTGCTTATTGCGACGAAATGCGTGAACTTCAGATTAGTTTTTTTTTTATATTTTTGATTTTGAAGTTGCCAAAATGTCAGGCCTTCGTTAAAATAGATTAAAAATGAGTTAGCTTATATAATGGCGTTTTAAATATTTTAAAGAGTTTTGTACTAGTTACTCGTGTAAGCTACAAACAATACTTGAAGAACTTTCTTTTGCAGCATTTTTTTACTTAAAAAAAGTGAGGCTCCCGTTTTCAGTACCAATTGGGCGGTAAGTAATGACAATGAAACCAAACTACAGACCAAAAAATATATATAATAAATAAATAATTAGAACTAAATCTAGTTAAAGAACTAAACTTTCGAAACTGTTTTTGCTAAGGTTTATTAGGTATAGTTTTAATTGTAGCTGCATTGCGTTAAGCCACTTGGTGTGCATAGGCCCTAAGACTTTACATACCTCGGCGTATGTGGTGGTGAGAATAACCCATAGACAGTTTCTAGCTCATCAGTAATGCTGGTGTACTCATGCATGGCCAGTAGAAGAGAACGTGGTGCTCCACCGACACGAGAACGACCTGATGGGGCCCCAGCAGCACCACCTGTAGCCTCCCATCCTGATTGGCGACCTACCAACAAATTAAACGGGTTAAGATGAAGTTGCTCTAACTAAATGGAGTTTAATAAATACAGACAACCTTTTAAATTATATTTAAGTTTAAATAAAACAAAAGTTCATCAATTCGTCAAAATTTATTTGACGTGTTTTCATTTATTTATTGGATACGGTTGCTGCAAAGCAAACGTCAGGCCGTAGTTAAAACAATTTTCAAATAAGTTTAACTAATATATGTCGCATTTTAAACCGTTTAAGTGTTTTATTGATAAAAAAGAAGCTACTAAACTCTACTAGTTAACGTATTAACAATTTATTTTAACTACGGCCCGATGTTTTGGATGCTTTGCAAGAGCCCCGGTCACAGATGTCTGGGGAGACTATCCGTAACCACAGCTGCTACAAAGCATGTGAATATAAGAAATACATTGTAAATAACTAATATTTTATTTCTACTACTCGCGTAAACAGACAGTACTTAATTCAACAAGTAATTGACTAGACACTCGTGGTATGTTTATTAAATATTTGCACAGCAGTGAAAAAAGATGCCACCGTCCACAGATAAAAAAGCCGTCGAGTCTAATTGGGTTTTATTTTCAGTCTGTGGATCTGAACATCTAAAGCAAAAATGTCAGCGCAGTTTAGATGTTATATGGCTAGAGAATTTCACCTTCCATGAAGTGACCCCACGCTTGTCTGTCATCTTCTACAGTAAAAAATAGATAATAGATTTACCTGTCACAGAGTTATGTACGGAACTGGCGTCGACAGCGGAATTATCCGGTTCAGAATGAGTTTGGCTGTGCTGCCTCCGTGGTGCCAAATGATGAGTAGAATATGTCCCTCCCATACCACAATCATTACCTCCTTCCGATCGTCTGCGGGTTATCAAAGCGGTTCAATTTTCATTATTTCCACTTTATTTTAATACTTTAATGTAGGTGTTTGTTATTTTTGTGTTTCTTATAGCATTACACAATAAATGAAACACTTTTAACGAATTAAAAATAAAATATTTCTTAATCTATTTTTAACTACTACAACCCAACAGCTGACCACGTCGACGTCAGGTCAAAGTTACAAATAAATTAACAAATTTCGCATTTTAAACCGTTAATAGTGTTCAATTTAATTATTGTTCGTGTTTCTCATTAATTACTTATAAAAATCTTACCTCAAATCAACTTGAATGAAATTTAAATAAACATCATTAAAATGCAAAGACTCAGCGAATGCAAGAAGAAAGTGTTTAAATGTGAGATAAAATATGATCAATAAGAAATCTTTTAAACTCTTGCATATTAGGCTTTTATTTAAGGCTACATACCAAGATTTAACAGACTGAATCGTGTAATGTGATGTTAGAGTAATTAGAAGTTTTAATTTAAAGATCTAAGGGCCCCTACGCACTGGTCACAGCCAGTGTGGATGGATGACACACGGCATAGTTGATACATCAACTGTCAATGCATAGTGTGGTTTTTCTAACTTGGCAAAAGACCACAACAAATATGGCCGATTTTAAACCATAGTGTACTAGTGAAGCAGTATACAATACGTATAGAGTCGTTGCCACAGATGACACAGAGTTAAATAAATATCGATTATATATGGACAAAAAAAACCAATTCAAAATCACTTTTATGGCTTATTTTTAATTCTTTTTATGTCATTATTATTTAACTCGACGTTCGAAACCGGTTTTCGTGTTTCAGTGCGACTTTAACCTATTATTGTTTGCTGTATCCCTACGTAAATGTCAAAGTAAAGAAATTTTAATCTGTGCATTTCCGTGAATTATTTTTAGGACTTATATTAATTTAAGCATGTAACTGTGGTTTCTACTAGTTTCAAACTGTTTTTAGTGTAAATCAATGTGAGCCTAGTAAGAAAATCACGATTTCATGAAAATTGTGTTTGTTTACCAAAAATGCCAAGTAAGAAAAAATACACTATACATGAAACTACTTTTTATGTTGTTCACTGCCGCTAACTGGCGGCGGACAGCCTTGTAGCTAGCCGGCCAGTGCGTACAAGCCCCGAGTGCAAGTGTTATGTACAACATAAAAAATGAGCAAGTGTCAAAGCTACGTTACGTTTTGAGAACACAGAATTTTTACTACAATTAGCTAAAAGCTAGAAGCGGCGTATACTCGTTGACTTACTGTTTCCACAACCGTCTCCTAACAGATGCAAGTAAAAAGAAATTAAAATTAAAAACAATTATGGCGATGAAGGAATTTAGTTGACTCTGCCAATTCGGTGATATGATAAACACAATATCCTACGGATGGTGAAGCATGCTAACTCAAATGTAACATGAACTTAGATTTTTCCTACGCAGCTGTGTCTTATGAAACTACGATTGCAGCGTCTAAAGTTATATACATATGGCGTTGAAGATTGGTTCTATCACCCCAAAGCTCCAAAAGTAAAGCACGGGAGGTGGGTTCGAATCCTCCAAAGTCATTAATTTCTATCAGGTGGGGCAGTTAGTCCAATAAACTTTGTAAAAACACTGAAGAACGAACAGAATTTTCTGTAAATACAATCAATCAGTGCAACGGACACATATATGTGTCTGCTCTACGCTCCACATTATTATTTTAAACACTTTAAAGACAATTTTTTTACGAACAAATAATTTATTATTAAACAACACCCGGTGGATACAAGATCTTTAAAGAACTAAACCTTCGTATTTTCGACTTTATTTTTTTCAACATTACTCAAACTAATATCTCTTCTTGGACTCTACCTGCAAATATATGTATGTCGAAACATAAAGAATTTTTGTATATGAGTTTCCACACAAACTTTCTATTGCTTCATAACAACATGGAAATAAGAAGTAGTTGTGACACATATATGAAGTATTTGATGCTAATGTTTTTGACACGATATTCCAGAAGTATTCTTGTTATAAGAAACATACCTTCGTGCGTTAGCCGTCCGCCGAGTGCCAGCGGAAGTGGTGCGCGGGCGCAGAGTGTTGTCCGGTGGAATTTCCCGCACTTCCGGTAGGAAGGCGTCGTCAGTTGATGAAGGCACTGAATAATTAATTTTCTTCAAGTGAAAACCGAGTTAATATTAACATTTGAATTAAATATGGGAACAATAGAATGGCAAAGTAATTTGTTGTTTATTCATTTATATATACATTCATTCATTTATGTTAACAAAGTATTTGGTTGCTTTAATAAGGAGAAATTAATAACCTGCCTTCGCCTGGTCTCTATTTCGCGTAATAATTGTCATAGGACTAACTGACCTGGTATACATTGTATTGCCATATGAATTATTATGACTTGTGAGTTAAGATCTTAAAAGATACACATATACATACTGTCGCGGACATTTTTTAGATTTTTTAACATTATAATTTTCGTACATGTTCTTGAATAGTTTTCGCGAATACAACGTAAAACCTCAAAGATTTTCCACATTTCCCACTGTTAGTTTTTATTAGATAAAGCGTGATTTTTGTATGTTTCTTAATAAATGCTTCAGCCAACATGAAAATATTTTTTCAATTCGAATCATTCTTAAGATAAACGCGTTTCAGCTTTATAATATTAGTACAGATTTGTATCTCTCTTTATATATTATAATGAAGGCCTTACTTGTATTAAAACCATTGAAATATACTTTAGATTGAAAATATATAAGACGCAGGCGAGAGTCGAATCTACGGCAGCTGTAATGACAATACCTTTCTTATCATCGCTGGGCTCAGTTCTATTGCTGTCCGAAGATCTCTGTCGTGCTGGAGTGATAACGGTTGGTTTGATAACAGTCACCTCAGGCCCTGCTACACTTCCACCAGACGAAGTAGATATTGAGTCAGCTTCGGGTTCCTTCTCGACCACAGGTTCTGGGCCCGACGGTGGTAATTCATCCTGTGGAAAAAACCACAACCGAAATAAAGTATTGTTTAACCTCTCGCGCTAACGAAGCTAAAGCTGGATAACGTTTAACCACTTAGCAGCATACTTTAGCGTGTATTTTTTGCAATGCATGTGTTACACTTCTACACCTTCACTTGTCTACACCTACTGTATACATTAGTGTAACAAAGCAGTTAAAAAAATTAAAAAGCACTAGACAACACATAATGAAATAGGGTTGTAAGGAGATCAAAACAACATGGTGGTATAATGAAGTGCTGTATAAGAGAAATTGATCTATTGAAGGTAGAGCTAAAAACGGGATCGCATCAAAAAATATTGTACATCGCGTCGCATGCTCTTCGGAAATCATTGTAAAGAAAGTGCTATTACGTATTTGTAATAGAATCAAAATTCCAACCAGAGTGACCCGAGTCCCAGCAGTGGGACCTAATAAATAGCTGACATTTCTGACAGTAATTAATTTATACGCGTAAGAACTGGTAGAAGGTTTGCTGAATTATAACCGTAACCGAACTAAAAAGAATCAAATTGAAATTTCTAAAGCCAAAATAAGTCAAGAACGCATCGTGGTTCATGTGATATGGCTGGGTTATTTCATCTCCCACCAAGTGAATTTCATGTTTTTTTATCCTCTGTTATTAAAATAAATATGGCGTGATCTCTATGCGCCATAAACACGGATCTACGAAATGGATTAATGGAGGTTCTTACGTCGGAGGGGTGCGAGACTTCATCCTCCTCCTGGACAGGGCGGACGGTGAAGCGCGCCACACCTGTGTCGCTGTCCGACAGCACCTGTCCGACCACAACGATGCCACATCCATTCGCATTATGAATCATGATATTCGAATAGATATATGTACGTATTTATTGAAAATTTTATTTTTTATTTAACCCCCCATTCGTTTTTTAAAACAATTAAGTTTTCAATAACGTGGACATGGGGGGGGGACTTGAACTGGCATTTAAAGCCATCTGTGCTGCTTATAAACATTGGCCCTTAAAACGTAAGAGTTACGATTGAATTTACATTAAAAAAGTCGTGTGAGACTCGGTAGCTCAATTGATTAGCAGCACGGAACGCTATTGATGTCGGTTCAAGGCTCCCCTGTGAAATCGTATTTAATTAAATCCAATAGTATATAAATGTGTATTCTTTTACACTATTCGAATATTCACAACTCACAACACAATTAAGCACAGAAACAAACTTCTAAAGACAAAATAGAATTTTAACTGTTTTAAACAATAATGATATTATTTTATTTGTCACCCGTTATTGCGGTGTCGTTACGTCAAGTAGTAATAAACAATTGGTTAACTAATCAAACTGTGTTTTAAACTGTAAATGTTAAACTTAATATGTACTTACGTCAACAATAAAACTTTTAAACAACCCTTTAGAAGTTCGCTTAACACAAAACATGAAACATGTATGGATTAAATTAAGTTTCAAACAGTTAATGATTGTTCATGCTAAACAACAGCAAATGAAAACACACCGTTAAATAAAATTTTGTAGATAATTTGTGGTTACAATCCTATTAATAATAATTCAATAGTACAATAGTAAATTACTCGTGAGATAACTTCTGAACCGCGGTTTTATTAAAATATTTGTGTTTAAGTTGCATACATCAAATCACAAAAAAACATCTAAATAAAACTCCTTAATGGTTTAATACGCACTATATATTGGTTAAACTTATTTGATAATTATTTTAACTACGGCCTAACGTTTTGGATGCTTTGCAGCAGCCGTGGTCACGGGGAGTCTAAAGATGGACGTACAAGGAAACTACGCTAGCGTGTGGCCGCGTTTGCTTAACCGTTTGTTGGCCGTAGTTAAAATAATTTTCAAATAAATTTAACTTACTTAAATATCCCGTTTTAATGTACGTATTGTATACTACTGGCGAAAACTATAGACAGTATTTATTGCAATTATTGGCGTAAATAGGAGGGTGAAATTCTTGCCTTAAAGATGTACCTACTGGTGGTTTAAGATAAATTAAGTAATAACTCACCTCGGATCTATCACTAGCAGTTCGAAGTCTCGCCCCGCTAGCTTGGAATGTCGGAGGGGGTGGTCCCAGGGTGTCTGTGGACCCTCTATTTACCAGAGACGGGTGCGTGGCCATGAACCGATGTATCACAGCTAAATGATTCATAGTTTGTTCCGCGACGTCCTCCAGCTTTCTTAACCTAAATTCTACACTCTGAAATAACGATTCAACATAAAAATTCGTTTTACACAAAAAATGTTTTTAAATAATACGCTTATATCGGTTTATAACGCGAAATATATTAGCCAACTAATGTTTATTTTTTTTATTTAATTTAACTACGGCACGACGTTACGACGAAATAAGTTAACCAATATGTTTCGCGTTTAAAACCGTTAACTATTTTATTGAAACACATTATTGTGTAAAACGAACGAATTTTTATGTTGCATTGTTAAATTCTACACTGTGAAATAAGAACATAAAAATTCGTTTTACACAAAAATATATTTCAAAAAACGGTCTATAATGCGAAATATATTAGTTAACTTACTTTTAATATAATTTCGCGTTTTAAGCCGTTAAGTGTTATATTTAAATGTCTACTATTCGCGCAAGCTATAGATAATGTAAAAATTAGTTTTAAAATATACTTATACGCAATTTAATAAACTAAAACGGAAAATGAGCTATTTAAATATTTTTAAACTACGACCCTACGTGCAGCGGGCATCACAGTATTCCCATTTCGAACCATGTTTAATTTATTGTGAATCACTAATATATACTTAATTATATTAGGAACTTAAACTTAGATGAATCTTATTTCATTTAGGTAACATACGGACATAATTTGAAGTTTTTAAAGAACGATAAGAAATATTTACCTGAACCGACTGTATTTGGCAATTAGCTTTTTGATTTAAGTCTTCCATTTTAGTCGTGATATGTTCAACTCTATCCGTTGTGTTCCTCACTCGTTCCTCTAATGAATTAGACAACTTAACTTCCTGAAAATAAATAGCTTTAAATTGTCTGTCTGTTACAAAGGGAAATTTAACACCCACTAAAAACATACAAAAACTACCTATTAAAATGAGGGGTTAAAACGTACATGAAATTTGAGCGTGTCAACAAAATTTTGTCAAAATCAATTTAGCCGTTTAGACGTGAAACATCAACAAACATCCACATCTATTAAATCTTTTGTGTAAATAAAACACTTTAACGGTTTGAAACGCAATTTTTCTTAGTTGAACTTATTTGAAATGTATTTTAACTAGGGTCCGACGACTCGGATGGTTTGCAGTAACTAAATTAATTTTCAAATAAGTTTAACTATTATATATCGCGTTTTAAACCGTTAACGTGTTTTATTTAAATGCGTACTACTCGCGTATACCACAGACAGTATTCAAAATCTTTTATAGTCACCTTCCACTACGAGTGGGAAGTCTTTATACCTGAGTGCGTTTGTCTACATACCTGTTCTCTAAAATATCCTTCAACACACTCTTCTTCGAAGTCGTACAGCCTCTCCATATCTTCCTTTTCCAAGAAGAGTTTCAATCCGTTGTCATATTGAAAGCGCTTGTGAGATACGTTCCTCGTTACCCATTTACAAGTCGCGTAAATGTGACAGAAAATTATTAAGGGAGGCGGTAATACTGGCTTTTGTTCGTATTCCATAACCACTGTAAATCTTTGGAACATCCACACCTAGGGAAATGATAAACGTAGGTATCTATACTCATATATAAAGCTGAAGAGAATAATTATTTTGGACATCAAAATTCTACGTGGATGAGGTCGCTGACACAGCTAGTCTTTAATAAAACTACCTTTAACGTGTTAATTCCTAATGTTTAACGTTAATCAAAATCGTCTGTTTAACAAAATTATCTATAACTCAATGGAGTGTGGAAATAATTTTAAATTATTGTATTCTTAGTTTATACTACTACGAATAGAAATTATAAATACATTTTTCTATGTTTTTTTTCTACTAACAAATATTGGTTTAGGGAAAGTAAACAAAGAAAACCTAAAGATACGAAAGGCGTTCGTACAATTTTGGGCAGTTTGTAGAATGCCTTGAACGTTCGGTGAGCATATTAAATATTGACGAAAGAACGAAGCCTATTATTTATTCAGACAAAGGCTACGGTAGGGGCCAACAAAAAACTTACAATGTTTTATACAACAGACAAACATCATTATTGTACAGTAAACGTTTATAGCGTTAAAGTAATCAATCATGCAGGCATTTGATTCTGAACGGCTTATAGGTCACCTTTAACTATACTTTGTCTAATATAGTATGATAAGTTTGACAAAACATATATATTTTAGACATTATGCGAATGTTTGCATACGTCTTACTTTGTGTTCCGCTGATGGATTACAGTTACACAATTATTTTGTAAGACTTCGTTGACCCGCCCAACCAAAATTGTTTATTGTTTTCTCAAGATTCTAACTTATTTCCGCTGGCGCATTCCGCAATACTGAGCAACACAACTAAACATTCGGCTACAGAGATTCGATTCAAATAGATAACAAATACACTATCCCTATTGCAAATTGTCAAACTTATTTTGGATAAAGCTTAGTACGTTAATGATATTTATACGATAAAAATGCTTGTGGTTTGAAGGAACCCGCTCTATCAAGAAAAAATATGTAGTGCATTCAAAATAAATAAGCCCTGACCTAGTAGACCTAGTTACCAACGTGAATAAATGTTTTCCACTTTATACAATAACAACTTCATGTTTTCGCGAAATCATTAACAAATATTTAATGCTTTTATGTACTTTGCTATAATTACTAATATCTTTAACCTAAGTTTAGGACGAAAATTGCGTCACCTTTTTCAATACGAGTAAAGGTGTGTCCTCAGTGCGTCCGTTCAGAAACAAATAGCGAAAATCATAATAAAAGCAAAAATAAACCTGATGCGAGACTTCATTGACTTCGTTAAAGATATTATTGAAAACGGCAATGAGTAGATTTATAAGCAAGATATTGGCGACGAGTAGGTAGATGGTCATCGCAATTGGAGTGATCCAACGGCCGGTGACACACTTGCTATCACTGACATCCATGCCGCATGGAGGGTCGATGTCTGGTGCGAAGACTTCGCCATACAACATGAAGTAGGGTTGGAAGAAAATCTACAAATAACAAGCCATGAATGAACTCATGCTAAATTAAAAGGAAAATTATTATAAACTTAAATTTAAAAAGAACAAAAATGATTGTGAAAGCAAAGAAATTGAGAATAAAATTACCACCTTCGGTTGCAATATTTAGACAGAAATAATAAAATATATTTAACTAAGACAATAAAGGAAAATCTAAAGATATTGCATCCGAAGATAAATTAGTGAAAGATGATGAGACAAGAAATAAAACGGGCTTAACAGTTTTTAAAAGCGTAAATACTGAGATGTGAATACTGTAAAATCTTAGTCCATAAATTAACTAATACGTAGCTATGTTAACTGTTAAAACTGTTATACTTAATGTCCTTGTAAATAGACAATACTTAGATAATGATAATACAAAAATACTAAATACTGGACCAATCCAAACTAAAGATCTCGCAACAGGCAACATCGACTACGGAATAACTGAACAAGATCTAAACCTGGTGCGACACGCCATTCACTTCAATAAAGATGTTATTGAAGACGGCTATGAGTAGATTGACAAGAAGAATGTTTGCTATCAAGAGGTAAATGCTCATGACTAGAGGTGGGACCCAGTGCCCTACTCGGCACTCCTCAAGGCCTGGAAGGCCGCAAGGAGGCGCCATCTGTTCGGCGAATACTTCTCCGTATAACATGAAGTAGGGTTGGAAGAACACCTGCAATTGTTAGTAATGGTAATATGATCGTTAAAATCTTATTCTAATGTTAGACATAAACACACAGACTTAATGATAGGTTAAATGGTAACTTCTCCTTCTTTTTAGTAAATCGTACAATAGATAATAGATTAACAACAACGTCGTGGTTTCGAGTCCCGTCTATATCATAAAGTCGTCAATCTATCTGACAAACGTTATCAAACAGAGACTTGACATTGACATTGACAGATATTGTATTTTTAAATAAAACACTTTAACGGTTTAAAACGCGATATATTAGTTAAACTTACGTACGTACTACTCGCGTAAACTATAGACAGTAGATATTGTACTGACAAATATGATGATGACTTCAAAACTATAATATATGAGATTTATTATTTATTTTATCTGTGCTGCATATATACCGCCATATACATGTATATGAAGTGGGACCTCTAATATACTACAAAGCTTAATTAGTGCAATTTGTAAATTGAAAACAGCTTAACTAGACCCATTATTTATATTAAATGTCTCAGAAAGTAGTATGAGATGCCAAAACTGCTGCACAATAATTTATGTGTAATGGCGGGAAATATGCAGCACAGATAAAATCAATGACGATATTAATCTGCCACAGACTGTCGAGAATTTCGCTTAATTGCTATTACCTATATTAAAATATTCGTGCAATTTATATTTTGATTGAAAATTGAAATGTTTGAGAATATTCATTAAATTACGATGTTCAAATTGGATGCTTGAAATTGGTTGAATGCTTAAATTTTAGAAACTATCATAAAATAAATCTATTTCAACGGTTTAATACGCAAGCAACAACGTTCAAACGTTGTATTTAATATTGTACAGATTTCGTGGTCATGGCGAAAGGTTCAATTCGCATTTTAAACCATTGAAATTCGTTTAATTGAATATGCCGCTAACCTATATATATAACCGATATTAACCAGAACGTTTTTTTTTTTGAGAATATATCATTACAAACGGCCAGCAAAAAAATCCTGAAAAGAGGTCTGTTAATAACTGATAATTGATTTAAAAGACAAACTTACTTCTCTTATTAAATACCAGCTAGCTTCTTTATCTGGATACAAAATGGCCTGTCGTGCGACACCAAACGACATTAATACGACTAGTAATAGCACCACGAAATATATCATATTCTTCACCATTTTACCCATCATCGTGACTAGAGGACCTGTAATATTATTACAATGTTTATACAAATGTGGTAAAATCCCGATTCCCTCCGTGGCAGCGGTATTGTATCCGTTTCAAAGATCGCTGATTTACAGTCAAGTAGTTGATTGGACCTCTGTGCCTTGCCCGACTGAAACAATTTATTATTTCTCCGGGATTTGAACCTAGGACCTCTCGCGCGTAATGCAATATAAGACAACTCGTTTGACTATTTAGCTACAGAGGCCAAATTTTTCTACATATTTTAATTACATCAAAAATTCATTTATAACTGGAACAATTTACTTACCTAAGTATTTATTAACACCCAATATATTCAATATCCTTAAATACCAATAAATAATGTCTACGCAATATATGACCCGACCGACGTCCATCGAGCTGGGTCGTAAGCGCAGCGTCAGGCCAACCAGGAAAAATATTATAAAACCAGCGTCGTACGTGTTCCACATGTTCCACGCCCACACGCTGAACTTATGTCTGCAAGAATGTCAAAATTGTAACGGAACCTTGTGATCACAATATAATCTCAATAAGTTGCTAATCTCAGAAAGTACTGGTTCGAGTTGAAAACCTTTTTGATTTGTTTAGATTTATCAGCATTTGTCGACGCAGGTTTTAGGCGATAAAACATTAGGTTGCGGCCAATGAGAGCGATGAAACAAAGGAAAATGTAGGAAAAAAACGGGGAAAATAATTCATTTTGGAGGGTTTCCGTTGCTTACGCTACGAAAACTGTCTCGGTAGAAGCAATAGATAATTATTGTTTTTTTTCTCAAGTTTGCTACCATTTTAACGACGGCAAAATTTCCGAGCTAGTAACTGAACACAAATGCGCATAGGCAATGTATTCAATTACAAGCTCATCTAGCAGAAGTTCTTTTGCCATGCGAAATATTGCGACTAAATTTATTCACCATCATAATGTTTTTTTTAGTTAAAAGTCATCAACGATAGTGGACATTTTTTAGATTAATAATTATTTTATACATGTTTTTTCAGTGTCTTGTTTAGTACCAAGTTTTCGTAACGCACCCAACGGAATCTATCAAAAATGAATAATCTTCCCTCCCTTTCTCCACGTCACTCAACGTTTCTTCGCTCCTAATCGTCGCAGCCTGATGTTTTAGCCTAAAACCTTCCTTGATAAATGGTCTATTCATCATAAAGAATTGTGAAATCGAACCAGTAGTTCCTGAGATGAGCGCGTTCAAACAAACATCTTCAACTTTCTGTTATTGGCCTGAGCGGAAGATACAGATTATGTTACGCATATAGTGAGCTTGGCAAGTGGAATATATAACAAATAACAGTTTATAAGTTATTGGGTTCTAAATACAATTTAAACAGAGAACACTCACCTAATAGCAACAGGTTCGGACGTAATAATTTCCCTAACTTTCTCACACAAGAAAGTTATAATATAACAAATAGAATATATTTCGGGCCAAGACGGTGTTGGGTTCATCTTGACTAATACTGTATACGTAAACATCAGTAGGAACAATATGTATGCGATCTGAAAAGAAAATTAATTTTAATTTCCTTTTTTGGAATTTTACTTCATATTAGTTTATTATAACAAATTAATTATGGACTTACTGTGATAAAATTTTACATTATGATTGATTGTTAAGGTGGGTGGGTTCGAAGAAGACAAAAAAATTACGTAAGCACAATTTGATCAACTACTTAAATTAACTTGAACGACGAGTACGGCACATTTAAATAAAACACTTTTAACGGTTTAAAACGAGAAATGTATTCATTTTCTATAGCATCAGATAAATCAAAATATAATTAAAAATAGACAATGGCGGGTTTCGTCCACACGATTACAGTTTTTCAAGCTATTTGTTCTGCCAACTAGTGCGGTGGGTGAATTGAAAAGACCACACACAGCCCTAAATAAAATAAAAAAAGCGTCCCCATCATATTAATTACCATCGTAATATTTTGGAGCCCATTTTAAAACTTCTATAGAAACAATGACAAAGTAATTATTACAATGTCGTGTTTCAATTTTTATTATTTACCCCTGCCCCAAAGTTTTGGGGAACTTTTCCTTATTAAAAGTGTTCCAATAAAGGTCGAATATAGCTTTCTAATTAATTGTAAAAGTTGAGTTTGACATAATAAATTATTCAAATAGCCTGACGGTACTACGGCTTAGACTAAGATCAGGAATCGATTTGATTACTTTAATAATTATGGTTATAGCTACGCTCAGACTCAGCTTAAATATATATAGAAACTACATCATCAACACTAATACTACAAAGAGTGAAATTCTGTTTACCGTATACTTGGCGACTCAGGTCAATGAAATACACAAAACATTAATTTATCTTTACTGGCAAGTAGTTAATAATCGATTTTCGATTGAAAATAAAATACGACACAGGCAGGTTTTGAAGCGGCATCCGCAGCGTTTCGTGTTGTTGCTCTAACCAATTGAGCTACCGTGTCCTACACGTCATGCACTTTTTTTCCACCTTATGGTATTAGCACCTCTCACGCATTATAATTTAAGACTTAACAACTATCAACAGCACGAAAAGCCTAAGCCTAAAGTTTATGCCGGTTCAAGTCCTGTTGTAAAATTTTCAACTCTAAAATCTATAATCTATTTTTAATCTATATAGTGCCATCATGTGCAATAACATATGAAAAATATTAAAGTACGACAAATAGTTGATCCAATTTCTATGCCCTATTGGTTGAAACTTTAATATTTTCTTAAGCTTCAAATTTAAAACATCTGGTACTAAACGCTAGGCAGCGCCTTAGTTTTGCTGAGTGTCGTAAATATAGATTCCATTGTATTAATTAAATACTCGTATCATGCTCGTTAAGAAACATTAAACAACCTTAATGTTAAATTATTATTTAAAGACGATAAAGAAAGCAGTACAGCTGTTTGTGTAGTAAAAAGAATCATTGCTCAAGATACAAAAAACAAAAGTGAGCATGCATCTCATAAAAACCTAAAGCCCAAAGATTTTGCTACTGACCGAATCAGCCCAGAACTTGGTGATAGGCGCAGTGAAGAATTCGTAGATCTTCTTCCTCAGTCTCAAAGGTCTCATCCTCTTGTCTTCCGGCGCGTGGTACTCAGGCAGCTCTCTGTAAGATAGTTCCCAGCCTATTTTGCCAACTTTTCCATTTTGGTCTACTCGAGTCTCGCATTCGGCCCCTGAGCCAATCAACGCCTGCTTGAGTTTGGAGAAACATGTATAAATGTTACCAAGACATTCAGGTAGATCAAGAAATTAGATTCGAAATTTAAAGAACGAAATCTCACAGAGTATTTAGTCTTTATTAAGTACGGAACATGCATCACAAGATATAGCTTAGCAAAATCACTCCCTCGTTTAAAATGATGAAAAATATAAAAGTACAAACAAAGTTTGAAGCGTACAAAGGAGGAAAGCAAAAATAGCTTTAGATGATTGAAATATGTTAATAGATGGAAATGTTATGCTTTTAAAGTTTTAAGTTGTTTGGTTGAAGTTTAATCGGTAAGGTTTTTTCGCGTACTTTGAAGAATAAAAGTGTAACCCGCCCTACATTACCCCAGCGTGGGGTATGGGGCAGAGATATGCGGCGGTTTCATGTCAATCATATTTGTAGATAAGCAGTTACCTGATTTATATTAAGTTTTAATCGGACGCTGCTGTCTATAATTGTAACTGATACATTGTTAAAGCTTCAACTTTTTCTACATATAGACCCCATTCGGAAAGCCATCATGCCATCAGCCAAAGAACCAAAGAAGAGATTAAATGGACGGTCGGAACATCGAAATACCGTCCACAGACAGCAAAGGCTGAATATCAAACCCGTGTTTCGATGTCAAAGTAAAAAAAAGATCGACAGCACATCTAAATTGGATGATGGTGCAGTTCACGCAATCGTGCAAACGCCAAGCCTGTCTATTTACATAAAAAAAAAACATTTTTTTATGCTTTTCATTTGTCTTTCTTATTTAGAAGTAACAATAAATATAAATAAGAAATATAAAACATATAACAAGTTACAAAACTATTGTCGGTGTCTGATCCAAACATCTACTGTCTGTAGTTTACGCGAGTAGTATACATTTTAATTTAACACTTTAACGGTTTAAAACGTGACCACGGCTGCTGCAAAGCATCCGAAACTTCGGGCCGCAGTTATGAATATTTTCCAAACAAGTTTAACTAAATACTGTCTATAGTTTACGCGGGTAGTACACATTTAAATATAACACTTTAACGGTTTAAAACGCGATATATTAGTTAAAGTTATTTGAAAATGATTGGTATCCCCGTGACCACGGCTGCTGCAAAGCATCCGAAACGTCGGGCCGAAGTTAAAAATCATTTTCAAATAATTGTTTAACGTTTAACTAAAATATATCGCGTTTTAAACCGTTAGTGTTTTTTTTGAATATCTGATCTATCTATTCATTTCCTTAAAGTAAAATATAAATTCTTTAAATGATAACCGTCCGTCCAATCTGAACAAATTTAACAATGTAAAAGTTAATTTAATTAATGCCTCCCATTTTATGACGCTGTAAAGCGGCGAGGTTCCTGAAGATTTACAACTTGGACTTTCATTCATAAAATTGGAATGTTCTTATCTTATTCATTTATACGGTAATAATAAGTAACTTTTAAAATGTGTTTTTTAAGTTTTTTTTTATTATTAAGGTAGACCGACAAGCACCGAATCCACTTGATGGTGTCAAACCACAGTCATTCAGCATCTTAAATACTGTCTATGGTTTAAGCGAGTACTACACATTTAAATAAAACACTTTAACGGTTTAAAACGCGATATATTAGTTAAACTTATTTGGGAATGATTTTTAACTTCGACCCGACGTTTCGGATGCTTTGCAGCAGCCGTGGTCACGGGGAGACTGTTAAAAATCATTCTCAAATAAGTTTAACTAATATATCGCGTTTTAAACCGTTAAAGGGGTTTATTCAAATTCAGCATCTTACTAAGATCTATCGACCTACTTTAGCTATACATATTCGCAAATCTACTGGCCGAATCCGAAACGCGATTAAATTCGAGATTTCCATCTGTGGACGGAGGTTCGTGTCTCGGACGGTATACCTTCCACCACATATACCACCCATTTAATATCCACAGTCCAGACAAAGTCCAACATAATTTTGAAAAATTAAAATTTAATTTAAAAATCGAAAATAAATTGAAAAAATGTTCTACTCGGCCAGGACTTGAACCGGCATCGTCGGCGTTCCGTGATGTTCCTCTTATATAATTATATATTGCCTTCATGGACATGAACATGTCAAAAATAATAAAGTTTTCAAAATTACAATTTGATTGACATGTTGGATCGAAAGATGGTCGAACGACTCGTTGATTATTAGCTCTACATTGATACCATTAGACTAACGATCCCGTTCGAAGTTGATCAAATAAGTATTTTTATTTGTAATAGTCTAAGGGGTTGTCCATTAATCACGTGACCTTTTTTTAGAATTTTTAAACCCCTCCCTCCCCCCATTGGTGATACGTAGTGCGGTTTAAGACCACCCCCCCCCCTTCTCAACGTCACATGTATTTTTAGTTCCTACAAAGAATCTTAAAATTTTCTGAATATTATCTTAATATAAACTATAATCTTATTTTATTCTGAAATTAAGGACCATAATAAAAATGTCTACACCATTTGTTTAAAAATCGCGCGTTTGACGAAAAAAATAAATACACGAGATATCTTAGTATACCCCCCTCCCCCCCTTGTGTTATTTTCGTGATTTTTATCAAACCCCTCCCCCCCTTTCAAGCCTCACGTGATTAATGGACAACCCCCAAGTAGCTTCGAAAAATATTATAAAGCATTTTTATTAAAGCCACCAGGTAACCTTGCCGCTGGGCGCAAGAATTTCACCATCGTATTTACGCTAATAATTGCAATAGTTATTAAATACTTTACTAAAATAGGTCATTATAAAATAAAAAAGAATAAAAAAAAAAATAGGTCATTAAAGCCAAAACAGCTCGGCAACGCATCTTGCCTAGATGTTATATGGCAGGTTATTGTCTGTCCTATGACATTTATTATTTTTTTAATTCTTAGTATGTGCATTGTCCAACAGACCAGCAGAGGAGTGTAATTTAATTTTATATTAATTATTATTTTATTTTTATCATATTTATTATGTGCCAGTATCGTACTTAATATTTTCATGCTAAATAAAGAGTTTTTGAATTTAACTGCTATGAAGGGGTAGATGCGTAGCTATCTTCGCTACTTGGTTCGTTATCGACCCTGTAGCACCCCACCTTTGACCTTTCCAGAAACTCTTAAGTGGTAAATAGTCAAAATTATAGTTTTTAGCTTTTTATTAATAATATTTATAATTTATAGATAGATAATTTATGGCTAAGTCGATTCGATAAATGTTTGTGCGCTAACATATTTTTTGTACTTAATTTTTGTGTGCTTTTCATACATCGTGACATTGTGAATTTCACAAAACCATAATATAACTGAAATTCAAGTATAAGTATTGTAAGAATTTGTATTGATTATCGGTGTGAACACTATCCATAAAAAGCTATGTTACAATCATATTTGTGGAAATATTAAACTAAAATTATAAAAAGACACGTATACAACATTTAGATATAAGGCGATAAGGCAGCCTATAAAATAGCTATTAACAGTTTTGGTAGCTCGTACGCACGAACACAAAGGCTTGTATAGATGCCAATGTGTTTCAATAACACAGTACATTAAGTTTTGAAGTGCAAGTTATACTAAATTTAATAACGTGTACATTATTTGTTTATTTACGATGTGTATGTTGTATGCGTATGTATGTTGTATGTGTATGTATGTTGTATGTGAGTTTTAATTATACTATATGCTACTAAACTAAAATTTAATTCAAAAGATGTAATTCTAAATTTGAATGTTGGTTGAAAGAGATCGCTTGTAGCCCGTAACATTTTTATTGTGTAATTTTATTTATATTGGATTTATCTATTATAAATCCACAGATTAAACAATAAAAATCTTAAATTAGGATTGTAGACTAGTAGTAGTATGCTCCACATTAAGCTATTATTGTCATACAGAACAATGTATGACAATAATAGCTTAATGTGGAGCATTATGTAGCTATACAACCGCGGAGGGTATGTTTTTTTTTCTATAGTTAAAAACAAAACGAGTCGCTTATTACAATTTTTTTTCATGTGTTCTACAGGCAACACTTAGTAATATAATTATATTTTTATAACTTTATCGAGGTCCTAGCACAGTGTCTTTTTAACGTTATTTTCCTCTATGTTACCTTGTCTGCAGATTGATAATTCTCACCGGCTTAATAACCCAACGGTGTGACACTGTACAGTTCTCCCCAAACTTTTGACCAGGCTGAAGTTAGCGCGGAACGCAAAAGGAAGGTATTAGTTTCGACAAAGGGGGTGCGCGGGTGCGGGGCGACTCGACTTTTTGCTAATAATTGACAGTACCATTAGCAAGATGGCGCTCGCGCTAACTTCAGTCCGGCCAAATATTTTGGATAGCACTGTACATACATCGTGCGATTGTGTTCGTACAGAATAGCAAAACATAGACGAAGGCCGGTACCTGCGGTTTCTCCGCTTTACCCGCATGTCCTGGAGGAATTATCTTCTTTATGGATAACGTTCGTCGCTTCACGCCAACCTACACATACCTTGACTAATTATGTTCCCGAAGAACCTTATCGATCAATGGTAAATAATAATTAACCACCAGACAACTAGAATTAGTATTTAACATATAACACTCGGTTGTGTAGGGGAGTTGAATCTATGATTGTTTACAAATTACAAAAGTATTAATCAGTTATGATCTTATTCTTTGCCTACGAAAGCCAGCAAAAGTAAAAAAAGCGAAGGAATTGTAAGTAATGTAAACCGTTTAAAGTGGTTTATTTAACTAACTAACTAATCTTGTTTGTAAACTTATTGTAACGATAAACAATACATAATTATATACCGGCAAACAACAGTACACATTACATTAATTAATAAGGATTTAGATTGAAAAAAAATATTAAACACGGGCAGTACTCGAACCGGCATTCACAGCCTTCCGTGCTCTTGTCTTAACCAAATTTTCTAAAGTACATATACGTACCCGATGTGTAACTTTGGAAACTTCGGATCGTAGTTAAAAAGTATTTTTATAATATGTACGGTTGTACTTTTGTCTTAGAATTATAAGTAGTTACTTTTATATAGATATTAATTACATATATTAATTAATTAGAAAAGTCGATATTTTCCTAAGTAAAGTTGTATAAGTTGCTTTAATATTTTCCTCGAACTTTCATTATTTTGTGCTAAAATTATCCATACACATTGAAAACATGTCCTTCGCTTAATAGAGTTCGTGACTGAATAACTAGCTTGTTTTTCGGACTACAATTTATATATTCATGGCTTGAATACAGTATTTTAAAGACTGTATGTAATTAGGTGGAAAAACTCTCTAGAATGTTTGAATAATATATTGATACTAGCTGACCCGGCAAACGTTGTTTTGCCATATAAATAATTTATAACTAATTAAATGACGATTTTGGGTTTTTGTATGTTATATCATAAAAAAATAGAAATTAAAAATTTAGGAGTGGACTACCCCTAACATTTAGGGGGATGAAAAATAGATGTTGGGCGATTCTCATAGATACCGGAAAAGCACAAAAAAATTCATCAAAATCGGTCAATTCGTTTCGGAGGAGTATGGTAATGAAAACTGTGACACGAGAATTTTATATATTAGATCTTTTTATACGAGATATGCCTTTATAGAAGTTAGATGAATTTTATTGTAGAACATCGTCAAGGGTACGTTAGTTTGTGGTTCGAGTCTTGTCTATGGCAATATATATATTTTTATTTTTTATGATAATACACGACATGTGAATTAGATAAAAAGAATACAGGGGCTCAAATGCTAAGTCACTTACTGTGATACGATATTTTATGTTATTGATACGAGATCAACCAGTGTAAATTTTTAAATTTAGAATAAATTTTCCGTTAACAAGTACTTTACTTTAGTACGTATATTTTACCCTTAGAATGTTGTTTTTTAAAAGAAAATCCTGACACTGTAGACAAGGCGTATTGTTGTTAATTTTTGCTTTTTATTCTGTACTCGCATATGAACTCTCATGATAACCTAAATAACAAACAAAAACAATCATAAATCCAAACCCAAAAAGCAGCGTAAAAGCGAGATGGAAAGCAACAGAACATCTAATTACCTCAGCATCATTCGGATCCTTGGTGCTCCTATCGTCCTCCATGCTCTCGTTCTCTAAATGCTCCTCTTCCGTCTGCGGCATCAGCTGCAACTCCTCTTTAGACTTGAACTCCAGTTGAAGGATGTAGAGGGGGCACAGCAGACTCAGTATTACCTTTTTACGACAAAGCCGATGTTGCAAACGAAACGCTGCTACTAAATCACTTAGGCTTTACATGCTACGTAATTAAGGACGCCGATTTAACTTCGTGCTTGACCTATATTTGCGTATAAATAATATACAAATATACGACAATCCATTTATGATTGTAACACCGATAAAACGGTATAAATCAAATCGAATTTTAAATTTTATATTTAACAGTGATAAGCGCGAAGTTAAAAACGGAAAAAATATTATAAACGGCATGCAAGTGTAGTCCTACAAAGCCGTTTAGATTATTTAATAATGCGCACGTTTTGAACAGTTATAGCTTTGTAGAACTATAAGCTTATTGACACACAGACATCTAGACCGGGTTGGTCCAGGCGCACACTGCGTCTAGTCGCGCCATCGTCGTAGTACCGCGGCGACAAGTAACATGCGCGCGCGACTCTTACAATGCATAGTTTGAAATTGGAGTATCGTCGCGTGCGCCTAGACTTACGAATGGCGTTATTACCTATGTTACATCTACTTCGTGCGTAGTCTGTGCGTTAATAGGAAATAAAAGAAATGAGTGTTTAAGTATTTATATACAGTTACCTTCAAGTTGGTGTTCTTTCGCGTTCGTAGGCCCCCCATCCATAGATCTGCGAGTATTATCTGAGAGCAAGGGTGCGCTAAGAGGGCTCTGTGGTTGGCAGCGACTGCCAGACTGAGGCAGGTCTGTCCTGACCAGTTCTGGAGTTCGCATGTAAGCAATTGCTGAGCTTGATCGTCGTCTTGTCGGTAACAGTAGTCCAATAATTCAAGGGCTGTTAGAAAAAGATTTATTTTTTAGTAAAACAATACGATACCTAATACATTTCGTGTTTTAAACCGTTAATTACTCGCCTAAGGTATGTATACTTGCGAGAAACCATTTTATACAGCAAAATTTGGTCGTAGAGCTGTATTAAGTTGTTAATACTCAGATCTTCCTCCAAATTAATTTTCTAGTTACATTATGGAAACAATTAAAGTTTACGGTAGTTGCCGTCGACGGCGCCACTGAACACGTATTGAGGTCAATTGTAGCCTTGCTCGTTATAACTACAACATACGCTGTGTAAACGATATTTTAACTTAATATTTGGCTCTACATTCTCTACAACCTCCTTTCTTTAATTATTTCTGTTAATAAAAACGTCGGTTACCATTACGTGAAAAATACAATTTTGCACATATTCCTATATGTAATGTTATATAGAAAAAAAAACTTAAGCAAATAAATAAAATATGGAACGGTTATTTTGGTTAAGTTTTTTAACAATAATATATTTTTTCTTATATATTTATTTATTTAATGGTGACTCGACGTTTTTAAGCAGGGTTTTAGCTTGGTCAGGGGATGACGTACAAATGTCGAGTCACAGTTAATTAATTACCTCATATACTCCGCCTTTGAAATAATTATTTTTTAATTAACTTATTACTGAAGTTGCGTTCATAGCGGTAAATTCCAAAGAATATACAAGCTAATAATATATAAGCTTTTCTATTGACATAATTTGTGACATTGTGTGTGAAAACTGTTGAATTGTTGTAATGAAACGCAACTATTTTATAGTTCCTAATTTTGACAATCGTGGCGCTGCTTTCTCTTGTATTGACCATTGTAATTGTAATCGTATTAAAACGATAAGTTGATGAAATATTTCATTCAAATACCACAACCGCGCATTAATCCTTCAGAAAAAATCCAAGCACTTATCTAAAAACTTACCCTTAGTTTCAAACTCTTTGCCATAATGCCGAAGTTCTTCATAAACCTCCGTTTCCATATCATCTTCAGCCGCTTCGTGAGCCATGGCTTTGTATAGTTTGCAAGCCACCAGTGACTTGGCTAACGCTTCCTCGCCGTGCGTCCACATCAATAGCGCCATCTGGTGTCGCTTAGTTAATACCGCCCACATCTAAGAAATAAGCCAATTCAATTTATTCAAGAACGGCCAGACGTGCTTGGGGTAAATACTTATAAAGTCGTTTTTAAGATAGAGGAGGACAAATAATCATGAAGTTTACTTGATGTTATCTTAAATACTGTAGCAGCCTTTGCCTTCTCTGTAATTTTCCCTTTCATAGACATAGTTAGTTATTATTGTTATATGTATAATAAATTAAGTGTATAAGATTTATAAGATGAAAGCGACACCAGAAAACTACGACAATATTTATCGTTTTCAATCAGACATCAATCCATTTCAAGTTTTTATTCTATGCTACCCCCGTTCTCGTCCCCGTTATCGTCCCCTTTGATGTACGCGCTATAATAAAATACTCTATTCATTCTATTAAACCTTTAAATCAATTCAAGTCAGTAAAAGGAAAAATGAAATCGCTTTTATCACAGTGAACTCGCAATAATGTTATTTCACTGTTCTTTCTAAGTGGGACAAAACCTAGCATTATGTAGTATTATGCGTGTTTCATTTACTAAATGGAAAAAAAACTTCCTGCTTTTACTTTGAATATTGTTAGCATAATAGAAATAAAACAATAAACAATGTGCGAGTTAGCGCCGTTGTATAGTCTATGCAAGTTAATTGTCAAATGTAAAATATCAAATATGTCAGCTGTCAAGTTTTATTGTGTCAATACACTGATTCGCCTCATTATGTCTCGCGATTACGAAATTGTATTACACACTGAAAACTTAATTACCTGTAACAATACGAAATAAAGGAAGAATTCGAACAAGAAAGGTTTTTTTTACATTCAGAAAACCAAAGATGCCTTTAGGTACTATATCCAACATATATAATAATATTGCCCGAGAGGTATAGGTAGGAGTATATAAAAAAATTGGAAATAATCGACCTGCTAGTTAATGGCTGAGAAACAGAACGGAAGATTCTGTAATAAATTTATTTAGCGCTATGATTATTAACGGACTGCCTCTGTAGCCAAATGGTTAAACGCATTGCCTAGCATTGCGTTAAGCGCGAGAGGTCCTGGGTTCGAATCGCTGCGCTGCGAAAACGGTTAAAGATACCGCAAAAATATGTCCAAAAAATGTCCATGATATGTCTATCTTTAAGATTAACTCTAATGTGAAGTATTTTGACCATAAACGGTCAAAATACTTCATGATAAATTTTCTACAATAAAGAGACCAACTTGCATTGGCAGGTCATACATAAATTTAAGGCCTATTTAGCAAGTCAAACATCGATTATAAAATGCAGTTTGCCGCCACAATACGAAACACACAATACATATTTAAATAAAACACTTTAACGGTTTAAAACGCGATATATTAGTTAAACTTATTTGAAAATGATTTTTAACTTCGGCCCCACGTTTCGGATGCTTTGCAGCAGCCGTGGTCACGGGGAGACTAAAGATGGAGGATGTCTCAGACGTCAAGGTAAAGAATTGCTACGCTAGCGCCATCTGTTCCGTCGAAGTTGGTATAACGTCGGGCCGAAGTTAAAAATCATTTTCAAATAAGTTTAACTAATATATCGCGTTTTAAACGGCTGTAACGTCGGGCCGAAGTTAAAAATCATTTTCAAATAAGTTTAACTAATATATCGCGTTTTAAACCGTTAAAGTGTTTTATTTAAATGTGTACTACTCGCGTAAACTATAGACAGTATTTAATTAACCAGTACGGGCTGGAAAATGCAAACAAAGTTCGAAAACTAGAGTGTCTTGTGACGAAACGTGTATACCAACTTCGACGGAACAGATGGCGCTAGCGTAGCAATTCTTTACTTTGACGTCTGAGACATCCTCCATCTTTAGTCTCCCCGTGACCACGGCTGCTGCAAAGCATCCGAAACGTCGGGCCGAAGTTAAAAATCATTTTCAAATAAGTTTAACTAATATATCGCGTTTTAAACCGTTAAAGTGTTTTATTTAAATGTGTACTACTCGCGTAAACTATAGACAGTACACAATACATAATTAATCTATACTAATATATAAAGCTGAAGAGTTTGTTTCTATGTTTCTATGTTTGAACGCACTAATCTCAGGAACTACTGGTTCGATTGAAAAATTTTGCTTGTGTTGGTTAGTGAATTTATTGAAAAGCCTAGGCTACAAAACATTGTGCTGCGACTAATACAAGCGAATATACAGCGAGAAATATGAAAAAAAAATTGGTAATATTTATTAATCATTATGGGTTTCCGAGGTGTACGTTGCGAAAACGGTTTTAGACACCCAAAAAATATGCATGAAAGAATGAATCATTTTATCATTTCTTTAAATGATTAAAAAAGAAGTCCACGACGCTATATGTCTATCTTTTAAGATTAACTTGCACGATTTATAGGACGCGACGTCGTGGGTTACAGCTTAAGCGGATAGATGAAGTAAAAGTTTAGAAAAACAAATTTGGATGCCCGAAATAAACAATCTTCGTGGACGAAGTCGCTGACACAGCTAGTACAAAATACTTACCAAAAGCTCGTTAAATGGATAATCGAAGAGTGCCATTTCAGTAGTAACCGGCATGAAACCGGTGATGAGAGAGAGCCCACCAGCGTTGTGGCGGGTGAAGGAAGCGCTGTTTCGGTGAACGTTTACACTCTTGTTCATCACCTTCGCATAAATCGGGCGGAACTTACGGCGAGTGTAGTAGCATCTGTGATAGAAAAATTGTGTTCAATGTAGCATCATAGAAGATAGACACATGAAAACTTTTATGTTTTCTGTAGTTTACGCGAGTAGCATTTAAATAAAACACTTTAACGGTTTAGAACGCGATATATATTAGTGAACTTATATCCACGTGACCACTTGCTGCAAAGCATCCGAAACGTCGTAAATAAAAGCGAAATAAATGTTTTCACCCTTTGTGAAACTCGACTTCACTTATTCGATTACAGTCTTTAACATATTTAAATGGGTATTGTTACGAGAGTGATATTTAAATGTAACACTTAACTGTTTAAAACGTGAAATAATATGTTAGCGTATCTTTAGACATTAGGAAAATCTTAAGTCCCCCATGAGCACGGTGTTGTAAAGCATCCATAATGTCAGCCAATAGTTAAAATATATTTAAAAAAAGAAGTTCATCAATAAATTTCGTGTTTTAAACCGTTTAGGGATTTATTTTAATCGATTACGGATATATTTTGCGTTATAACAGTTTAGTGTCTTATTTAAAGCGATAACTTATATATTTAGAGTTTCAAAACCGTTAAATAATTTATTGAGAAATAATCAGATTTATTGCTACAGATTCAGAACTTAAATTTAACAGATTTAAAGTTAAATAAATATACTCGTTCACATTATAACCGCGTCGCGATGTATCACATGGTCGTTCCAAACATTTGGTAACGATTTATGTGTTTATGTAATGGCCTCCATGTATATTAGCACGTAAATGGTTTGTATTTTGTAAATAAATGTTATCGTAAAAGCTCTGAAACATTGTTTTGGGCTTCGGGGTTCTTTTCTGTTTCAGACATATGCTAATATTAAAAAAGTTTAAGTATTTAAAGCTGGAACTTTCCGCTTAAACCTTCGTCTGTAACTTCTTTTCGTATTCTCTTAAGTAGATAACTCTATTTTCTTTACATAATTTACTTTACTCTAGTAAAACTAACTAGACTGTCTTATCAAAGATATATAAATACGTCCAGTGTAAAAAAGTTAATACTTCACGCAAGTGGTACCAATAAAATAAAACACTTTTAACGGTTTTAATCGTTTAACGTAAATCAATATTTTAATGATAACAATGCTCGGGGTTTGGAAGAACCCGCTCTAGCAAGATGTACACATTAGTGTGTAAGGAACTTGTTACAAAAACTTGACGATAGGAGTGGCGGCGAGTTTCTTGCCAATTCTTCTCGTTCTTTGATTCGCCCCTCTCGCTCTTCGCCCCTAATTTGAGAACAGTTAGTAAATGTTATTTTATAGGTTTTATTTTTTACCTTTCTACCTACATGAATAAAAAGAATATAAAAAAATATGAAATATATTTGGATAAAAATTTATGAACTTAATAGTTTTGTGTTTAAACCGTTACGTGTTTTATTTTATTAGTACCACTCGCATTTATACAGACGTTTCAAGTTATGACAGAGAAGAAAGCCATTCACTTGATGGTACGTGAAACCCAGCCATATAACCTCCAAACACGATGTGCGGTCGGGCTATTTTTGGCTTTGGATGTTCAGAAATTTGACGGATACCGAAATGCGATAAATTTGACGGTTTTTTCATCTGTGAATGATGGTTCGAGAAACAGACGGAATTTCTATATTACCAAACACCCATTTACGTCCAACATGAATGAGAAAAATTAAAGATTAATCTTCTTTGTAGGAACGAATCTGTATGTGTATGCGAGTAGTACACATTTAAATATAAACGTCGGGCCGTAGTTAAAATTATTTTTAAATAAGTTTTTAGGTAAACTTTAATATTAGTATAAATATCGCGTTTTAAACCGTTTAAGTGTCTATTTAAAGGACAAAACTGGATAACACAGTTGAATAATAAGCACGTTTGAAAGCATGACTGACTTCAGAGCGACTGAAGGGAAGTTATTTATCAACGACAGGGAGCCGTGAAAATTCCGTCCTCACGAAAAATAACACGGACCTCGTTCAATTTACTGTAATGGTTCCTGAATCAACCAGATTTCAATAAAAAACGAATAGATCTCAGCTTCTGGTATAATGGTGTGTCCCCTGCACACTGCGGATTTAACTTTAGATTTGTCTTTCCGCGGAATCGAACCACCATCCGCAAATTAAAAAACAGTGAAGTTTAATTGCGCTTCATTTTAGGTGTGTGAATTTCTAATATATAAAATCAAAATAGGTCGATAACACATCTTGTTGAAATGGTATATAGCGGGTGTATTTCACTTTAAATTTCCAAATGACCGTCCCTGTAGCTAAATTCGATCGCGAAAGGTCCTGGGTTCGAATCGCGGGCAATTGATAGTTGCGGTCGGGCAAAGCACAGAAATCTGATCAACTACTTGCCCGTAAGAAAAGCGATCAGTGAAACGGACACAAATGTGCCCCCGTGCCCCACGGTGGGAGTATTCACTTTTTCAGATGAAGTCCAGCATGTTTCAGAAAAAATATAAATTATTTTGAATCAAATTTAAACCCGAAGGGAATCGAATCCATGGCCCGTTGATTATTAACACATTGCTACTAAGTTAGGATAACCGGCCCGTCTAAGGTCAAATGTCTTTGAAGACATTTATTTCCCATTCAGATTACATAAATGACTAGAGGAACTTATTACAAAAATATGACGCTAAATTCTTACCTGTAAGCGCCCCCCATAAGTTTATTGATAACAAGTCCAATATCATGCAGCGTGTGGATGTAGCCCCTCGGAAGGTGAGGTCGAACGTCCCTCAAGATATACCGCAGTGTATTGCTGGGTCCACTCTTGGTATTGTAAAGCTCCTCAAGTCGAGGTATAGTTAGGAACTTTCTCATAGACACTCCGTTCTCCAAGAGAAGCTTTACGAAGTCTATTCTATCGTGCTCCAACGCCTGCATCATAGCTTCGTCGAGGGCACCTGAGAACAATTGTGATTTTAGTGTTTAGTATACAACCTATATACAGAAAAGTTCAAAATCCTGTGAGTGTGAAAAAGCAGTAGAAAATTGAAATAAAACACTTTAACGGTATAAAAAGCGATATGTATTCCTTAAACTTATTTGAAAATTATTTTAACTACGGCTCGACGTTTCAGATACTTCGCAGCAGCCATGTTTTTAAAATAACTTTTACTAATATATATCGCGTTTTAAACCGTTAGTATTTTATTTTAATGTGTACTACTCGCGTAAACAATAGACAGGGGCAAAGTATGTTTACCTTTGTGTAGTTCCTAATCGATGCTTTCTGGTAAAAGAAAACAAAATCCCCACGAGATTATTTTTAGGCTGATGGTTATGATTATATGAAGGTATTAAATTGTATAAAGAAAGACAAGAAAAAGAGGTAAAAACAAACATTGGATTTAATGTCGTTTTGTCTAGTTGAGCTTTTGCACAAAAATATTAAATTTAATAACGTCCAGAAAGTTCCATCGCGTCCAGACGAAAGTACTTCGTTGATATTCAGATGAATTTTACACCTTTTGTCTCTGCCATTCAAAGCACCTGAGGTTTATTGCTCCCTACTATACCCTTAATATAATATCTACTTTAGCTTATGTATATCTTAACTTCATTAAAAACTTTCGTTATAAGACTATTAACGGTTTAAAACGCGAAATATATTAGTTAACTTATCTACAATTTATTTTAACAGCCCGATTAAATTTTTATTTATATGTGTACTACTCGCGTAAACTACTATACTATTTTAGTAACGAGTATAGATTTGATTGTATACATCAGTTATCTAAGTAATTCACCTGACAAGATCTTAATTTATGATAATTATTCCGTTAGTACTTTTATCACTCGATTTTAATTGCTTTCATAACTTTGTTTACTCCACAATACCCTTCTATAAATAAACATATAAGTAGTCACGAAGTTTGTATTATATATTTCAACAATTCACATTATATTTCAAACAAGCTGTGTCAGCGACTTCGCCCGCATATTCATTAAAGTTAATCTTTAAAGAAAGATATATACTATCGCGGGCATTTATTTAGATAATTTAAAAAGAAATTATACGTTATTACAAATGTTTTCGGTATCTCGAAACGGTATCGCAGCGATCGCAACGGCAAACCCACAAGGATAGATATTTTCCACCGTATTTCCACATTGCCCGCTGCTTCTTCACTCGAAATATTTTATATAGACTTCCGCAATAAATGCTCTAACCGACACAAAAAGGATTTTCCAATTCGCACCCGTAGTTCCTGAGATTAGCGCGTTCAAACAAACTCTTCAAGTTTAAAAATTAGTATAGATTGTAATAAGGCTAATTAAATATTTTTCACTAACTTAAGAATAGACCTTAGTTGTATGGCATTAAGCGAACTCAGTCTCTTTACATTCAAGACATTTATGACTGGGTCTGAACTTCATCTAAAAATAGTCTCTGAAAATGTCCCGTCACTGAACCATGAAAGTCCAAAGGCTTTGAACCGTCGAACGGTATCTCAGTCATGGAGAATACTAAAAGAAGAATAACCGTGAAATGGTGCAGATTTGCAAAGACCCGCTCCTACGATTACTTATTCAAATTCAAAGCAGTGTTTGAAATGCTTTCGTACTTGAAATTCGCAAACACGTTCAGAACCCACGAGTAATGAATTCTTTAGTTCCAAATTCGAATCCCAGTTTGATGTTTTTTATATATATTGGTATAATAATTATTTTTGCTAGACAATAAGTACGTATTATCTGTCTAAATTAACAAAGTTAAAGAGTATGTTTATTTGTTTGAACCTGCTTATCTCAGCAACTAGTAATTCGCATTGAAAAATTGGTTTTTGTGTCGGTTAGAGCGTTTATCAAAGACGGTTACGCTGTGACTAATAGGAGCGAAGAAAAAGCGGGAAATGTAGAGAAATCGGTGAAAATTATTCATTTCGTTGCGTACACTGCGAAAACGGTTCATGATCCACAAAATATATTTGAAAGAATGATTTAAAAAAAGTCTATAACATCATATGTTTATCTTTTAAGATTAACTTGCGAAAACGACGAAACACAACGGACGCCGTGGGTAATAGCGTAAATATAAAACCCAAACTCACTATTCTACTCGGACGAAGTCGCTGACACAGTTACTATTTAATATAACAACTTTTATAATTAATATGTTCACTTCATTTCAATTCATTTAAAGTTTTTGTTAAAATATAATGTATAGAACAGTATTCATCTAACTACGAAAACTAGACGCATATCAGTTCTCCAAAGGACATAATCACTTTTGTTAAGCCTAAATATAGAGTTCGAAGTCCAGTAAATGTCATTGCTAATATCTAATGCTTGGGGCTATTCACTAATTGACTTCTTAGTCGTGCTTTTGGCAAACATCAAATGTTTAGTATGTAAATACAGGGCTATAGGTGAGTTGAGGTCATGGTTTTAAGTTGGGCGATAGTTTAAAAAATATATTAAATCGAATCCACGCGCTACTAAATCAATGTAACTCAAAGGGGTAGTAATGAATTTATTGTTTCCATTTATTTTTGTTGAAAAGGGTATAAAGACAATTTTTTTGACAAGTTGATTACTTTATTTCATCTTTTTAATTTATCTACTATCCGACTTTGCAGCAGTCGAAAACCCTCCGCGACCACGGCTGCTGCAAAGCATCGTAACAGTCTGGCCGTAGTTACTTTAATAAAAATCATGTAAACTAAGATTTATTTCGAGTTTTGAACCGTTAATAATGTTTTATTTAAATGAGGGCTAGTCGCTTAAACAATGCTTAACTTTATAAGAATATAATTAAATTTTCAAACATGTCATACTTGTATGTAGTAACTTATACTTTTTTTGAATCTTCTTAGCAGTGCTAAGTAAAGATAAAAATTGGTCTTTGCTAAGTGGGAGACTCTACTTAGTTTTATGGACGGGATATGAAGAAGTTCAGCAACTTTTTAGCTGCGCAAAAAAATTGTGCTAAATAGATACGAAAAACTACCTTCATTTAACAACTTTATATATCATGAAGAGATGCATTCATTACGTTTTTTTTACACATAGCCCAAGAACAACACGAATAATATCATTATTACTACTTACTTAACACTGTTTAAATGCTAGGAATGAATATAAAAAAGCAAATATACCTCGTGGCCATTCCTGTCCATAGACAAAGATTTCCGAACGCGCAATGTCCACTCTGTTCCAGGTGAGAGCCAGAGACAATTGTTCACTTGGGGAGAGGTGTTGAGCTCTGAAGAGTGCTGTCAATATCACCTGATCCAACTCCTGCACCTCACCGCCTTCAGCGCGCTCTTGTATACGGAACACTGTGATCTATACAAAGACAAGAATGTAATGTAGTTTTTCTTAACGGTTTAAAATCAATATATAAGTTAAAATTATTTTAACTACGGCCCGACGTTTAGGATGCTTTGCAGCAGCCGTAGTCGAGGTGAGACTAAGTAAGGACCCGGCCAGTTTCGCCAAATGCCAACTTCGATGGAACTGATGGCGCTAGCGTAGCAGTTTTTACTTTGACGTCAGATACACCCTCCATCTTTAGTCTTCCCGTGACCATGGCTGCTTCCGCATCCGAAACGTCGAGCCGTAGTTAAATAATATTCAAATAAGTTTAACTAATATATATCGCGTTTTAAACCGTTAAAGTGTTTTATTTAAACGTGTACTACTTTCGTAAGCAACAGACAGTATGTGATGTAGGTTTATAGTAGTTATCTGAAATTCCTGTACGACAAAGCGTCTATGTTGTCGAAATACACCTTTCTGAATTTCAGGAAAATATTCTAAGATAATGTTTATATGTATCAAGCGTCAGTTAATTCAATGAAAGTTGTAGCCTGAAATTGTATGTACAATTTTAAGTGGTAAAATTTGATTAATTAATTCTGAAAAAAACATTACGTTTATACCAAAAACATACTATATTGCACACGATCACATTGTAAAGTCAAATATTAAATTAACACTTATTTTGATATGAAAATAAAATATAAAATGTTTATAACGAAGAGCTCTGTTATTTCATCTTCAATTATTTCTTATGCTTCATTATTAGTAAACGTTTCGATTACAATTCTGTACATCCTAGATATCATTTGTACATATTGTGTATCTACATGATATTAATAACTGAAATATTTATAACGTCCTGATCGCCTAACAATTTCAAGCGAAAATGCTTTATGAGAGCTAAGAGATATCGACTTTATATTTCTCAAATTTTTATTACTATATAATGTTACCTTAATAAATCTCAACAAAAAGCCGTGGTCACGGGGAGACGGCTGCTGCAAAGCATCCGAAACGTCGGGCCGAAGTTAAAAATCATTTTCAAATAAGTTTAACTAATATATCGCGTTTTAAAACGTTAAAGTGTTTTACATAAATGTGTACTACTCGCGTAAACTATAGACAGTATTTAAAATTAATGCTTCAAAAAATCTTCATTTCTTCATTCTGATAGAGGACGGACACTTGGTGGTAGGTGAAATAACGTAGCCGTATAATATTTTAACAAGATGCGCAGAACCTATTTTGGCTTTGGATATTCGGAAATCCACAGACTGAAACCGACGAGACGCGATCAAACTTCACGGCTGTTTTGTCTTTGGTAAAGTTCGTGACACGGGCGGACATCACTATTCCTAGTAGCCATTTATTTGCCAGGTTAGCAGAAGAAGACATGATTCAGAAAAATCACTATCCAGATTCCATGCTAGTCTCCTCTGTCATTATAAAGAACTCAATTCCTAACGCTCGCGTCAAGATCTAAATTATTACCTAAAACTTTTTCGATAAGGGCGTTTAAAAGCCGTTTCAAATTGTTTCTGAAAAACGCGAACCGTAATTGACTTATCGAATGTTCTAGAGTATAAAATTCTCTAAAGAATTTCTTTCACACTGCAACAAATAAATCTAGCTCGGTTAGCGCAATATAATTTATTTTGTAGACTACGTTTTATAGATTAAAAATAAATTTGTAATCTTAAATTTAGTTCTTTTATTATTTTCAATCTATTCATGAAGTATTCTATACTATGTTTAAAATCACCCCCCTTCTGACTACGGCTAGAAAAAGCATCCGAAACGTTGGTTTAAAAGTAAAAGTTAGTTATGTTAAAAATGTTGCGTTTTCAACCGTTAAGTGTTTTGTTTAAATCATTGCAAGGGTTATAAAGAAATCTAACAACATTATTGTAATAGAAAATATTAAAATATAGTATACAAAGCGGTTCTAATACTCCTAATATAATTATTAAATTTAAACAACTATCTATATTAAACAAGAATAAACATTTCGTCTATTGGTACGATGGCTGCATCTCTGACAATCGACGTTCTTCTTCTTCTTAATTTTATAAGATTTACATTACATTTAATTGGTTAATGTGTCTACTGTTTATGTGGAAATAAGTATATAAGTAAACATGTTTGTATATATTTTTGTGTATATCTCCAATCCTGAAGATTAAACAGCATTAAATAAGTATCTGTAGTAAACGCAAAAACAAATAGAACACAAATGTCGGGTCGTAGTCAAAAATCATTTAAATTTTTTTTTAAATGATTTAATTGATTTTTTAACTACCGCTCGACGTTTCGGATGATACGCAGTCATCGTCACGGGGAGACTAAAGATTGAGGGTGTCTGTAATGTCATAGTAAAAACATAGTTGTTGTTTGCCGGTCAGTTTCGCCAAATACCAATTACCACGTTAGTGTATTATTTAAAAGTGTACAACTCGCGTAAACTACAGACAGCATTTTACAGCGATGCACCAAGTGACACTTTTGCCGAGTAACGAGTAGAGTTTTACTCGGCTCAATTTTTTTTCAACCGAGTACTCCGCCAAGTAACTCGATTTAATTTAATTCCCATTAAATTTTAATTATTTTACTACTGTATTTTCTTGCATTTTTTTCGCATTACTAATCATTTATTAGCTTAAATGATTTTTTAAATTGAGATATTCCAAAAATTTCCTGAATTACTTATAAATACTTTTGGATTAACACTGTTGTTTTAATTGTCTCTACCTAATCTCTAATCTTATATATTACTTTTATTAAACAAAGTATAACCGGGTTATTCGGCCGAGTACGGGTATCAAAAAACCCGCCAAGTACTCAAAGTACCGAGTGTCAACCAAGTACTCGGCCCATCTCTAGTATTTTATGTTTGTATGTATATTTATATTACTTACCAGGTTTTTCTTCCTCGTACACTGCAGTAGCTCACTGTACAGACACTCCGCTTGTTGCAACCCCACTTCGAAGGTCTTTTGAATGGTTCCGATGAGATAATCACGCATAGATTCCAAGACTGTTTGCTCACCCGTTTCTGAAGCGTACCTGAATGAAGAATTCAAGTTATTTGCTTTGTATTAAACGGGCATTAAATAAAACAATTTGAAAAAGCTTAAATCCCAAGCTATAATTATATGTATGCAATATTTAATGACACATCTATCAACATCTAATAATAACATTTATCTATCAACACAGTTTTAAATCATTTTAATGTTTTTTTTTTTATTTGTGTATTTTTATTTGCCCAAGATTGGACAGTAGATAGATATATTTGAAGTCTGTTGAACGGATAGATTTAATTTACAAGCAATTAGGTGAGTTGGCTCGTGCCGTTTGACGTTATTGTGTTTTCCTTGGTTTCAAACTCAGGTCATATACAGCTGTTACTTGCATACAACTTAAATCGGCATTATACAAGGTATATCGCATATCAAGTAGTGTCTGTAGTTTACTTTAGAACACATTTAAATAAAACGCTTTAAACGGTTTCAAACACGAAATGTATTAGTTTACTTATATACATACAACTTATTTTGCGGCCCGACATCCCTCCGTGACGGTTGCTGCAAAGCATCCGAAACGTCAGGAATATTTAATCTTAACATAACTTGGAGAAAATATCATTTATTTCATGTTGAAAACCGTTTGAAGTGTTTTATTTGAATATCGTATATTTTCAAATAACACATCGTTATCACCACTGGTTTAGTAACATTGATTCTTTGAAATGAATCAGAGAAACCAATTAACTTAAGCTTTGAACTTTGGAGAGAAACCTCATATTTTTAATTGCTTCACGTACTAGGAACTCCATTAACCGAAAAAGAAAAGTCTAGTAACTATTTCTACGCTCGATAACATTAGTTCCTACTACCAAGGATTTACTTGATTACTAGATAAATACATTATATATTTTTGTATAAAACTAATTAAAAAATTGTTCAGCTTACTTTTTCACTGCAACATTCTATGTACATAATTATTAGTTTCTACAGTAAATACTGTCTATAGTTTACGCGAGTAGTACACATTTAAATAAAACACTTTAACGGTTTAAAACGCGATATATTAGTTAAACTTCTTTGACTTCTTTCTTCTACCCGACCGATAAAAATTATTTCACAGGGATTCGAAATAAGAATCTTTCGTTGTTAACGCAATGCTAGACAGTGCGTTAAACTATAAAGCTGGAGGGCAAGTAAATCATGTTTGTAGATCATTTGTTTCCTTAACTTCAAACATAATTAAAAATAAGTGAGCTTACACTTTCGGCGGCGGTAAAAATATTCCGCGCAAGTTTAGCAAAAAGGCAATTTATGGCCCATTTTAAACTACAGTGACGTATATTGCGCGGTTTATTGTAACACCAAACACCAAACTCACATTATATTTAAAACATACAGTAGAGTTCTACGGGAGAGCGCCGTAACCCGTTACATAACTGAGAAGTACTTATTAGAATTGCGCTTTAAAAATAAATTATTTGATTATTTTGAGGAGTATTGTCGGAGTATACAAAAGTAGTACACGTTTAAAATATAAAACACTTAACGTTTTTCCGAGTCTCCCCATGACCACGGCTGCTAAAAATATCGAGTCGTAGTTGATCGCGTATTAAATCGTTACAGTATTTTATTTAAAAATGTGAATTTTACGCAAGTATATGTAATAATTTAAAAGTTTATATTTTTAAAATATATTAATGAAATTATTTACAATTACTAATATTATATTTCGCGTTATAAACAGTTAAGTATTTTATTTAAATGTGCTTCTCGCGAAAACTACATATCCTTACTAATATATAAAGCTCAAGAATTTGTTTGTTTGAACGCGCTAATGTCAAGAACTACTGGTTCGAATTGGCAAATTCTTTTGTGTCCGTTACAGCATTTATCGAGGAAATCACGCTGTGACTAATAGGAGCGAAGTAACTGCAGGAAATATATAAAACATGGGGGAAATTTTTTGAGGGCTCCCGATATATGCGCTGCGAAAACGGTTGGAGATGCCCAAAAAATATTCTAGATCTAAAAAAGTGTACGCGACAATGTATGCCTATCATTTATGATTAACTTGCAAGAACGACGTTTATAAACATGAAGAGGTTCGCAAAAGTAAATCTGGATACTCAAAATAACTAAGGATTCTTTGCTGACGAAGTAGCTGCCACAGCACAATACATAAAGTAGGATTATGCAAGATTCAGGAGCGTCGGGTTAATCGCTGCTAAAGGTTATTTATGCTCCTTGTATGTTCCCTGAGGGCGTGTATGTGCAAAATTGTGTACTAACTTTAACTGGGTACACAAAGTTAAGTGGGTTTGTGGAGTGAACTTGAGATGACATGATAAGAATTTACAAGGACGAACGTCATGTTTTGCTATCTCTGTTTATTTTGGAACGACGACAGAAAGTCAAAAAGGAGAGGACAGGAATTGACAGGACTTAATCCCGTCATTTTTTATGATGAGCACAGACAAGCTACAAGTAAACCATTACTTGATAGTAGGTGAATTATCCTAGCCAATATTGACATTGGATATTCTAAAATCTACAAACTGTATGGTTTTTTATGTGTGGACGGTTAGATAGACCTGGACGGAATTTCGAAATTCCGTCCAGGTTGGTAGGAGACAGCTTTTGACAAGTTCGTTGGTTGCAATATATATATAATCGACAGGTCGTAAGCTTGATTCCCACCGGCTCCAACATATTTCTAATTAATTTATAGCTTAAAAAACGAAAATAAATTTAGCTTAAAAAACGAAAATAAATTGAAAAAATTTTCGACTCGGGCAGGACTTGAACCGGCATCGTCAGCGTTCCGTGCTGTTGCTCTACCAATTGAGCTACCGAGTAATTTATTGTTTTTCTGAAACATGTCGTTGATTTTGTCAGGATATCTGGATATTAAATGGGTCGCAGGAATAACGTCTGCATATAGACGACCGATGAAAAAGCTGTTAGGTTTAATTGCGCTTCGATTTCTGTCTGTGTTATGCTATATAATTTAATTTAAGACTAAATTTTAAATGCACATTGTTTCTCCAGAAGCGGTAGCGTGAGGGGCCACTGAAAACCTGTGCTGCAACAGAAGTGTGTCCGTAACATTATGCTGAGTGGCTCCTGTTTTAGGAGTTGCCATACTTTTTTTTTAGCTTTGTATATTTTATTTAATCTATATAAGTTTACTTATTATGCTAATCTTAGTTCATAGTTTTTATTTTTGTGAGCAACTTTTAAATAAATTATTTTTATTATGATTTAAGATAGAACTTAAGCACTTATAAATAAATCAAAATGATGTTCTCTTTCTTCCGTTATATATAAATGTCTATTTTAGTAAGTCAAAGGCAAGATTTTAAATTGTAATCTTTAAAAACACAACCTAAAGTTAAAACGAGTCTGTTGTCTTCAGCCTTAGCGGCTATAGACAAAGGCTTCCATCCTTCCATTATTGAAAGTTAATAATGATGAAAACTAGTTTTGAGAGAAAACCAGAAAACGATGTATTAAATTGAAACTTTCGTAATCAACATCTTGATTAAAAATTCAACTGGTTCCCCGTTACCGCGGCTGCTGCAAAGCGACCGAAACGTTGAGCTGTAGTTGAAGTAATTTACAAATAAGTTAACTAATACATTGCGTTTCAACCCGTTAAAAGCGTTTTATTCAAATGTGTACTACTCGAGATCTAAAAAAGGACAAGAAGGGATAATAATGTACCAGGGAAAATCCCCGAAGAAGGGAAGGGCTTACAATATTAATACATGGTTTTAAAATTTAATATACGATAATTTTAGTTAAGCACTTTACCAAAAACTGAAGTAAGCGGTTAAGAATTGTCTTCATTTTACGTGAGTAGTACACGTTTAAATGAAAACACTTGTAACGGTTTAAAAGACAAAATAAATTAGTTACGTTTTTAAGTTTTTAATAAAGACCCGACGTTTCGCTTACTTTGAAGCAGCCATCTGGTAGCTATCACAAAAAGTAAGTTTTCTAATAAATTTCGCGTTTTAAACCATAAGTGTTTAATTTAAATCGTCAGCGGTTGATACTCTAAAAGCGTTGTTCAAGTATTTCAGTGCATCATTGTCAATTTTTTCAAAGCTCTTTCAACCAGAGGCCTCACAAATCTCTACTGCATTAATTAGGTTGTAGAGATAACGAAATTCTATCCGTCAACCACAGATGGAAAAGCCATGACGTGTAAATTCGCATTTCAGTTTCCGTCTGTGGACATCTAAATGTCAAAAGCCAAAATAGGTCGACGATGTCAAGTAGACGAATATAAGAAATTAGCTGTGGCAGCGACTCCGCCGCGTAGAATAGTTATTTTGGGCAACCAAATTTACATAATTATTATATAGTGTTTTTAAATTATAGAGCTAGTATATTCCGACAAAAAATATTATTTTTAAATAGACATGAGGCTGCTAGACGTAGAGTGGCCTAATAACAAAAGACATGCTTTTCAATAAGAAGGAAAATAAAATTGCACAATTAGCTTAGGCGAAAATTAATATGTTCTATCATTTGTGTAAAATTATGCTAACTTTTCGGTCACTGTGCTCTTGCAGATAACCATTTTTAGACTATGAAAATATTAATAAATCAAGTCATAAAATAGCGTAAGGCTACTGCCTCAAGCGGCCTCGTAATATGTTTCTTCATTATGGATACACGATGCTGATAAAAAAACACCTTTCTACTCACTTGTGAACAAATGCGATGAGATCAGCTGCTCGCCCGCTACCATCACACACCACCACTGGTACTGGTGGTGTGTCAGTAACGTATTCAAGTACTGCGCGTACCGTGTTCGTACCGCCTTCTATCACCAAACATACGACGGGAGTTGATGAATGAGTGTCTGAAAACAAAAGATTTCTTCTAAATCCTAGCTTTATTAAAAGTATTTTGAAGTTAAGTATAAAGAAGATTTTACGATTCTATGAGTTTTAGAAACTATATAAATGTTAGTTTCTAGCATATTTGTACTTTTTATATTATGTTAATACATAGGTTATTGTTATAAGTCTTGCAGACATCTTTGGTTTCCCTATGAGACAGTAAAATACATAAACATTATCAATTACATTTTGTAAGTCTGTAGTTTACGCGAATGGTAGAAATAAAATAAACGAAATAATTCATAAGCAGTCGTGGCTATGAAGGACCAGCTAGCAATTTATGTACATATTTTAAATCGTTAAGAGTGTTTTATTCAATAGTAATGTACTCGTATTTACTTGGCATGCATATTTTGACAGTTCAAAACTTATTTTTAAACTGTCAATATATATGCAGAATACTGTCAATAGGTAAACAATTTTAAAATCGAAAATAAATTGAAAAAAACATTCCTACTCATAGGACTCAGTAGCTCAATTGGTAGAGCAACAGCACGGAACGCTGACGATGCCGGTTCAAGTCCGGCCCGAGTCGGACATTTTTTCAATTTATTTTCGATTTTAATATTATATAGTGCCTTCGTGTGCAATAACATGTAAAAAAAGTATTAAAGTTTTCAAATACATATATAACTATATATATTTACTACAGTTTATAACCGCAGTTAAAAATAATACTAAATTCTCTAATTTATTTTCTTACACAAGTATGTTATGCGACAAAGTTTTGTACTATTCAAATTTTATTATGTACAAATATCCTGCCCTGAAAATTATGATTACTATTTCCAAGCTGATACGAAGGCATTTTAAAAGTAGGCTCTCACAAAATATGAAACAAAATACCGAATTAGCACTTGAAAATAATTTTGGAACGAGGGTAGCGTAATTATACTATTATAAGGAAAAGCGGAAGTTGCTTTGTTTAACATAATTATCAAGGTAATATGCCCTGGAGGCCCGTCCATAACACAAGGTAAAGTGAGGCAAAAGTATTTAAAATTGAAGCTACTTTTAACAATGGTAACAGGAAAATATTCGGAAAAATCTAAGTCTATAGAATTTAAAACTGTTACTAGTGATATATATATATATATTTATAACATGTAACGGCCTGTTTTTTTTTATCCAATAATAAATAGCTTTTGTATATAGTTGCAAACGTTGTGTTGCCATATTTCTAGAGATGTTAGTGTGATAAGGATCTAGTAAGACGGGGTTATTAGGTCTTATCCTAACTCCGTGCTGTTCGCTGGGCAAAGCGACACCCTTAGACGCCTTGATAAATTACCAAGTGATAATAATTGATTAGTTATCGATGTAGTTAGAACTACGGAATATGCATATTAAAGTTTTTGAGGAAGTTTTTACCTATAATTGAATGAGAGTTCAAAATGCTGGTGTCTTAAATTTATAGCGGGTCAAATTTATTATTTTTTGTAGCTCAATAAACGTTGATAGTTCAATCAGTTAGAGGTTGCACTAAAACATTTCTGAAGAAGACCATTGACATTAATTGGGCTGGCGACATTGATTCCAATGTTTAATAATTAATAATCTATTGTATATGTGTTTTTTTTAATGTGTACTACTTGCGTAAACTTCAGACAGTATTTACATAATTTTAGAATTATGATAGACGTAAAAAATATACCGATTTTCCTATTACAAATCTCGTTACGAATCTATTAAAATCGTTCGTTAATGTAAACATTGGGATACAAAGCTTCCATCTACTTAAGATTCCATTGATGGAATTCGTAAATTAGTTTTCAGAAAATGTTCTTACGAAGTTCTATTGATTGTATTTGATGAATCGAGACTATTTTGTACTCGAGAGATTTTTATATGAAGAAATATAAACTAAAGAATTCGTCGTTTCTCCAGTTCTAATAAATATTAAATGAAACCACTTTAACGAATTGAAACGCGAATTAGATTTGAATTAGTAAATAGACAAGAAACTTTGAGAAGTTTTATGAAATTAAATATAGGTAATTTGTGTTTCAAATAGTTCAAAGTCCATATTTCCAAAATTTTCCTATATTTGATTTGACACAAGTATAGGACATGAGAATAGCCCAGAAATAGTGAATAACGAATGCCGTAAGTATTTGTATGTCGTGGGTTTAATGATAACAATGTAGGTATGGCTAATAATCAACTGGTCGTGGATTCGATCCTCACAGGGTGTAACATGGTTGAAATTAATTTTATACTTTTTTTGAAACATGTAATCTGAAACCGCCGTCCACAGATGAAAAAGCCGTGAAGATTAATTATATATTAAGCGTATTCGTTACAGTCCGTGGATTTCCGAAGGTGATACAAATTTTATTAAAAGAATAAATATTGATGTACGGCAAGTATACTGTACCTCTGTGGCTCGCATTGTCTTATATAATACAGCCTAAATCCAAATATCAGAAGCCAAAATGGGTCGACAACACATTTTGTTTAGGTGTTATATGCCTGGGATAATTAACCTTTTTTGTTATAGAGGAGAACAAACAACGATGGGATAACATCGAGACAAGATGTGCTGTCGACCATTTTTGGCTTTTGATGTTTGGATTTATGCTCTATTATATACGCCAATGCGGGCAAATTAAAATGGGGCACAGTGTAAAATACTTGCCGTACATCAATATTTATTCTTGTAATAAAATTTATATCACCTGCCCTGAAACTCTATCTCGATTTTCGTTACTGTCGTAAAACGTGTCATAAACTGCAATTTTTATTACATTGAAGGTAAAACTTTCAGGTGTAAATGTGTCTAGAAAACGTTTATTGCCGTTTCTTTACGAAACTAAATGTCAATGGAATGAATGACCTTTTATATCTCGGTATTGTCTGTTACGCGAGCGGTACCGAACACTTTTAACGGTTTATAATGCGAAATATATTAATAAATTTTTGTAAGCATTGTGCTTTTAATTTTAGCATAAGAACGGGTGTTCCATCTAATGTCGATTTTTGGCAGAAACCAATAATTATCAAATTGTCTTGTCGTAAGAATTTAAGAGTTGCTTCTTTATCGATCGTTTATATTAAACAGGAATATGTAGTGTAATTTTGCACTAAAAACATTGAAAAATATATGATAGAGGAGAACAGACAAGCGGTTCACTTGATCATAGATGCCCAGCCTTATAACATCTTAACAAGATGCGCTGTCTATTTTAGCTTCGGATATTCGGAAATCCATAGACAGAAATCGAAACGCGATTAAATAAAGAAAATTTAATCCATGAGAATTTATATAGGAAATCTTTACGAATTTCAAGTAATAAAATCAAAATTACGAGAAGATGAGAGTACGCGCGCGAAATGGGAATTTGATTGAACAGAGTTAATCGGCCAAGTACTCGGTTGAAAAAAAATTGAGCTGAGTAAAACTCGGTACTCGTTACTTGGTTAGTATTTTTTACTTATATTTTTATGAAAACTTAAGAAAAAGTACGTAAATCGACCATAGGTTCATTGTTCTTATTTAGACTATGGTCTTCTATAATCTGTTATAACCCAAAGCTAACTGTATGTCAATTGTCAAATGTTTTTATGTTGGCGATACTGATAAGCGCGCGTTTCTGTTTTGGTGATTTTGGGATATTTTGATTATATCTATAAAGTATTTGCATATATAATGTATGTTTTTGTCTCAAACGGTACGTTGGTTCGTGACCCGGACGGAATCGCGACATTCCTACCACCTAATATAATACATGTGGATTTCAAGACGACGTCTACATGTTTAAGAAAGAATATAAATTAAATTAACAAACTGTTGAACGCGGTAAAGATCGAACCCACGGCCCGTTGATTATAAGCTATAAATTGCAACCAGTTCACCTCCGTCAAATGGCTCTTCAATTATTATTTGAATTGATTCTTAAATAATAACAAATTATTAATTAATAATAAAAACTCGCTTTTAATTACGTCTCTATAATATCATGCATTTTCACGAACTCTTTACTATCTAAATCGAAAGGAAAACTTAGTTCCTTTTCATATAATAGGATGAAATTGTCAAGTAAATATAGGATATTCGCAGAGCATTACATCGGATCCCCAAGCGGACATGTGACGGGAAAACGATGCTATTTCGGATTAAGGATATAAGGATTACTCTTCTCAAGACAGTGCTGGTATAGTGTTATGTGCAATAGACATCGTGTCTCAGGTCACGTGACACCAGTCAAGTCAAGCACCAATTAAAAATGAAAATATCCTGAAAGTACGTCGCATTTTAACGGCCGATCCCATTAACTTACTGTCAGTTAAGATTTTGACTTCTAGTTAAAGGTATGTTGAAAATTGGGACTGGCCGTAAGTTAGTAAATATTATCTGTAGTTTAGAGTAGGACACATATAAATAAACCATTTTAACGGTTTAAAACGATATATATTACTTTAACTTATTTGGAGATTATTTTAACTACGGCCCTACGTTTCGGATCATTTGCTGCAGCCTTAGTTTTGGGGTCTCCCCGTGACCACAACTGCTATAATATAAAATAGAAATAAGTGAAACTAATATATATCGCGTTTTAAAACGTTAAAGTGTTTTATTTAAATGTAACTTAGTAAACAGTAAAAAAAAAATTCTAAATATGTTATTACGTTTTGTATACATATTTTTATTTATTGTTATGGTTACATTGTATTAACGTGTATTTTTAAAAAAGGGTGAAGTCGGAAAAGTTGACATTACTAAAGGTGAATGAAGAAGCTTAAAAAATAGCTCTCTTAATAATTAGACAAAATGGATATGAATGCTTTAAAAATGTGTATTTCCCAGTCATGCTACTATTAGTTTCAGGTTTGTTAATATTAAATTGATATTTTACACAAAATAATGGTTATCAACGACATGGACGAGAGTTGGTAAAACTTCGACGTCACTACGAAGTATATTTTTATCGATCATGCTTTCGAGTTTGCATTGCTAGTGCTCGCCAAACGCAGGCGAAATCGGCAGTGAAACGCAAGGGAGCGGGGTCTCGTACCGCCAAGCACGTTCAGTGACCTGCGCGGCGCGCGGCTCGACGTACGCACCGCGCAACACAAAATGGCGGACACGAACCTTCCCCTTTTCCCGCGCGATTTACTCAAACGATTCATTCTACTATACAAGGAATCTCGTTGTTTATGGGATCGTCAATGCCAGGCATACAAACGTAAGAAGGCAAGACAAGAAGCCGTGTCCCGTTTAACTAAGTTGGTTCGGGAGTACGACGCGACCGTTACGAGGGTTCATGTACTGAGAAAGATCGAGAGCATACGGTCTTGTGTGCGTAGGGAGTACAGAAAGGTACAGAGCAGTAAATGGAAGGCGAAGAGTCCAAGCGAAATATACACACCGACCCTCTGGTATTACAATTTATTGTCCTTTGCCTTTGAGGACTCGAATGATTGTAAAATGAAAACTGAAGTAGAACAGGTTAGTGCAAATCGTAAATACTACTTCAACCTAAAACCTAATCAAGGTGCGCAATGGCATACTATATTTTGATAAAATAACCAGTGAAGTGCAAGTACTGTCGACAAATAAGTTTACATTGTATATAAACAAAAACTGCTTGAAAAGGCTACTTATGACATTAATCAAAATTTAAACGACAAAAATGCATGATGTTTGGATGGTCTTTAACAAAATGAAATACCTATCTATATAGCAGACGAAGACTGTAAAATTAAACTTGGCGATAAAAGGAGTGGAGCGAGTTTCTTGCCAGTTCTCCTCGTTCGTTCTAAGACCTTAAATTAAGAACTGGTCGTAAATAAAAATTTAGAGTCTATAGGTTTTAATCAGTCGTGCGACGTTAATAAGTGTATCTACTTACCTACAAGAATAAAATACTTTTTACCTTTATCAAAATGGAATCTCAATTCTGTAATTCAGTCTAATGTATTAATACCAAAAAAGGCCTCACGGTATGAGTGACAATTTTTGTATCAGAAGTTCAGTTTTGCTAAATATTACAATATACATACTGTCTGTAGTTGACGCAAGTATAACACATTTAAATAAAACACTTCAGCGGTTGAAATCGCGTCGCTTGCGAGGAAACAAAAAGTCAACTGTGACCCGTGACCACGGCTGCTGCAAAGCACCCAAAACGTACGTCCGTAATTAAAAATAATTTATAAACCGGTTTAACTAATATATTTCGCGTTTTAAACCATTTAAACCTCAAATGTTTAATTTAAAAATATAAAACAGTTGGTTTTACGTGTTTCGCCCGAAACTTAACTTAGCTTTATTCCATAATTTAAGGAGTAAGGATGTATAGGTATAATAAACTTAGCGCGTTCACAGTTTCACTTTGTAATATTGTCTGCATTTCTCCAGTTACAAAGCAACCTGTGTAGATTCTATATTTGTACTATATTGTATTAATAAACACCTCTGAAATTCACTTGCAGCGCGATCAATCAGTTTCGAAAGCGATATTAACAATCGAATCGCATATTAATTTATACTAAAATTCGATTAAATGCGATTTCTCATAAATCTAATTTCGATATAATACGAGTGATTAATTAGAGACGAAATGGATTTCAAATTTTCATTAATTGAATTTTATACGATTATTTCTACATTTGTAAAAGTGTGTGTCAATAATATTTATCTTTTAGCTGTGCCCGCGACTTTGTCTGCGTGGAATACTTATTTTGGGCGTAAAAATTTGTTTCGAAAACTTGTCAATCTTATCATATTTCAAAATTATAGCTATTATTACCCAAGCTATATTATAGCAAAGCTATTATACCTACGCTTATTATAGCTATTACGTTGCTCGCTCGTCGTTCTTACAAGTTAATCTTATAAGATAGACATATACCTTCGGGAACATTTTTTTAAGAGCACTTAAAGAGGAACCATTTTCGCAGCACACGCAACGGAAACTCAATTTTCCCGTTAATTACACATATTTCATTGTTACTTCGCTACTATTTGTTGCAGCATGATGTTTATATCCTAAATCCTTTCTCGATAAATGGTCTAACCAACACAAAAATATTTTTTCATACGAACAAGTAGTTCCTGATATTAGCGCGTTGATACAAACAAACTCTTCGGCTTTACAATATTAATAGTATATTTTTACCAATTCAACTGTACAGACATAGTTATTGTAGCTTTTATGGTCGTTAATTATTTATTAATAAATTCATTAAAAGTAAGGTACTCACAAGGATGGAGTTTCTGAGCAGCGATGTATTTCTCTAGCTTTCTCCTTAGTACAATTTCAGCACCGTATCTACCGACAGAACCGTTGTCCACCAGCAAAAAATATGCGTGACGATTGTTGAGAACTGCAAGCTTTGATCTGAAACAAAGGTTATACGATACATCGATGCAAAGCGTGTGTAAGCTATTAAATAAAACACTTTTAACGGTTTAAAACGCGAAATCTAAATTTGTAATAGCCGTGGTCACGGTGGAAACGTCGAGCCGTTGTTAAAATAAATTGTATAAATTAACTTATAAATTGACGTGACGTTTAAACCGTTAAAAAGTGATTTATTTCAATAGAACCTATGTAGAAAAGGCCGCGAAGGCCTTCTATTTATAGTTGGGGTATAATTTAGGTTTTTAAATTTTTAGGAAATTTTATTTAGGTAGCTGATGAATTAACCTGTTAAGTCATATTTTACGCAAAGTCACGTTACTACTAAGTCTAGTACTACTAAGTGACGTGTAGTACATTTACTAAGACATAAGGTTTTAAGAAATAATTTCAATAAAATAACTCTTCTTTCTATTAGTGACGCAGAACTTTAAGCAGCGACTACATTGTTATAAAGCTTACATTTGAATTCAGGACAAACATCGTTGCAACTCCCGCGGCAACTGCGAAAGTTGTCAAATTAGCATCCACCTTTGATTTTGTACAAAACTTAACTAATGGAAATGTCGAAGTTAGGATACATGCATAATGTTCTATAATTATTAAATGCGTGATAGAAATATCGAAAATTCCGCCTGGGTCACGAAACACCATCCATAGATGAAAACGTCGTAGAGTTTAATCGCGTTTCGGTTTCAATCTGTGGATTTCTGAATATCCAAAGCCAAAATAGGTCGACGGCGTATATTCCTTAGTCAAGTGAATCTCATGCTTGTCTATCCTCCTTTATTATTAAAATCCATGAAAATAGAAGGGATTAAGAACTTGGACCCATCACGCTTCACTGCTACCCGAGATTCTTACTCGTTATAGGTTTACATGACACCGTAAATTCTGGGCTTTTACTAGATGCTTCTGCGAGGACTTTGCCAATTTCGTCAAATATCAATTGCGACGGAACAGATGGCACTGGAGTAGCAGTTTTTACTTTGACGTGATACACCTCCTTCACCCTGTCCATCTTTCGTTTCCCCGTGACCACGGCTGCTCAAAAGCCTTCGAAACGTCAGGGCGTATTTAAAATAATTTGTAAATAAACTAATATATTTCGCGTTTTAAACCGTTAAAGTGTTTTAATTAAACTGCCAAATGCCGAAGTAAAATTTCGCCCTATCGTTTCGAAATCTGTATCTCAGCAGCTATAGTGGTTTTATTAGACTACAGAGCTAAATGACTAAATTATTATCATTTTTCAGTGTCGCACTGTAACTGAGAGATATAAAACAAATGAATAAGTGACTTTAAACAAAAAAGTTTCCACGATTTAAGTAAAGGGCGTCACAATATGATCACTGATAATGGCCTAACAATGCAGAGAAAAAGTAGAAGGCCAAGTCCCTCAGGAAATTACTCAACGATAATCCATTACAGCTTTCATCGAGATTGAATATTTTGAAAGAATACTGAATTTAAAAATCGAAAATAAATTGAAAACATTTTCGACTCGGGCAGGACTTGAACCGGCATCGTCAGCTTTCCGTGCTGTTGCTCTACCAATTGAGCTACCGAGTCCTACACCTCATCGTCGAATTTTTTCAACTTATTGATACATGCACCTCTCGCGCAATGTAATTTCTACCTTAACACTTGCGTATTAAGGCTCAATGTCTTATGCTTTGCAGCTTAAGAAATCATTGAAGATGAAATTACAAAGTTATAACGTTTGAAAACATTAATATTTTTCACATGTTATTGCACATGAAGGCACTATATAATTTAAAAATCGAAAATAAATTGAAAAAATTTTCGACTCGGGCAGGACTTGAACCGGCATCGTCAGCTTTCCGTGCTGTTGCTCTACCAATTGAGCTACCGAGTCCTACACCTCATCGTCGAATTTTTTCAACTTATTGATACATGCACCTCTCGCGCAATGTAATTTCTACCTTAACACTTGCGTATTAAGGCTCAATGTCTTATGCTTTGCAGCTTAAGAAATCATTGAAGATGAAATTACAAAGTTATAACGTTTGAAAACATTAATATTTTTCACATGTTATTGCACATGAAGGCACTATATAATTTAAAAATCGAAAATAAATTGAAAAAATTTTCGACTCGGGCAGGACTTGAACCGGCATCGTCAGCTTTCCGTGCTGTTGCTCTACCAATTGAGCTACCGAGTCCTACACCTCATCGTCGAATTTTTTCAACTTATTGATACATGCACCTCTCGCGCAATGTAATTTCTACCTTAACACTTGCGTATTAAGGCTCAATGTCTTATGCTTTGCAGCTTAAGAAATCATTGAAGATGAAATTACAAAGTTATAACGTTTGAAAACATTAATATTTTTCACATGTTATTGCACATGAAGGCACTATATAATTTAAAAATCGAAAATAAATTGAAAAAATTTTCGACTCGGGCAGGACTTGAACCGGCATCGTCAGCTTTCCGTGCTGTTGCTCTACCAATTGAGCTACCGAGTCCTACACCTCATCGTCGAATTTTTTCAACTTATTGATACATGCACCTCTCGCGCAATGTAATTTCTACCTTAACACTTGCGTATTAAGGCTCAATGTCTTATGCTTTGCAGCTTAAGAAATCATTGAAGATGAAATTACAAAGTTATAACGTTTGAAAACATTAATATTTTTCACATGTTATTGCACATGAAGGCACTATATAATTTAAAAATCGAAAATAAATTGAAAAAATTTTCGACTCGGGCAGGACTTGAACCGGCATCGTCAGCTTTCCGTGCTGTTGCTCTACCAATTGAGCTACCGAGTCCTACACCTCATCGTCGAATTTTTTCAACTTATTGATACATGCACCTCTCGCGCAATGTAATTTCTACCTTAACACTTGCGTATTAAGGCTCAATGTCTTATGCTTTGCAGCTTAAGAAATCATTGAAGATGAAATTACAAAGTTATAACGTTTGAAAACATTAATATTTTTCACATGTTATTGCACATGAAGGCACTATATAATTTAAAAATCGAAAATAAATTGAAAACATTTTCGACTCGGGCAGGACTTGAACCGGCATCGTCAGCTTTCCGTGCTGTTGCTCTACCAATTGAGCTACCGAGTCCTACACCTCATCGTCGAATTTTTTCAACTTATTGATACATGCACCTCTCGCGCAATGTAATTTCTGCCTTAACACTTGCGTATTAAGGCTCAATGTCTTATGCTTTGCAGCTTAAGAAATCATTGAAGATGAAATTACAAAGTTATAACGTTTGAAAACATTAATATTTTTCACATGTTATTGCACATGAAGGCACTATATAATTTAAAAATCGAAAATAAATTGAAAAAATTTTTTAAATTATATAGTGCCTTCATGTGCAATAACATGTGAAAAATATTAATGTTTTCAAACGTTATAACTTTGTAATTTCATCTTCAATGATTTCTTAAGCTGCAAAGCATAAGACATTGAGCCTTAATACGCAAGTGTTAAGGTAGAAATTACATTGCGCGAGAGGTGCATGTATCAATAAGTTGAAAAAATTCGACGATGAGGTGTAGGACTCGGTAGCTCAATTGGTAGAGCAACAGCACGGAAAGCTGACGATGCCGGTTCAAGTCCTGCCCGAGTCGAAAATGTTTTCAATTTATTTTCGATTTTTAAATTATATAGTGCCTTCATGTGCAATAACATGTGAAAAATATTAATGTTTTCAAACGTTATAACTTTGTAATTTCATCTTCAATGATTTCTTAAGCTGCAAAGCATAAGACATTGAGCCTTAATACGCAAGTGTTAAGGTAGAAATTACATTGCGCGAGAGGTGCATGTATCAATAAGTTGAAAAAATTCGACGATGAGGTGTAGGACTCGGTAGCTCAATTGGTAGAGCAACAGCACGGAAAGCTGACGATGCCGGTTCAAGTCCTGCCCGAGTCGAAAATTTTTTCAATTTATTTTCGATTTTTAAATTATATAGTGCCTTCATGTGCAATAACATGTGAAAAATATTAATGTTTTCAAACGTTATAACTTTGTAATTTCATCTTCAATGATTTCTTAAGCTGCAAAGCATAAGACATTGAGCCTTAATACGCAAGTGTTAAGGTAGAAATTACATTGCGCGAGAGGTGCATGTATCAATAAGTTGAAAAAATTCGACGATGAGGTGTAGGACTCGGTAGCTCAATTGGTAGAGCAACAGCACGGAAAGCTGACGATGCCGGTTCAAGTCCTGCCCGAGTCGAAAATTTTTTCAATTTATTTTCGATTTTTAAATTATATAGTGCCTTCATGTGCAATAACATGTGAAAAATATTAATGTTTTCAAAGAATACTGAATTTTACGCTATTTTTTACAATGTCACTGCACTATGTGCCTTTATCTTTATGGGGCACAGCACAACTTCATGCTCCACAGATAAGCAGGTGAAAACACTACTGTGCCCTAATATCATTGTTTTTCGGGCTCTGCAATCGACGTAAGCGAAAAGAGGTTGTCGACCTTTCGCCATCACGAGCGGACGGCATCATCAGGAGATTTTAGCTCCTCGATTGCTAGAAGAATAAGATGCCTTCCGCTCGCGATGGCGAAACATCGAGAACCTCTTTTCGCTTACATCGATTGCGATAGCGTTTACAAACATCACTTACTATACATCTTTAATAAATAGACGTGCATACCTTGATCTACTTTTTCTCTATAAAATCATACACAATAAAATTGACTCAATCTTATTACTCAGTAAAATTTATTTAGTTTTTTCCACTAACACCAGTCATACTAATTATGCCAAACATTGGTTTTTTTCTTGATCCTGCGAACTTGACAAAACTAGAGTCCGTGGTCTTACATTTGTTATTTACCCACTCTAAGTTTGGTGGGGGAAATATCTACGTATTTTATACTAACAAAGGCATTACATTAAAGGGTCTTAGATTAAAACCTCTAGAATAACAAACAATTAGACGTGAAAGAAATGCTCAGGAGAGTTCTGTACTCGAGATTTATTTTAGTCACGTCTCGCTAGGAATCACTAAGATGGACAATCGTTATTCGGAGAGCAATGCTATGTTTTCAAGCAAATCGTATTTTTATGATCGCGTGCTCCGAATTATTTATTTATTTTTATCGCACAAAATAATAATAAAATTAAAGAGCTTGCTAGTACCATGGTATCAATTTACCTATAGTTGTTCATGGCCTTTATTCCCACCGGATGCAGGATCTTATTTATAAACAAAAGGGTAATGTGACGAGCTTGTTGGTGTAATAGTAGCAATGCAGGGCTAATAATTAACGGGTCGTGGGTGCGATCCCCACCGGGTACATCATGTTTCTAATCAATTTATAAACTATCTTGCACATGTTGGACTTCATCTGGAAATCTGGATGTTAAATGTTGAAATGCCGTCCGGACGACGAAGCAACGAGGACAGATCAAAAAGTCGAATCTTATCGCATTTGGTGTTCAGTCTGTGAATTTCTGAAAATCCAAAGCCAAATTAGATCGATAGTGCATTCTGTTTAAAAGTTATATATATGGCTGGGATGTTTCACCTACCCTCAAGTAAACCTCACGCTTGTCTGTTCTCCTCTATCATAAAAAAAACATGAATACATATACGTTAGATTACATGACTCTAGTATGCACTTACCACGTTTTATAAACTTCTAGTAGGTAATCTGGAGTTCCGTTTCTATCCATGTCATAAAATTTTCTTGACTAGCTATATTTTTTCTTATAATATTAATAAGAATATTAATTTGTATTGTATTTTTTTAGGAAGATCCACCTTCAGAAGATGAACCAGAAACAATAGATGATACATATGACCACAATGTTGAAACGTATATGAACTATGTGCCTAATGCAGTAGAAGAAGTTACCCCCTCACCACCACCAAAACGTATAGAAGATGATAAGAAACGACACTGCACTGAAGTTGATGATGAATACGACGCTATAGGTAAGGAAATCACAAAATCGAATATAAAACAGTAAGATAAAACAGACGTTTTGTTACAGAAAAAAAACTAAAGTAAAAAATAGTACTTTTGCATAGTTCTCAAAAAATAAGATTATAAAACAATAATGCACTTCATTGGACGGACCCTGTCATTTCATAACCGTAGGTAAACCGTGCTTTTGTGTCAGTCAACTAGTGTCATGAAGCAGACATTTTTCTGTACCTATTTTACTGACTAATTTTATTAACAGTCAAGTACATCAAAAATTACGCGAAAGTATTCTAAATTTCGCAACACAAAATGTAATCTCTGAGTGTCGGAGAGAATCAATATTATAATAAAACGTAGAAATAGTACATTACGTAGCGGACGGCTAGTGAGGCATTGATGGACGAACGTGTGAATGTGAAGCAACATGTAGCCGAGGCACAGGTACGTAGGGATTGTATAGTACTTTTCTCATATAACGCGAGGGAATTATAACTAGGTAACACAATGACGAACAATAAAAATAGTTTTTACGCGCCAAAGTATTTTCTTTTTTTTATTCAACAGCTTTCTATGTGCAAGCCAGTTCGAAATTTAAATTAAACTTTTGATAAGTAGCCTCTTTGGTCGCCATCTTGCGAATTGTTCCTATTTTTAATTTTACAAAGTAATTTATTTGGCAACTGAACACGGCAGATATGGATTTCCATAAAACTATTGCCAGGTCTGATCGACCAGTACAGCAAGTTCCATTTATCTCGAAGAAGGTTTAAATAAAACACTTTAACAATCATTTTCAAATAAGTTTAACTAATATATCGCGTTTTAAACCGTTAAAGTGTTTTATTTAAATGTGTACTACTCGCGTAAACTATAGACAGTATCGAAGAAGGTTGTCAAAATACTGCTAAAATTTCCAAGTATATTTGAGAAAAACTTACGTATCCCGTATAAATATCATTCCACAAAACAACAGACATTCTTTCAAACTTCAATAGTTTCCTTAATATTTTCCCGGCCTTTATACGTCGTCTTGTGCCCGTTCTACCGTAACTATAAGATATTATTTTTTATATGTGAGTAAACTTTTGGGTTTGATATAAAGACAACTGAATTGTGAAAGAGTGTATTGAACCAATATCATTTTGCCATCGCCATTATTCAATGTATCTCATGTTTGAAGTAGATGAGAGAAATAAATTTATTTCGATTTTTTAGATACCATGCAAATATTAGAATTTATCAGGAATTTAAATATAGGTATATGGTTTTGAGTTGTTTAATGAGAATATATGATTTTGAGACTAACTGAAAGATGATAGAAATTAGCAGGACTGTTTTATGATAGAGGACAAAAGACAAGAATGGGATTCATGATGAGTAGTCAACCTATTTTGGCTTTGGATATTCAGAAATCCAGAGAAACCGAAATGCGACTAAACACGGCTTTTACTCTGTGGATGGTGTTGATGCTCCTACTACCCGTTTAATATCTAGACTTCTAGACAAAATTCAACATGATTCTGGAACATTATAAATTGATTAGAAATACGTTAGACCCGGTGGAGATCGTGCCCACGACCCGTTGATTATCAGTCATACATTGCTATCTCACCAACGAACCCGTCAAATTTGTATTTTTGTTACAGGCATAAATGTAGCTGCCAAATTGAGAAGCCTTCCTCCAAATATGAGAATTCGAGCGGAAAAGCTGATCAACGACGTTCTCTTCCAAGCGCAGACGAACACACTTACGGCGACAACTTACCTCTGTACGTCGGATCCTATAAAAACGGATATGATAATATGAACGAAGTTGACGTGAATGGGACTTTTGTAATTACTTCACGATGACTGATCTCAAATGATGGTGGTGATGATATAGAAGTGATACATGATTTAATTAAATTTGTCGATTGCATTAAAACGTATGACATTTCTGTAAATAAATAATATATTTAACGTTCCAAACAGTCATTTTTATTTCTTACAATATATATTGATTTTTAACAATGGTAGATGAGAACAGATACGACCTAGATGGACCCTATCCATTTGATGAAAAGTGAGATACTTCGGCCATATCATTTTAACAAAATCCGTTGTCGACTAGGCATTATACTATGGATTTTACATCTGTGAAACGTAATATGGGTATAAAGGGGAAGGTGATAATATGGATGGAGTTTTAAATATTGAACATTCAAAGTTCTATAAACCAAGACGACTTCGTGGATGGTTGTATATGAACAGTAGTTTGTAATTCTGACTATCAATTTAGTATCTAGAATCACTGTTCTTACCTGGGTGATGCCATAGCGTGGTACGGAACATCTCTTCCCTTCCCAATCAGGTCGTTAGCACCTTCAACGATGCCCCAAGGAGCAATGCCTATGCTGACGACGCGACCAGCGCGTTGTGACCTCTCCAGTTGCAGAGCATCACCGACTTGACGGGTCACACCTAATTGGACATTATTTGATTAGTATAGTCTTTTAAATAAAACATTTTTAACAGTTTAGAACGCAAAATATATAAGTTAATTTATTTATTATTTTATTTTGACTACGATTTTACGTTTCGGATGCTTTACAACACCTTTGGCACTGCTGCTGTAAAGCATCCGAAACGTCTGGTCGTAGTTTAAGCTTATATATTGTGTGGAACGCAAATAAATAGATACATAAGAAAAAAAATGGATTAAGATCAACAATAGCACTAAAAATTATTTTAAATAAATTATAATTTTAAGTGTTATAATTAAAGAATAAACGTAGTCTATTTTAGACTGAAATAAATCATTCCATTGAAGAGAATTAAATCCACGAGTACGAAGTAGCTCAGTTGATAATAGAAACACGGTTGCAGTGGTCGTTGGTTCGAGTCTCGCCCGTATCGAATTATGTCAATATTAAGTACATATTGTTATAAAAATAATGAAATAAAATATTTTAACGGTTTATTTTTTTTATTTATTTAATTAATTTGTGGATATCTCAATATGAAAACCCAAAATAGTCTACCTACCATCAAGTGAAATGGGGTTCGCTTATCTGTCCTGCTCTATCATAAAATAGTATATATTTAAATGAAATAAACACGGCTGTTTCGCAACCGTGGTCACGGGGAGGCTTCGGAGGGGAAACGTCCGGCCGTAGTTAGTATAATTTTCAAATGAGTTTAACTAATATATATCGTCTAAACCTTTAAACTGTTTTATTTAAAAGTGTAGTATTGGCGTAAACTACAGACAGTATTTATATAGACAAGTTTTCGATCAAAAATAGGCTTATCACTCCATGTTATTAAACTGGCGAACGACAGGTAAAGCTGGTAATAACGTTTTATGATATCATGAGATATTCAATAAGAAGAAGCTTATGTATAACTTTCTTTAGTGACACGTAAAAAAATAGAACAAAAATTATTTATTGTCTGTAATGTATAAACAAACTCATTTAATGGTTTCAAACGGGAAATGTATTAACTAATTTACAATTTTTTTTTTTTTTATGATAGAGGAGAACAGACAAAATAAACAAAAGAGAATTGTTTTATAGAGATATAAAAATGCATTTACAATGTGACAATGAAAAAGGATACATTCACATGTAAGTAGTAAACGGTTAAATAATACACATTAACGGTTTAAAACGCGATATATATTAGTAGAACTCATTTTCAAATGTATTTCGTGTAGAATAAAAAAAAGTCGTGTTTTAAACGGTTAAAGTTGTTGAATTTAAAGCTATTAGCGTATACTAAACTTGTCCCACGGTAAGTTCTCTCCCAATTTGCATAATTCAAGTTAAAATGCAAGAAGAACAAACTTCAGGTATAATAATTATTATGAAATGGCCGAGGGATAAGTGCTAACTCGGAGCTTCGTGCTTCTACAGAGTGGATTCGAGGCAACTTTAATTTCTTAATTAAACAAAGATCTGTTTTTGGGGTACGTAGCCGTTACAGCCATTAACTTTTGACGCTTTTTTAAGCGCTCCATAATAATAGAGTTATATTAAACTTTTTCTTTTATTTTAATCAACGTATGGACCTTTCAGATAACGCACACTTATAGCGTTTAAAAATGTATGATGTTTTCAGAAGTGTAGTCATGGAGGAATTGTTGTAACGCATTAGAAACGCCCAGTCGTTGTGTAAAAGTAAGTTAACTAAATATAGCGAGTTTTAAACCGTTAATTTTTTTTTAATAAATTCACATATAATGATTTAAAACGCGAAATATAAGTGTTTAATTTGATGTGCTGCTACTCGCATATTTCACAAACAATATTAAGTTATGAAAATGTAAGGATAGTATACATATATTTTAAAAATAATGAAATTTGATGGGTAATAATTATACGTATCAATAAATAAAATCACTACTAAATACAGTATGAAAGGTCTTAGATTCGAATCTAAGGAAAAAACAATTTTTGTCGGGTAAGAACAGAATAAACTTGCCTGTAAAATTCTAAATACACCGTTCATTTTACACATAGATTGATCTGTAAAACGCACTCCAAAATAAATCTACCTCAGGCTCCACAAAATAGGATTTGATATATTACTTAATAAGTATTACAATATTACTTAACAAATACAAAGACTTACAGAATACAATAGTCACAAATAACACGACTTCACATCCATCTCTCGCCAAATGTAATTACCAACTTAGCACATTGATTTTATTAAGTAATTTTTTCCCATAAATAGATTTTTATTTGAATGACTATATTTTTAAAATTACTATTAAATGCTATCATAGGTCAAACTGAATGGCCAATTCTTTGTACTAACCTGTGTTGGTTCCTCCAGTGAATATCCAAGCCCCTGTAGTTTTTGCTGCTTTTAAAAGACCCTTTCGCAGGACCTTTTTCAGTTTCGGCTGAAGGTCGAAATTGGCCTTGCCTCCTTGGATAGTTATTAAAAGTTTCGGCCTCTCCAGTGCCCATTCTCTGGTTAGCAGTTGGACTATCAGCTCCGGTCGTGTATCGTGTGATAGACGAACATACTGAAAGACACAAATATTGTTTTTGACAGGTCGGTCTAACGGTAGTTAATAACCTACATGCCATGAATCATGGATTCAATTCCACCTGAGTGGATGATCTACCGAACATACCGAGGATATGGAGGAGAACTTCAAGAGATGGGGAAATGTGAAATTAATTAACGGGTGCCTTTGTCGGTCTACAATCTAACGTAGAAGAAGTTTTACTTCTAAATAAATAAAATAAAACTTACATACGGGATGTCTATATATTTAACATTAGATGTAAAGTTAAATACTTATAAAACTACTTTTGCTATACGTGTTAAATTTGGTCAATGAATATAAGGGTTTTTTATTTATATCATTTTTTTATTTAGTTAGTCTTTTAAACCTGGATATTAAATTATCGATACTAATATCGTAATTCCGTTAACAAAAGAAAAATTCGCGAATTTTAATCACGTCCTATGTCCAATGAAAAAAAAAGTGGATAGGGCATCTTGTACGTATGTTATATCGCTGTGGTATTTTCTTCAATCAAGTGATACCATGAGGGCACAAAGGTCTCACACCGATCAGTGAAACGGATACAGAAAGATGTTTGCCCCATGGTCATAGGGGGAAACGGCATTTTACTTCAGTGGTACTACGATTAACTTTCTCTGTTAATAAAAAAATAGAATTCAATCAAAGCTTAAATTCCTAATGTAAATGTCTTAAGACCTTATTTAACTTACAGTTGAATAATCAATTTGTCTACCGGCTTTAAATATAATTTATCAACGCGGATGGACTTCAATAAACGGATGGATAATTTGATTAACGTTTCTGTATTTAACTAGTCGTTTCTCTAGCGAAAACTGCTTTCCTAAATTTGATTTAAACAATGTACAATAATGTGTATCTATACGAATATATAAAGCTATGGAGTTTCTTTGTTTGTTTGAAAGCGCTAATCTCACGAACGACTGGTTCTTTATGTATTGGGTAGAGCGGACGAAGTCGTGGGTAGCTGCTTTAATTTATAAAGATGACGTTTGCGAAAACGGTTCTAAGGGAATGAAGTTGCTAACACATCTAGTTTAGGTTATAACCTATGTGTATACCCAAATGAAAGACCTACCTGTGCTTTCGTCGGATGTGGTCCTCCCTGGAACTCTACTGTTCCATAGGCGTCTGTTGGAGATGGTTGGGTGTGTTTCACTGGAAGCCATGCTTCTCCTGCAGGAGCTACTGGTATGTTTGCGCCATGGGCTGTCTTGCTGAGACCACACCAGCAGCTGTCCAAAATAAACATCACGTTTAATAAGTTGTATACGGCATTTGTGTAAAATATTACAAATTTCCTTGAGTTTTTAGGTTGTTGAGCCGTGCTGATTACGAAATTGTTCTTCATGCAGCAAAGACTGAGTCGGCCTTATTATATTGTTTATGTCAAGAGACCTGTCACGTACGTACGTATAAAATACTTTTAATGATTTAAAACGCGCCGTTGTTGAATGTCCGACGGACATTAGTCAAAATAAATTGTACATAAATCATTTTAACTACGGCTCGACATTTCTTCTCCAGAAAGGCAGAAAATCATCAGGCCGTAGTTAAAATAAGTTTAACTAATATATATCGCGTTTTAAACCGTTAAAGTGTATTATTTCAATGTGTGTTTCTGTTGGTGTTAACTATAGACAGTTAACGATTCAGAACGCAATTTCGAGTGTCGTCTCACCCCGTGACCACGACAGCTGCAAAGTATGTATGCGAATCAGACATTAGTTAAAATAAATACTTAGTAAGTTGTACATTTCCAA